ATGGTGTCCAAGGCCCACCTGACTGACCCCTCGTGGGTGGCACTTCCTGATGCCAGTTTCCTTCCCGATTGCCGTGCAGCCTGTCCCCCCGCCCCCGGGCTCTCCCGCCCGCTGAGCAGCCAGGAGGGCTGCTGTGGGACGAGACGTCCTATGCCCTGGGCAGGCCTGGCTTAGGGGTTCCAGTGTCCTTTCCCTCTTAGGACGGAGGGAGGTCAGGCAGTTCTTGTCACCAGTCACAGTGACATGCTGAGCCACACCCCCTCGCCCAGGACCCCTCTCACAGGCGCAGTCTGACCGGCTGCCTGTATCAGTGCCCAGTGCCCTGCAGCCCGCAGAGGGTGTGCTAGGTACTCCCCTACCCAGTGGCTGTTATGGGCACAGAGGGCCAGCCCCTGAGAACCTGCGGACACCCTCCGGGAGCTTCCTCCGCGGCCCCCCCTCCCCTTCCTCCGCGGCTCCCCGTCCCCTTCCTCCGCTGCTCCCCCTCCCCTTCCTCTGCTGCTCCCTCTCCCCTTCCTCCGCTGCTCCCCCTCCCCTTCCTCTGCTGCCCCCCCTCCCCTTCCTCCGCTGCTCCCCCTCCCCTTCCTCCGCTGCTCCCCCTCCCCTTCCTCCGCTGCTCCCCCTCCCCTTCCTCCGCTGCTCCCGGTCCCCTTCCTCCGCTGCTCCCCCTCCCCTTCCTCCGCTGCTCCCCCTCCCCTTCCTCCGCTGCTCCCGGTCCCCTTCCTCCGCTGCTCCCCCTCCCCTTCCTCTGCTGTTCCCCTTCCTCCGAGGCTCCCTCTCCCCTTCCTCCGCTGCTCCCCTCCCCTTCCTCCACTGCTCCCCCTCCCCTTCCTCCACTGCTCCCTCTCCCCTTACCCCGCTGCTCCCTCTCCCCTTACCCCGCTGCTCCCCCTCCCCTTCCTCTGCTGCTCCCTCTCCCCTTCCCCTGCTGCTACCTCTCCCCTTCCCCCGCTGCTCCCCCTCCCCTTCCCCCTCTGCTCCCCTCCCCTTCCTCCACTGCTCCCCCTCCCCTTCCTCCACTGCTCCCTCTCCCCTTACCCCGCTGCTCCCTCTCCCCTTACCCCGCTGCTCCCCCTCCCCTTCCTCTGCTGCTCCCTCTCCCCTTCCCCTGCTGCTACCTCTCCCCTTCCCCCGCTGCTCCCCCTCCCCTTCCCCCTCTGCTTCCCTTCCCCTTCCTCCGCTGCTCCCCCTCCCCTTCCCCCGCTGCTCCCCCTCCCCTTCCTCCGCTGCTCCCTCTCTCCTTCCTCCACTGCTCCCCTTCCTCCGCTGCTCCCTGTCCCCTGCCCTGTGGCTGCGCCCCCACAGGCTCTCTGCTCCCAGGGCCGGCAGGGCGGGAGGACACAGGGATGCAGAGGGGACTGCATTCCTGAGCCTTGGGAACCCGGAAGCAGAGGACCATGTCCTCGCCCAGCCTGTTCTTTGTGGACCTTCTTGTCAGCTCAGGATTGATAGATGAGCTCACACAGACAGGCCTTCGCTGTCAGGCCCCGTGTGAGCGCCGTGTGACGTAGCTGTCATGTGCCCCTGCTGCCACATGGAACCGCCCGCACCTGTCGGCTACCGGACCGTGCTGCCCAAGAGAACATTCCCTCACTTCCTCCCGCCTGCGGCACCTTCCCAGGCCGCCTCACCGACGCGCTGCTCTTAGAAGGCGTTATTGTCTCCTTCTTGGTCCGGAGCCTGTCTGGGCACAAGCCCGATGGCTGCTCCAGGAAGGCCACGTGGGCTCTGAGGACCTCCAGAGGGACCGCCGGGCGGAGGGCCGGGCTGGGGCCTGGGCTCCCGGATCGCAGGAGCGGGTCCCAGCGGGGGAGCTGGCCCATGGGCGCCCCCCAAGCCCCCCGCCCCATCTCTCCTGTTTGTAAACTTCGTTTGTGAGGGAGATGGGGAACGTCAGGAACATTCTTAGAAGGTGCTGGCGCCTTCTGACAGGCCAGGACGGAGGCCAGGCCGGGCCTCAGAGCAGGCTCCACGCGGTTCTCAGGACTCTGCAGCAGGCTGGGCCGGTGAGTGAGGAAGTGGAGAGGCGTGCCGTGAGGGCTTGGGGTGCTGAGCGGCCGAGGGGCGCAGGTGACAGCGAGCATGAGCTCTGGGTCTGCACCAGGACCTGGAGAATCGGGGCGGAGGCACGCCCGTCAGAGGAGGCCGGCTGGGTTCTGGCCTTCCCTCAGCAGAGTTCTGGGAACCTCTGAGCTTGGTGGGAGCAGGCGTTTCTCAAAGGAGCACTTGAGGCCAAGGTCAGGGCTGCCTTGAAGCCTGGCACTGGCTGGTCATGAGGAGCTTGTGGGGCCACAGGAGGAGCTGAGGCACTGTGTCCACTGTCTTTGTTCAGTGATTGAAGGACAGGCCCTTGGCCTTGCAGTCTGGGCTCTGATCTGCAGCTTGGGACGCCAGAAAACTGTGACCAAGCATCTTAGGGGGCTCAGCAGGAGCTGGGGTGCCTCTGCCTGCAGGAAGGGGGGCTCATCACCCACCTCCCCATGCTGGAGAGAGAGAGACACACACACACACACACACACACACACAGGCACACAGACACACACAGACATACAGACACAGAGACACACACACACAAAGAGATTCACAGATACACGTGCACAGACACACAGAGACATACACAGACATAGACACAGAGAGAGACAGACATTCACAGACACACACACCTATACACACACACAAATAGACACACAGAGACACACGCACCTATACACACACACACACACACACACACACACGAACATATAGGCACACAGACACACACAGACACATACAGACATAGACACAGACACACACAAAGAGAGATTCACAGACACACGTGCACAGAGACACACAGACATATAGACACAGAGAGACACAGAGACATTCACAGAGACACACACACACAGAGACACACACACCTATATACACACACACACAGACACAGACACAAAGACACACACATACACACACTCACACACACACACACACACACACCCTGTAGTGTCTGTTCCAAGGGCCAGGCTGGACAGCCTCTGACGCCATCTGCCTCTTTTGTCTTTGGACTTGATCAGCAGAGAGAAATCTAGATGCAGGCATTGGTGACACTTGCTCAAGTTTGAAGGTTAACATCTTTGTTTTCCTAAGTCAGATAGTGTGATGGGTGGGCAGGAGAGTTAATGATTAATTGGAGACGAGGCTCCCAGCGCTGTGCCAGTGACCGCAGAGGGATACAGGCCCTGGCACCCGCATGCCAGCACACCAAGACGTCCTTGGTGGACCGGGTCACCAGCTGCCTGTGGCCTCTTTCCGTGGTTGCCCGGTGCTGCAGCCCAGCCACACGGCGCCCGCACTGGAAACGTGGCTGCTCCAGCCGAGACATGCTCAGGCAGAATACACACTGGATGTGGAAGAGTTAGTACAAAATGTACACTATGTCTAATAATTAAACAGATATTTTTATTATTGATGGGAGAGAGGACGGGAGAGGGGGAGAGAGAAACCAGTGGTGAGGGGAGTCATGGATCGGCCGCCTCCTGCAGGTCCCCTGCTGAGTATCGAGCCCACAACCTCGGCATGCGCCCTTGACGGAATCTATCCTGGACCCTTCAGTCTGCAGGTCAACACTCTATCCACAGAGTCACACCGGCGAGGGGGCTAGTAATTTTTATATTGAGTCCTTGTTGAAATGGTAACAGTCTGGATAAGCTGGCCTAAATCCATGTCGGCATTCATTTTGCATGCTTTTTGCTGTTGGGAATACCGCACGTGTGGCTGGCATGGTCTGTCTTTGGACAGGACCGGCCTGGCCACTGTGAACAGGAGGAAGGAGAACCACCGAAGCACTTGGGTGCAGACTGCGCCAGCCCTGCTGGAGGGCTCTGCCTGTTCAGTTGTTTGAGCTCCACAGAGACTAGGAGGCACCAACCTCTGTGTTTTGTAAAATTGGGGAGATGTTAATCGGAGCACCCAGTGTGAGTCTGTCCCCTCTGGGCCCTGGCCCTCCGGCCCCCGGCTGTGCTCTTCGAGGCCTGAGGGCTTCTGTAGTGTCTTCCCTGCAGCCACCTGCTCTTCATCCCCTCCCTGCTAATGTGTGCCTCCTGCCCCGCCCCACCCCACAGCTAGACCTGTTAGAGAGGAGGAGAGGGGCTCGGCCACTTCCCTGCCTCCGGGCCAAGGCCCTGAGGAACTTAGTTGGTCCGAAGGTTGTGGGTTATTGTTAAGCTGAACTTAGATTTGGATTGCAAAAGGGAGAGGGAGGGCTGCCACCGCTGTCAGTGCCTGCGTGAGGGCTGCAGCCAGAATTCCTGGAGTCTGTTTGGACTGGGGACCCCAGCCTTTGCTTTTGTCCCTGTCGTGCGGTCCCTCCCTCCGGGGAGGAAGTTAGGGCCCTGAAGACGAGGCTCCTCTCCCAGGCTGCGCAGCGGGTGGCTGCGTTCCGAAGGGGGGTGCCCGGTCCCTCTTCCCGGGTGCGGGGTCCTCCAGCCTGTGTTCTCGGTGGTGTGTTGTCTTGGGGGGGGGTGTGTCCCATGAGCCTGCACATGAGCAAAGGTGATGGGGGTGGTACAGATGAAGCGTTTCACCAAATGCACCTGCCAGATCTTCTCTTAGAACAGCAGAGAGTGTGTCCCTACGTGTCTGTCTCTGAGCGTCGTCCTGTCGCTGAACAGCTGCTGGTCAGTTCCCGGTCAGGGCACAGACTGGGCTGTGGGTCTGAGCCCCCGTTGGGGTGCGTATGGAAAGCAACCGATGGATGTTGCTCTCATTTCGATGCCCTCCTCCCCCCCATCTTCTCTTTCTTTTTCCCTCTCTCCTCCCCTCTCCCTTTCTGTTTCTGTTTCTCTCCCTCCCTCCCAGCATGTCCTCCAGTGAGGGTTAAAGAAAATGTTCTGGAGTGTCTGAGGGGCCTTGGGAAGATGAGGGGTGTGTGTGTGTGTGTGTGTGTGGGGGGGCCTTGTGGGTGGAGGCCAGCAGGCACAGGCCGCTCCCAGGCAAATGCCCAGCAGCCTCCCTCCTCCCTCCAGGTCTGGCTGTGGGTCTGGGCTTCGGAGCTCTGGCTGAAGTCGCCAAGAAGACCCTCCGCTCGGAGGACTCCTCAGGTGAGCTGCCCTTGGCCCTGGGGGTGGGCCTGTCAGCCCAGTCCCGCCTGTGTTCTGGGGTCACCCCACGTCCCCCTGTAGGGCACAGTCACTGTGGCCTGCGGGCGGCTCTATCCAGTGCTGCCTGCCCTGCTCACCCCCACTTCCGGCTCCCTCGGTGGCGCTGGGGTTTGGCCCCGCCCCCGCCCCCCCCCCCCTCCCCCGGAGCGGCTGGGCCTGTGGCCTGGCTGTCAGGCCCAGGGCTCCATGCGGCTGAGGATGTGGGTGCTGCTGGGACAGGTCCCATAGGGTCTTCCATCTCTGAGGCAGAGGTCACGAGCCTCTGTCCCGTCTCCTGGGGTCAGCCAGGGGTCAGGTCAGGTCTCTCCGTTTCTGGCGCCTCCTGTCCCTTCACGAGGACCCCCGTGACACTGCCCATGCCCGCTGCCCTGGCTGCCAGTCGCAGCGGCGGCCCCTCTTCACTCCAGGGCCTCCGTGGTCAGGGAACCTCCGGAGAGAAAGCACTGCTGTCCCCACAGGCCCCGGGTGCCGGGACACACGTGTCCTGGCAGGGCCGGGGGACGGCTTAGCGGGGGTATTTTTAGTGCTGGTGCGACACACTTTGGGAGCGAGCCTGGCTTTCTGGGGAGAAGCCAGCCGTCCCGAGAGCCGCCCTCCCCTGTGGCCGGCCGCTCCCACAGGTCCGGGCCGGGGAGGCGAGGACTGGCTTCAGGCGTAAGTCGGTGTCCTTGGTCAGGGAGCAGTGACCTTAGCTGGAGTGGACCTTGATGGCCCAGGAGCCAGAGGACCTGGGGCTCAGGCCAGGCAGGTCGGGCCCCAAGCTCTGCCCCAGCTCTCAGGACAGGCTCTGCGCTGCCGTGACCAGCCAGGCCCAGCTCCGCCTGCCCTGGAGGGCTCTCTCCTGAGGGACAGGCCCACCCCGTTTTACCGCTGGCTCCTCATCCACAGAACTAGCCATGTCCCCGCTGGCGATGTACCGGGGTGTGATCGGGGACCCTTCCTGGTCCAGCCATTCTGGAGCCCGGCCCACAGGCTGCCCCCTGACCCCCAACAGCTCGGTCTCTCCCTGGGAGCTGACATCGCTCACTCTCCTGGGACCGACCCCCTGATGTGTAGGACCCAGCCTGACTCCTGAGTGAGCTGACAGCTGCCCTGAGAAGCTGGCGGATGCACATGCTCTCTTCGGGGCTTCTCTTCTGCAAACTGCACCCCACCCTGTGCACCCCACTCTGTCAGAGGCTGCGCTGGACAGGTTCCTGGGACAGGATTCCTCTTGGGACCTAGCTCCGTCCTCCTGCGTGCCAGGCCGGGCACCTCACTGGGCTCCCAGGCCAGCAGGCAGGAAAGCAAGTGCCACCAGCTGCAGGAAGGGAAGAGGGTGCTGAGGAGCTGGGGGAGGGCAGGGGGCGCCGGGCATGCCTCTCCCACCTAGGACCGGGCAGAACCAGTACTTAGCAGGGCCGTGGAGGTGGAGGTGGGGTGCTGGGCAGAGGGTCCTGACCTCTGGAGTCATCACCGCGCACCCTCCCGCCCCGTGTCCCGGTCACAGGTCATCGGCCCCCGAGGTCACTGCACTGGCCCCGGGGCCGGCTGGCTGCAGGGAGCTGCGAGGCCCCTGGCAGAGGGGAGCGAGGGGAGCGAGGGGAGCGGCAGGTGCAGCGGCCAGGGCTGTCCTTGACCCTGAGCTCCCCTCCCAGAGGAAGGCACTCGCTGCAGCCAGCTGGCCCCGTGGTGGGTGTGCTGGGCGAACTCTGTCCTCGCCTGGCACTGCGCTAGGTCCCTCACTCCGTGCCCGTCCCTCGTGCCAGCTGACTGCCCTTCAGCATGCCCTCTCCAGGCCCCAGGCTTGTGTGCGCGTCTGTGTGCGCGCGCGTGTGTGCGCGCGGGCACTGGGGTGGGGTGCTGCGTGCTCCCGAGGCCTCAGCAGTGTCAGGGAGGTGGGGGTGGGACAGCGACTGCTCTTTGGTTCTTGGGGGACCCAGGAGGAAGGCTGGCCAGGCTCCGTGCGGGCTTCTTCAGGTCGCACTTAGAAATGCCACACTCTGATGTCACTGCCTCTGCCGTTTCCAAGGGGAGGGGTGACCAGCGGGCCTTGGCAGCCGTGGGCTGGGTGCACTCAGGCTCCGAGGCCCACGAGAGAGGAACGAGTCTCCTCAGGTGCTGGGGGGGGGGGGGGGGGCCTCAGGCCCTGCGCCTGCCGACGGCCCCCTTGCGAGCCCTGCCAGCCTCTTCCTTGTGCCCCTCGGCACTCGGAGCGGGTGCTGGTGCCGCGGTGACCTGGCTTCCGCCCACAGGGGGGAAGAAGGCCGTGCTGGATTCCAGCCCCTTCCTGTCCGAGGCCAACGCGGAGCGCATCGTGAGCACGCTGTGCAAGGTGCGCGGGGCCGCGCTCAAGCTGGGCCAGATGCTGAGCATCCAGGGTGAGTGCCTGCGGGTGCGCGGACCGGGCAGCCGCCTTCAGTCCCACCGGAGGGGGGCCTTCCGGCTCCTCTTGCTGGGGCCTGGCTGCTGCCAGCAGGGATGCTGAGACTGTCTCGGTTGGAGGGAGAGGAGGGCTCACAGTCCTGCCAGCTGGTGTGGGCGGGAAGGAGCTTGTGGCCCCGGAGGGAAGGCGGCTGGAGGGAGCCTGGCTCCGGGGCCTCGCGAGCAGAGGCTGGGGCGCCGAGGCTGGCTCTGGGTGGGAGCAGTGACAGGGAGTCCTCAGGGGCAGTTAGTGGGGCTCATGGGCTGGCCAGGGGGCAGGCACACGCAGGGCAGGCCTTCGGAGCCTGGGCCTTGTTGTGTCTGCACCCGGGCTGTGTGGGCGGGCAGAGCAGCATCTCCCAGGAGCCCCCCGGGCAGGTGTGGGTGGCCGCTCTGTCCCCGGCCTCAGCCCTCTGCCACCTGCTTCCCTGGTGCCTTCCAGACGACGCCTTCATCAACCCCCACCTGGCCAAGATCTTCGAGCGCGTGAGGCAGAGCGCGGACTTCATGCCCCTGAAGCAGATGACGGTGAGGCGGGCCCCTGGCGGAGGGCGGGGGCGCGGGCGGCTCCGGTGCCGCCTCCCCGCCCGGAGGAGCCGCAGGGGAGTCCCAGGGCCTCCTGGGGGGGCTGGGCTGACGGGGCCTCCCGGCCTCTCCCTCCAGAAAACTCTCAACAGCGACCTGGGCCCCAACTGGCGGGACAAGCTGGAGTACTTCGAGGAGCGGCCCTTCGCGGCCGCCTCCATCGGGCAGGTGCACCTGGCCCGGATGAAGGACGGGCGGGAGGTGGCCATGAAGATCCAGGTGGGCGCTGGGGTAGACCTGGGGGGCTGTGGGGGGCCAGGCCGAGGGGGCCCTCGGGTGGGTCTGTGTCGCCGTTTCTGGCCCAGGGAGTGGCTGTGGGGGCGGGACAGTCCCAGGGAGCTTGGCCTGGGCGAGGACGGGACGCGATTGTCTGCTTTGGGCCTGCGCAGCGGCCGGCGCCGAGTGGTGCTGTGCTCGGAGACGGGTGGGAAGGGAGGCAGACAGCGGTGACTCCCAAGGTGTGGGGCCCGCTCTGCTCACGGGACCTCTGCCCCCGCAGTACCCCGGCGTGGCCCAGAGCATCAACAGCGACGTCAACAACCTCATGGCCGTGCTGAACATGAGCAACGTGCTCCCTGAAGGTGTGCTCGCCCGGCCGCCGGCGGTGGGACTCGGGTGGGCTCTGGGCACCCGCCCTAGGGGAGCCCTCCGCTCACCCGACACCCTCCCGCCCGCCAGGCCTGTTCCCCGAGCACCTGATCGACGTGCTGAGGCGGGAGCTGGCCCTCGAGTGCGACTACAAGCGAGAGGCCGCCTGCGCCAAGAAGTTCAGGTGCCGCTCGGGGCTCTCCCAGGGGAGCCCCCGGGGGAGGGAAGGGGTCTGGCCTGCTGAGCAGGGCCCTCCACTGGGTGGCCAGTCCCCGGTGTCCCGTCTCCCCCGGCGGGTGTGGGTACCGGGCCCCGTGTGACTCCGCCCCCCGCAGGGAGCTGCTGAAGGACCACCCCTTCTTCTACGTGCCCGAGGTGGTGGACGAGCTGTGCAGCCCCCACGTGCTGACCACCGAGCTCGTGTCTGGCTTCCCCCTGGACCAGGCCGAGGGGCTGAGCCAGGAGATCCGGAACGAGGTGCGTCTGCAGCGGCCGGCAGCCCCAGGCAGCGCCCTTGGAACCAAGTGCCACCTGGGCAGAAGTTCCCCAGCCCTCGACTCTCGGGTCACCAGACTACCCCCCCCCCCCCCCCCATCCCCAGATCTGCCACAACATCCTGGTCCTGTGCCTGAGGGAGCTGTTTGAGTTCCACTTCATGCAGACCGACCCCAACTGGTCCAACTTCTTCTACGACCCCGAGCAGCACAAGGTGAGCCCGGGATGGGGGGGCGGGCAGGGGCGGAGGCCGCTGCGGGAGCGGGGTCTGTGGTCAGGGGCTCAGCACCAGCTGCAAACCTGCCCTGCTGTCACCCTGCCCAGGTGGCTCTCCTGGACTTCGGGGCAACTCGGGAGTACGACAAGTCCTTCACCGACCTCTACATCCAGGTGGGGGGCGGGCCTGGCCGTGCTGCCCTGAGGCGGGGCTGGGGGACGGGAGGGGGAGGGCGGCTGGTGCGGTCATGGCCCCGTCAGGCTCCCAGCCCGGCTGGGACCTCCGGCCAGGGTCCGGGAGGAACAGGGAGCCGGTTGGCAGCGTCTGGGGGCGGGCGGGGGTCGCTCCGGCCCAGCAGCCCCTCTGTGTGCCCAGGTCATCAGGGCCGCTGCGGACCAGGACCGGGAGGCCGTGCTGAAGAAGTCCATCGAGATGAAGTTCCTCACCGGCTACGAGGTCAAGGTGCGCGCCATGGCCTGGCGGCTCCACCTGCCGCTCCGGGCTCCTCCCGGGCCTGGGCGGGGAGGAGGGGGCAGCGGAAGAACTTCCCTTAGTAAATGTGACACCAGAGGGGACAGCGCCCGCCTCTGCCCGGAGGCTCCGAGTGGCAGGGCCTGGGCAGCCAGATGGTCAGAAGCGCTGCTCCTCTGGCAAGCCCGAGACTCCGCCTGGAGCTGAGGGGTGGGAGCGGGGCCGGGAGGACTGTCCCTTTTGGCCTGAGGACTCTCAGGGTCTGTGCGCACACGCTGAGCCCGAGTGCCTTTGGGTGGCGCCCTCCTGCGTGGGCTGAGGCCCTGCCACCCCCGTGGTCTCCCACGGAGCCCGGCCACACGTTAACGCTGCTCTCAGCTCCCGTTAGAGTTCAGCCCAGCTTGCGGCCGGGCCTCGGGGCGTGAGGCTGACCCCCTCTCCGCCCGCAGGCCATGGAGGACGCGCACGTGAACGCCATCCTCACGCTGGGGAAGGCCTTCGCCTCCCACGAGCCCTTCGACTTCGGCACCCAGAAGACCACGGAGGAGATCCACAACCTGATCCCCGTCATGCTCAAGCACCGGCTCATCCCGCCCCCCGAGGAGACCTACTCGCTGCACAGGAAGATGGGCGGCTCCTTCCTCATCTGCTCCAAGCTCAAGGCCAAGATCCCCTGCAAGGACATGTTCGAGGAGGCCTACAGCAACTACTGCAAGCAGCGGGACGCGCAGTAGCTGGGCACGGAGCCGGCCGGCGGGCGGGCGGCGCCCCTTCAGACTCCTCTGCCGAGGGAGGTGCGGGCTCTGCCCGGTGCTGCCGGGGCCCACGGCCAGCGCTTACATGGTTTTTACTGCTAAGAGGGTCCGGAGTGAGGTGTGCACGAATGAGAATGGAACCCCCCTGCTGTTTATTCATCCTCTGAAATCCTCTAGATGAAGGCCGTTTTATTTCCTTCTAGGAAAACGGGGGTTTTACCTAATGTTAACCCAGAAGGCGAGAATCCCTGCCACCCAGGAAATAGAGAACGCTTTTTGACTGTTAGTGAACATGAATTAAAGGTGTGTGCGCGTTTTCTGCCCTTTGCCTCCAGCACCCAGAGTCGGCCGGGAGCAGTGCCCACAGGTCCTCGGTGCCGAGTGAGGCCTGCGCTCTGCCGGCTGCGGGAGCTGGAAGCGTCTGGAGAAGCGCTGCCTCCCAGGGCGGCCGGGGCAGCCGGGAGAACGTGACAGCTCTGTCGTGTGGCACGTGTAGACGGTGTGTGCGGGGGCCTCCTTCCCCCGGGCCCAGGGCCCTTGTGGAGTGATTGAATGTCACATGGTTAGACCGGGGTCCTCGCAGGCTCTAATTTTTGTAAAATTCTTGTAATTGTCTGATTTACTTGTTTCAATAAAAAGCAAAACAGCCCAACCAGCGTGGCTCAGTGGTTGAGTGTCGACCTACAAAGGAGGTAATGGCTTGATTCCTGGTCAGGGCACATACCCGGGCTGCAGGCTCGATCCCCAGTGTGGGGCATGCAGGAGGCAGCAGATCAATGACTCTCCCTCTCTGAAATCAATCAAAATGTATTTTCAAAAAAAGGCAAACCAGCTGAAACCGGTTTGGCTCAGTGGATAGAGCGTCGGCCTGCGGACTGAAAGGTCCCGGGTTCGATTCCGGTCAAGGGCATGTACCTGGGTTGCAGGCTCATCCCCAGTGGGAGGTGTGCAAGAGGCAGCTGGTCAATGATTCTCTCTCATCGATGTTTGTAACACTCTATCCCTCTCCTTCCTCTCTGTAAAAATATCAATAAAATATATAAAAAAAGAGAAAAATACACTTCCCTTAAAAAAAAAAAAAAAAAAAGGGCAAACCATCCTACCACCGGCATGAACTTCCCTCCTGACGAGAGGGGAGCCTGAGGTCAGCACACACCAGCCCTGTCTGCAGGTGTCCCTGCGGTTCGCGCAGGTTCCCAGTGCGAGCGTTCTGGAGGGCTTAGCCCACACTCCTCATCAGAGAAAGGGGTTCGGGAGAAAGGAACGGGGGACGGGACAGCTCTGATCACCCCAGCAACTCCCCTGCGCGCCCCCCCCCCCCCCCAGGCCCTCCCACACAGAAAAGCCACAGCTGCTCCGGAGCGAGAACTCGGCCCAGGGGGAAAGGGCCACGGCTGCGCAGGGTCGGCGCTCCTGAGCGGCGGGAACTCCAGAAACGGGCTTTTCCTGGCGGAACGAACTCCCAGGGAACAGGGACGTCCAGCCCCTGCAGAGTCTTCTCGGGGCTGAAACGGGTCCTCGCGCGGTCGGTCCGAAGGTGCTGTCGGGAAATCCTCGCACCTTGAGATGTATGAGCCCGACAGCAGCTGCCCCGCGGTCGGCCCCGGTCCCAGCACCACTGCCGGCCCCCCCGTCAGCATTTCACACGCCCTCTCGTGTGCACATGGAACACCCTCCGGAAAGCACACACACGAGGCCACCAAACAAGGTTCCGTGAATTCAGGACTGAAACCACATCGGCGCCTATTGCAGCCAGGGAGGCATGGAACCAGGAACCACCAGGAAGAAGAGGGAGAAGAAACACGGAGATGGGGAGACCAACACCACGCTCCTAAACCACCAATGAGGGTCGCGAGGAAATAGAATGTCTTGAGACAAATGAAACACAACTTTCGAAGTTCGTAGGACCCAGCAAACACAGCCCTAAGGGAGTTTCAGTTCTGTAGGCCTCCTCCAGAAACCAGGTCTATATGGAACCACAAAGGACCCTGGACAGCCAAAAAATTTTTTGAGAAAAAGGTAGGAGTGCCACGCTTAGTGATATCAAACTATACTGTAAACGTGTGTTATTAACATGGTATGGTACTGGCATAAAAACAGATATACAGAGGGGAGGGAAAAACAAAACCAAACCAAACAAACAAACAAACAAAAACAACAGATATACAGATCAATGGGATAGGATGGGGAGTGAAGCCTTGCTTACACGGTTGACCTTTAAGAAAGGAGGCAGGGCCGAAACCGGTGTGGCTCAGTGGGTAGAGCGTCAGCCTGCGAACTGAAAGGTCCCGGGTTCGATTCCAGTCAAAGGCATGTACCTTGGTTGCGGGCACATCCCCAGCGGGGGGTGTGCAGGAGGCAGCTGATCGATGTTTCTCTCTCATCAATGTTTCTACCTCTCTCTCCCTTCCTCTCTGTAAAAAAATCAATAAAATATATTAAAAAAGAAAGAAAGAAAGGGATAGTCTTTCCAACAAGCGGTGCTAGGAAAACAGGACAGATGCATGTAAAACAGTGAAATTGGACCGCTTACATCACGTACAAAACTAAACTGGAAATGGACTGGAGACTTCAATATAGGACCTGGAGCCATAAGCTGCTACCCTGTTTCCCCTAAAATAAGACAGTGTCTTATATTAATTTTTTCTCCCAAAGTTGTCCTAGGTCTTATTTTCAGGGGATGTCTTATCCTTCCATGCGCTAGGTCTTATTTTCGGGGAAACACGGTAGAAGAAAACAAGCAGTTAAACTCTGACATCACTTAGCAAAACATCAATGAGAAAGAAACATTGACCAGCTGCCTCCTGCACACCCCCTACTGGGGAGGCGCCTGCAACCAAGGTACATGCCCCTGACTGGAATCGAACCCAGGACCCCTCAGTCTGAAGGCCTATACTCTATCCACTGAGTCAAACCAGTCAGGGCAGCAATATCTTTTTGAATATGTCTCCTCAGACAACGGAAACAAAATGAAAAATAAGCAAATGGGACATCAAACAAAAGATCTGACAGTGAAGGAAACCATTAAAAGGAACATAACCTACTGAACGGGAGAAGGTATTCGCCAATGATACATCTGATGGGGGGTTAGTATACAAAATACACAAGGAACTCACGACTTAACCAAACAATCTGGTGAAAAGGACAGAGGGCCCGAAGAGACACTTCTGCCAGCAGGTGTCTGAGAAGACCGCGATGTCGCTAACCGGGAAAGCACAGATTAAACCACCGTGAGAGGCCGACGCGTCCTTGTCAGAGTGGCTATCACCAACAAATCAACACACGCTGGTGAGGACGTGAAGGACCCTCCCAAACTGCGGGTGAGACTGTAAACGGTGGAAAACGGGACGAACATTGTTCAGAAAGCTAAAACCAGCTGCCATGCTATCCAGCAGTTCCACTCTGGGGACTCATTCAAAGAAATGCGAACACAAATTCAGACACACCCCCCTGCTCACACAGCACTGCCAGCAACAGCCGATGGACCGTACACGCTGGCCGAGCAGACGGAGGCGGGCACACGAAGCTTCCAGAGAGGGAACCGGCTCTCACCAGGCTATGAGGGAACTAGGAGTCCTGGGTGAGCGCCCCCATGGCCTCCACAGGGTGAGGAGGGGCCTGGGCGGCAGGGCGGCAGGGAGCAGGGCCGTGGAGACCACAGTCTCAGACTTCGCATCAGGGAAAGAAAGGCTGCCCTCCACGCTAACAGTCGTTCTACTGCGGTTCATCGCGTCTGGGCAGCCCTGAGGGACAGCACCTGGAGGTCTCTCACATACATGTTCCACTTAGACACGTCTGTGCAGACGCGACCACGCCCCTGTCGGCGCAGGAATCTCTAAAGCTCCCCAGGAGCTGAGGACATCAAACCGAACGCAATGAAACGAGTAACTCAAGGCCAGAACGTCCCCCTCCGTGCACACGGACCCGTCGGCATCACACCCCGACAGGAAGTGACCACAGGAGGCCATGCAGCGCTGTAAGGCTACGAGGAAAACCCTAAAAACGTGCAAGACAAATGACACCACACTGTCCGATACAAGGCAGGCCACCGTGTTTCCGTGACGTTTCAGGCTCGATTTGCCAAGTCCCCCCCGAAATGACCAGGGTTCCCGCCCTTGGGCATGAGCAGCGGGCCGGGGGCTGGGAGAGGCCGGGCCGGGGGAGCGGCCCAGAAGGGAGGGGTGACACGGGCGGGAGGGGGGCGTGAAGAGCCAGCGGCCTGGCCACGTCGCTGCGAGTGCCACTTGTCGGCCTGATGGGCGAGGTGGGCGGGAGGCCCGGGCCCCGCTGGCCGGGCGGTGTGCCCCGTGAGGCCGTCCACCGGGGGGTGGGGGGCTGTCCGTCCGCCTGTCCGCCCGGCTTTGCTCTACAGCACGGAGGCCCCGCACACGGGGCTGCCTCCCAGGCTGTGGCCGCCTGACGGAGCTCTGGCCTCGGGAGGGAGGCTCGGTGTCCGCTGAAGGGCGGGCTCTCCCTGGGCCGGCTTCTCGGAAAGCAGACCATGGGGTGCGCGGCCGCACTGCGCCCGGGGCCGTCTGCCGGGAGCTTTGTCGGCGGAAAGAAACCCGTGCTGTGGTAATACAGGTGACGGGCTGATCAGACCGGGCGTCCTCCCTGACGGCCAGGTCCGGGCGGCGGCCGGAGCGGGGCTGAGCCGGCGGCTAGCAGCCGGAGGGAGGCCACTCCACTCGGATTCCGTGCTCCGAGCCCCCGTGTGCACATCGTCTCGCACCCCCACCCCCGAAAGGCGGGATCCGAGGGAGCGCGCCCCGTGGCTGGACAGAGCACCGAGGCCACCCCAGAGCAGCTGTCCCCGGAGGGCAAGCTCCCCTGCCGCCCCCTCGCGGCCCTCGCTGCGCCGCCCCTCCAGGCCCCGTCCTCCAAGCCCCTCTTCGCGAAGCCTCCGGAGGGGCCGCTGTTCGGGGGCAGGAGCGGCCGGATGACCACGGTCTGGGAGCCCCTGGAGGCGTCTCCCCTGGAGTCCTCCCAGGGGCCCGCCGGGGGCCCAGCATCGGGCCGCTCGGGGGCGGGGGAGCGGGGGGTGTGGGAAAGGTAGGACTCTGAGTGCCGTGGGAACGGAGGTGCCGGGAGCCGCCAGGCAGGCCCTCCCCTCCGCCCTCGCTGCCCCCGGAGGCGAAGGACCCGGGAGGGTGAGTTTGATCCTAAAAACATCCTTTAAAAGCAAGCACCTACAGGCGACCAGTTTTCAAGATTCGCTTGGCTGTCGAAGGGATAACGAATGGCTGAGACCCAGGACGCGGGGGGAGAGGGCGGGGGGGAGGGGCGGGGGGCTGCCTGGCTGGCGGGTTAGGAGCCACCAGGCTGTGCAATGACCCAGGCCCTGCCCCGGGTGCCGGAGGCCCAGGACATGTTTATGGTGATGACCTTCTCTTCCCAAAGGGGCGGATTCTGGAGAGGGAGCTGGCCGCGGCCATGGCCAGCCGGCGAGAGTCGAGCTGGCTGTACGGGGCCAACCCAGCCCAGACCTCCTGCCCGCGCTCAGCGTCACTGAACTCCTCTCCCTCTCCCGGCACCTTGTGCAGCCGAGCCCAGCCGAGCCCGCACCAGCCCCTCCTCCCCGGCCTCAGCCTCCCCTCCCAGAGCAGCAGCCCCGGAGGCGCCCGGCCCCAGGGAAAGGAGCACCCAGGCGCCCAGCTCGGGGCCCAGCGCCTCCCTCCCGCGGGCCTGGGAGGGGCCAAGGTTAAGGCTGCCGTGTCCTGCCGTGGGGGTCAGTGTTCGGTGATGAACCCCCTTCCCATGCTCCCGGGGAAGGGACAGCACTCAGCGGCCCCTGAGGCCGGCCCGCACCTCCTCCAGCACCTCCTCCCGCACCCAGAGGCTCCAGCAGCCCCGTGCCTGTGGGCTGGGAGGGATCAGAGGGGGTGTGGCTCAGGCTCCCCCAGAAAAAGGTTTGCCCCTGAGGCTGCAGAAGGGCTTCCGGAGGCGGCTGCAGGTGGAGGACCGGCCGGGGAGGAGGGTGGGGGCGGGGGCAGGGGGGCAGGGAGAGGGGCGGCTGTGCTCTCCCTGCAGGGCGGGCGGGCGGGCGGGCGGCCGAGAACAGACAGAAACGACAGGCCTCCATTCAATGATCGCTCGTATGTGTATATGCATCCTCGGCCGTCGGTACAGGACGCTGCTCTCCCGCGTACACCCCCCACGTGCGCACTCACGGGGCCGGGAACCCGTCGCTGAGTCCGAGGGGCACGGCGGCGAGGGCGCGGCCGGAGCAGGGGCTGGAGGCGGCGGGGGCGCTGGCTCCGTGGCGGGCGGTGTCCTCGGCGGCGGGCGGGCGGGGCTGCGCGGAGCCGCCCCTCGGCCGTCACGGGTCCCAGGCGCCGCGCTCGGCGCTCTCCAGGGAGAGGCTCTGGGTCTTGCGTGGGGACGCGGGGCTGGGCGGGCTGCTCAGGTTGGAGCTGTTGGAGGCCGTGGAGTGCCGCGGGGAGTCCGAGTCCTGGGGCGAAGGAGGCGTCAGCGGCGCCGGCAGGGGCGGGGCCCGGCCCCCGCCCGCCCCGGGGCCGCCCCGCCCGCCCGCCCCGGGCCGCACTCACCTCCCCGTCATAGTCGCGGGCCGGGGCGTCGCTGCCTTGGTCCATGCCCCCCGAGGACAGGGAGCCCTCGGACGGGGACGGCAGGGGGTGCCGCTGGGCGCCGTAGCTTCCCCCGGAGAACTCCCTCCGGAGCGCGCTGCCGTTCTGGGCGGAGGACCCTGCGGGGGGCGCGCCGTGAGCCCGGCCCAGCTGCGGGGCTGTCAGGGCCTCAGAGGCCCGGCCGGTCCCAGGGGAGCGCAGCTCCGGGGCTCCGGGCTCTCTGCCCACCTGCGCTTTCCGCGCCCCCCCCCACCCCACCCCGGGCAGCAGCTGGGCCCAGGGCCTCTGGACTGCACAGGGCGTACAGGGCAGCAGGGTGTGCTGGGCGGGTGTGTGTGTGTGTGTGTGTGTGCGCACACGCACGAGGCACACGGGGCCGCAGGGTGTGGGGGCAGGAGGGGAGGGGACAGGAGGGGGCGCACGCACGGGGCACCCGGGGCCGCAGGGTGTGGGAGCTGGAGGGGAGGGGACAGGAGGGGGCGCACGCACGGGGCACCCGGGGCCGCAGGGTGTGGGAGCTGGAGGGGAGGGGACAGGAGGGGGCGCACGCACGGGGCACATGGGGCCGCAGGGTGTGGGAGCTGGAGGGGAGGGGGCAGGAGGGGCGCACGCACGGGGCACACGGGCCCGCAGGGTGTGGGAGCTGGAGGGGAGGGGGCAGGAGGGGCGCACGCACGGGGCACTCGGGGCGCAGGGTGTGGGGGCAGGAGGGGAGGGGGCAGGAGGGGCGCACGCACGGGGCACTCGGGGCCGCAGGGTGAGGGGCAGGAGGGGAGGGGGCAGGAGGGGCGCACGCACGGGGCACTCGGGGCGGCAGGGGCAGGGTCCACTTACGTGCGGACAGGCCGCTGCTGGCGCTCATGGAGCGGCCGGGCTCGGGGCGGGCCTTGCTCATGGAGGGGATGCTGACGGAGCCGCTGAACACCGTCCGGCTCTCCTGAGGCCGCGGGTTCTAGAGGGGAGAGAGAGGGAGAGAAGCCGGCTTCCTGCAGAAACGTCCGTCCGTCCGTCCGTCCCTGCAATCTTCAGAAACCAAACGATCCCGACCAGAGGCCCACACCCCCAGCCCAGCCCAGCGGGGGCGCTGCGTGGGGGGCACTCCTGGCGGAGAGGCGGCTCCAGGTCAGAGGCCAAAACCCTGGGAACAGCAGCCAAAGCCCGTTTGGGGGGGAATCGGGGAGGAGGAGCAGGTGCTTCGAGCACGTTTCGCTGGCGCGACACCCAACTGCCCTCTGCCTGTGCCGTCCGCCCGGCATCCAGCCTCTGTCCAAGCAGCAGGGCCTGGGGCCCGAGCCCTCGGAGCCCGGCACGGAGGCTCCCATCGCGCTGCTGAGCGATGCTGTGTCCGGGGTGGGGAAGGGCCCGAGGGAGTCTCACACGCGGGAGGGGTGTGGCCTCCTTGGGGACCAACCTTTTCCGCTCGGAAGGGGGTCGGGCTGACACCCCCAGGGACGGGCGGTGGGAAGAACGTGTGTGTGTGTGTGTGTGTGTGTGTGTGTGTCCAGCCAGGCCCGCACTGGCGGCCTGGGGAGCCGGAACCCTGCGGAGCCCTCACTGGGCGGTGGCGGGCAGCCGGCCCCAAACCCGCCCCCTCCGTTTTGGCCCACATGTCAAATTTGCAAAGTGCATGTAATTCTTGGTGTGTTATTTGTCTGAAGCGAATGCTTTACCTTCTTTCTCTAAGAAGTAGAGGACTGAACGTTCACAGTCAGTGTAATGTCTCACCTTCACCACCCGGGGGCGACCTGGCGGCACCAGCAAAGGCACCGGGTGCACAAAGGGAAGAGGTGGGAGCAGCCTCCGCCCTCACCTTCCCGCCTCTGCTCTCAGCCTGGGAGACCCTTTCCTGTAACAACCCCCCATCCCTGCGGAGGGAAGCCCATGGCCTCCGCCCTCACCTTCCCGCCTCTGCTCCCAGCCTGGGGGCACCTTTCCCAAACCCCCCGCCGCCATCCCTGCGGAGGGAAGCCCACAGCACGGCTGGGGCCGCAGCAACATGGGATGTGACACGAGGGTGACACACAGAAGGCGTGTTTTGTCAAAAAGGCAGCAGCAGCCCCAGATGTGTCATCCCTTCAGCTAACAGTCGGCTTCATCCCCCCTAACTGTCCTCCCCTGCAGCCTGGTCACCCCTAACTGCTCTCCCCTGCAGTGCCCCGACGCCTTCACGGACAAACTGCTTACGGCTTCGGTGAGTGTTCTGTGTGTAACATCAACGGCTCACTTAGCAACATTCCCACCACCCTGTTATGAGAAACTGACTGACTTACACAACCTTCTCCTAGAACCCGTTTCCTGCTTCTGTTTCCACACTAAGGTTTACTTTATCACAAGTCACCTTATTTTAAATAAGATACTTAAATGACATTATAATTTAAGGTCAAGGACAATGACATCACATCTAATAAAAGAGTAATATGCAAATTGACCATCACCCCAACATACAAGATGATTGCCATCTTGGGCAGTTGTGGGCAATCAGGCCAGCAGGGGAAGGCAGTTGGGAGGGACCAGGCCTGCAAGGGAGGGCAATTGGGAGCAATCAGATCTGCAGGGGAGGGCAGTTAGGGGCAATCGTGCTGGCAGGGGAACAGTTAGGCATCGATTAGACTGGCAGGGGAGTGGTTATGGGTGATCAGGCTGGCAGGCAGAAGCGGTTAGGGACAGTCAGGCAGGCAGACAGGTGAGTGGTTGGGAGCCAGCAGTCCTGGATTGTGAGAGGGATGTTCGGCTGCCCAATGGGATCGGACCTAAACGGGCAGTTGAGGAGTGCCTGATTGGAGAGGGTGCAGGTTGGGCTAAGGGACATAAATCCCCCCACCCCGTGCAAGAATTACATGCACCAGGCCTCTAGTTCATTTATAATACAGACAAAAGTAGGAAAATGAACGTCTCACCCTGCAGCTAGTTTTCTTATGGAAAACTAATTTCCTGTACACACAAATAACCAGTTAATGCTGTGATTTACCTAAGCCAAAGGGCACTACAGAAAATGGTTTTGCATGATATGATCCAAACATCTTGTTATCTGTAAAATTAACGTGAGAGCCTTGGCTCAGTGGATAGAGCACTGGCCTGTGGACTGAAGGGTCCCGGGTTCGATTCTGCTCAAGGGCGCACACCCTGCTTACAGGTTCCCTGGCCATGGTTGGGGCGCATGCAGGAGGCAACCAATCAATGTGTCTCTTTCACATCGATGTTTCTGTCTCTCTCCCTCCCATTCTCCAAAATTCAATGGCAAAATATCCTGGGTGAGAATTAACAATAAAAACCCCACAGAAAACACGAAACACTTTAAGCATGAGGCCCAGTGGCCGGCCGGCCGGACAGCAGGGACGGTCTGAGGCTGTACAGCTGGTGCTTCTCCTCTGACTTGGCGCTTACCCGGGACCCCGGTTGGAAGTAAAGGCACACAGCAGCCTGAGGCTTAGCAAGCCCACCTTCTCCTGTGACCTCCCTGTTGTCCACCAACACTGTGTGGAGACTTGTAAGCCAGAGGAGAGGCCTGAGGATAGCCCTACCACAGCCTTTAATGTCACCAAATACAGAACATTCTCCGAACAAGCTACGAAAAACTCTGAAGTCCTGGGACCCCTCTTTTGTTTTTAACAGAACAAGGACCCACTTGGGGGCTATTTCTTATCATGGTATCTGTAATGGAAATACCTCAATGGCAAATGTGTTATGAAGGATACAAAAACCTCTAACACAGTTTCAAAAATAAAATTACATCCTCTCTGTCCTCATCTTTCTCTTCAAAAGAAGAAACGAAGCGGAACTTGGAGGAGGAGGAGGAGGAGGAGGAGGAGGAGGAGGAGGAGGGGGAGGAGAAGGGGAAAAAGGGCCGCCTGGGCAGTTGCTCAGGAGCAGGCAGAGGAGCGCCCCACAGGTGAGGAAGTTAACACCGACTCAGCCGTTCATACCCTCAGAGCCATAAAGCTGGGTGCACCGGGGACAGAGCGCAGAGACGAGGAACACACAGGGTTTACGAAACCAGGAGAGAGAAACTTTTCAGCAGAATTAACGGTCATGTGATAGATGTGCTCAAAGTTGACCGGAGAGGAGATCAGACCGGGGTGGTGATGAGGGGATGGAGAGGGGAAGCCTGGCTATCAAAACAGAGGAGAAAACGGTGATGAGGTGATGAAATGGAGCCACTGGTTACATGCGACATTTCCCACAACATGCATGTAGGGAAAATGAAAGAAGCACCTCACATCAGAAATGAACCTTTAATGAAATATTTCTAGGCCGTGGAGTGACATTTTGTAATCATCGTGCACCAGGTACTTAAACAGCTGATTTGCAAAAGAATCCTCCACCTATGAACCAAACCGTTCTCTCCTATTGCTATCGTCATGTGAACACTGGGCTTTCAGTCAAAGGCCCGTCAGAGTTCAGGCAAGCATCCTGCCCCCGACTGTGGAGGGCCTGAGGCAGCGGGTGCAGAGTGGCCAGGCCCCGCAGAGAGCTATGGTGCATAGATTCGTGCGCAGAACTACTAGTGTTAATATAACCACATAATGTCTTAATGAGAATGCCACTTTCCTTCATAAGCAGGCCACCTAGTTAATTGGGATATTTACAACGAGGGACTTGGACTCAAATGAGTGCACATTTTTTGTTCTTCCCATGAAGTAAGTGCAAAGCTACCTATAAAGGCTTACCGTATTTCTCGGACCATAAGATGCACTTTTCCCCCCCAGAAGTGGGGGGGAAAAGTCCCTGTGTCTTATGGTCCAAATATAGCCTACACATATACTTTAAAAAAAAAAAGTTTTTTTACTTGCCCGGCTCTGTGTGGTCTCTGTGTGCTTGCCCGGCTCTAAAATGGTTCTAAATGCTGCTGTTTACTTTACAGGGTTGATTACATGTGTTTATGACTGTGATGTTGGGTTTTAATGCACATAAAATATTTTAGGACACTATTTGTTTCAGAATCTTTTTTTCTTCATTTCCCTTCTCTAAAAACTGGTGTGTCTTATGGTCCGGAGCGTCTTATGGTCCGAAAAATACGGTAATTTTTTAAAAACCTGACCACACATTAATTATATTACCTATCATTTCCCGGCAGTGAGTTCACATCTGCGATGACCACAGCGTTAGTAATGTGGATAATAACAGACTTCCTTAGCAGGAGCTGCGGTCACAGTTCACCATCATCTCCCAAATCGCCAGTCCATAAATCACGCTTAGAATTCTGTGCCAGGTCTAGATGCTCCCCACTGACAGCAGGGTCACGCTCAAGTTCCCATAGCGAGCAGAGAGCATCAGACAGAGGCTGGAATGCTAAGTGTAAGTGGAGCCCACTAACAGCCTGAGTTCTGCATAACAGGTCCAAGAATCCATCTTAATGTTGTCAAACAAAACAATAGTTTTCCCATGCAGCCCTTGTGACAACCAGTGCAGTCCTGGGGGGAGTGGTGGGGGAGGCGAGGAGGGGGAGAAGAGCACCCCATCTGCACGGAATCACTAAGACACAACGAAGTCTGAGTGATCTGGTCAACAAGCTCTGAATGTTGGTAGGAACCCTCTTGGAAGCTGGAGGCATAGGACACGTTTACAGGTTATGCAACTGGCCATAAACTTGTGCTTTGGTGATTGACAGAATCTAAACTTTATATTTTTCTCTCAGGTGTGCCGTCACGCACTGTGATAAACATTTCCTCATTGTCCTAATATTGCTTTTAAGTCACACACACATACATACACACATACACGTATGCCCCTCCCTTACTCTAACTCCAGTCATATTCCCATTCACTCCTCATTTTCTTACCACGGGCAGGTCTTTCAGGATCTGTATTCCATCCCCTGGACCCATGTGTGCTATGTGGTTAAAATTAGTTGGGTTAGAAATTAATTTATTTCTCATTTCAGGATCTCGTAGCATCTCTCTGTAAGAGAAAACACCCGTTTAGACACTTCTATGATCAATCTAGATAACTCTAACAAATTAAGTATACATTATTTTTTCATGAAAATAAATGTGAAATCGTGTTACTATGGATAGGATTAAAATAATAAAATCGATACAAATTTACTTAGGTTTGTTTTACATTTTAAATAAAAGATCTTACAATATTTGGTGAGAAAAGGGCATTTTAGTAGAGACATAGAAGAAGCTCTATTCTATTTCACAGATAATTCCGATCATTTATGTACGTCTCAAAATAATTGATAACACTTAGAAATGTTTTTACATGTAATTGGATATACTATAAACCTGTTTTTGTTTACTCATAAAGAGAAGAGTGAACCTAAGTTCTTAAATATATAAGGTTTACTACTATGCAATGATTGGTTCTACGTTTCCATTAAAACAAGGTACACAGTCTAAAAACTTCTAACTACTCCACACACATAGAGAAATGAATCAAAATCTGGTACTTTAGTCTAATTCACACAACGTGGACAGTGTTAATTAAAGTGACTGGGATGGACAGTCATTACTGCAGTTTTTCCCACCACAGATTTTCAGAGATCGAATGTTCCTTCCAAAACAAGTATGTCGTCCCTGACAGCCCTGCAGCCCCAGCCTGTGCGGGCGCAGAACGGACGCCCACCTCCTCTGCTGCACCCGCTCCTCCTCCGGCACTCGGAACGAGAACCGCCGCTTGTTGTTGATATTCCTGACCATCTGCTTTCGGCTGTTATCTGTGGTTTCAGGAACCACCAGCTCATCCCCTTCTGTTTAAAAAAACAGAGAGCAACGATGTTCGGTAGAGTGCTAGAATGCTTTTTACCCATTTGTCTCTAAGACAGTATGAACTTAATCAATTGCGCACAGTACATGCAATGCTAATTTTTAAAAGTTGTGTCAAGGATCATAGTGAAATAAGCAATAATCTTCAACAGTACATAAACAGATAGGTGCTGAAATTAAACACAACTTATAAAGGGGAATTTCGCTTTTATTTGATTACTAGAGGCCTGATGCACGAAATTCGTGCACTCGGGGGTGGGGGGGGGGTCCCTCAGCCCAACCTGCACCCTCTCAAAGTCCGGGAACCCCTGGGGCATGTCTGACTGCCCCTCGCTCGCCAGCTGTGAGCACAGCTTCTGGCTGAGCAGCACTTCTCCTGGGTCGTCAGTGCACGTCTTAGCGACCGGTTGTTCTGCCATTCGGCCGATTTGCATATTAGCCTTTTATTATAAAGGATAAACATAAAATAGCACCATTTTACTAGGAAGAAAGAAAAATGTCGCTGCCTCGGTGCCCGGTCACCCTGGCCACCCTCCCACAATGACCACACACCTCTCTCTCCTTCTAGGTGTTGGTCTCACTGGCTCAGGGTGGTAAGCTATTGCTAACCTGCACAGTAATCAGGCATGAAAGGTAAATTACTCATGTACATTATCATTACAATTATTTTTACATATTAAAGCATTTCCTTTGCATGATGCCATCTGCGAGGTGTGGGGTCAGGAAAGGAATCGTGTTCCTACCAGCTGCCTTTACTACAGACAAGACTCTGCCACCTCCCTGCTCTCCTCTGGGGCGAGGACACCTGTCCACATCACCTAGTGAGCCCGTGCCCACCTCATTCCATTCCCATCCAAATGCGCAGAAGTCAACAGCATATGTTGGCGTATGTGAACATACTGCCAAGTAGACAATTGCACCCAACATGGTAGATGCCGTCTCTGAGCAACATCAGGGAAGAGAGGAAAGCCTCTAAGCCTGAGGCATCAAATGGCAGGAGAGGTACTCCCATAGCCCAGGCAGAGCTCCGGCGAGCGGTCACAGTGCTGGTGCCACACACCCTGGTTCGGTTCCCCGTACACATGTACAGGGAACACACTTAGTCACACTTCCTCTACGTATCCGGGTGTTTCACAGAGAAACAACCAGGCGAGCCGGAAACAAATATTCCGACTCTCCAGCTATGCCAGCTAACCAGAACGGCTTTTGTCGAATAGTTTATCTCCATCTATAGAGAGAGTATGACAGCGGCCAAGATGGCAGCCTTCGGAGCAGACACAACGGGTTTGAATCTGGGCTCTACCACTTCTTATCTGCGGGCAGTCAGCTCAGGGAGAACACTATGGAAGGTGTCCCACTGATGTGCATCTTCTTACCTGCCATCTTATTTTTGAAATAAATTAATCTAATCGTCTCCAAGCCTAAAAGATTTAATGATCCTTCACTGTTTAAGGGTCGAACCTAAAATAATAAAAAATAAAATTAGTATTTCAACAAAACCTTCAAAAATTAAACCATAAAACGTTTGGCCTATTTATAAACCACACACATTTATATCCTTCCTCTTCAAAATAGAACCCTCTCAGAAAATCAGGAAGAAAATTAACATTACTTCTGACTGGGAAGGTATAAAATTATCTAATTTGAATAAAGTTATAATGATAACATTATAAAGGAAGACTATTCTGGACACACACACACACAAAAATGTAGAAATACATTTAAACCTTAAATTTGATTTCTTCAAAGCCATTAGTGACCAAATGATTATACTAAGATATCAACACAGATACTTTATGACCTTGTTTGAACTAAATGGACAAACAACATAGTTAACGGGGGACATGCAAATTAACACTTTAATGAGATACCACTTTATAACCACTTATAAGGGCCATAACACTATGTGACAATGGCAGTGTTAGAGAAGATGTGTGTCAGAAAAAACCCTTACACACTGTTGGCGGGAGTGCCAACGGGCATAATTACTTTGTAAAATAACCTGACACCAGCTTGTAAAGCCAAGTCCTTGCATTTCCTGGGCACCACCAACCCATGCCCAGGCACAGAACTTAAGGGAAACCCTGCACACACCATGCACCAGGTGTACGCAATGATGTTCACAACAGCAGAAAGCTGGGCAGTCAGTCAGGTGTGCTCATCAGTGATGACCGCTTCACCCACAACATTGTAGACAGCGAAGGCAGAGAACAGTGTGTAACAACATGGTGGCTGGTGCATCTCAGATACACAGTAAATGCATGGAGAAAGCAAGGCGGAAGGGGACACACAATTGCAAGCGAAACTGAACAATCTGTTGTTCAGAAATATTTAAATATACAAAAAACTCCGGATTTTGTGATAAGCAAGGAAATGATAAACAGCACTTGGGGAGTGATTTCCCGGAGGGAGTATGTGGTGAGAGAGATCACACCAGGCAAATGCAGTGACAGAGGGAATCTCCTGGCTCTTAAGTTAGGTCAGTTTAGTCAGGTTCTTCAAGGTCATGTCTTCCTACATATATATCGTAAAGTTTACGTGATAAAGATAAAAGGGACAACTAACTGTAACCAACCCAAACGTACAGGCTAAAGGACTGTGTTCAGCAGCTCTATATAGTGTGGTGGCATCTGCAGGAGCTTCTTCACTGATGATGAGGGCGATTTTAAATACGGCCTTGGCTACTTTCTGCTACCTATTCTTCCAACCCTAGCCCCTAACTAACGACACCTGCTACATTTTCGATGTGAAATACTACTCTTGCAAAATAGCCATTCTATACTACTTACAAAAATATCTCTTTACGTTATCACAGGGAAATGTTAAAGAAAAATATTGTTTTACTGGGAACATGTGAAAGCTTTATGTTTTAACTAGAGGCCCGATGCACAAAATATGTGTGCTTGGGTGTGTGTGTGTGGGGGGGAGGGTCCCTCAGCCCGGCCTGTGTCCTTTCGAAGTCCAGGAGCCCTTGGAGAATGTTCGACTGCTGGCTTCGGTCCACCCCCCGCAAGCCATGAGCCCAGCTTCTGGCTGAGCAGTGCTCCCTATGTGGAAGCACACTGACCACCTGGGGGCAGCTCCTGTGTTGAGCACCTGCCCCCTGGTGGTCAGTGCATGTCATAGAGACTGGTAATTCTGCAGTTTGGTCAAATTAAATATTAGCCTTTTATTACATAGGATTATGGAATGATTAAACACAGTTTTGGTTCTAATTCTAATTATTCTCTGGTCTGTAAATCTGTTCTCACAGGATTTCAAACTGAACACCGTTATGTGAAAAACATCGCAATTAACAATAATATAAACCCCCCAAAGCTCCTCAAACCAGTCAGGAAGTTAATGCTGACATTTTAGGTCGTAGGACACAGTCTAGCTGTTCATTATAATAATCACACTCCAAACAGCAAAACTAAAGTAATAAGAATAGTGTGGAATTGAGCTACTTATAAGATTAACCAGATTGATTTTTTTCATTCTTAGCTAAATCCCACGTTACCATTACATATGCCAGAAATTGCTAAATTAGTGAAAATTAGCTAACTAGTCATGTTAGTGTTCACTTATACACATTAGTTTGCTCAGCCCATATGCTAGTATTAAGTTACCTTTCTGAGTGGGAGAGTCTGAATCCACTCCATGGAGTTCACATCGAAGATGTCAACCGCGTTTTCACTGTACACGGACAGGTAGGGGGCATTGTAGCCTGGGAGGAGGAGGAGAGAGCGGCCTGCCAGTTACTTTTAACTATTCATAAAAGCCAGATATTCCATTTCTTACTCCACATGGTAAGTCAAACGATGACTCATCTGACTAGGCTACAAAACAGCATCCATTCTGAATAAGATGCCATAGATGTGAGTATATGTTTCACAAGAAACAAAACGATAAGTACAGTGGTGTCTCCGATTGTGGGTTAGGAAAACTTTTCTCTTCTTATCTAGATTTCCTGATGTGCCTGCAATAAGCATGCATGCTCTCCAAACGCCCTCCTGCTGAGCCGTAAAGGTGCCGTGCTCCCAGCCCTCCTCCTGGTTGTGGTGGGAGGTGCCTTCCTCCTGCTGCCTGCATCCTCCCCGGGGCTACATCCTGGCCTCTGGCCTCCTTGGGGGTCTTACTCCAGTTCCTGCATTTACTATGGAGTCACTTTCCTAGTTCCCTAGCGGCTACTTCTCTTCAGCATTTAAACACGTTTAAGTACCTTCCACTACAAACAAAACGTTTTGGGCTGGATACTCCTACTTATTATATCACCAGAGGCCCGGTGCATGAAAATTCAGCCTGGCCTGCCTCCTCTCACAGTCCAGGAGCCCTCAAGGTTGGAAGGTGACCCGGCGATCAGGAGAAGGCAATGACCCATCACACTTCTGCTGCTGCCGCTGCCAGCAGTGCAGGCCTCGGCCAGCTCTGGTTACCCAAGCCCCAGGAGGCCCTGGGCCGCTGGGTGGCCAACACCCGAGGCTTGCCTGTGCCTTGGGATGGCCCTGGGTGGCTGGGGGGTAAGGGACCTGGGGGACTCTGGAGGCAGGCACGTGGAGCACCCACACCCGTCTGGAGGCGGGCCGAGCACCTGCTGCCCTGGCGGAGTGAGGGGACTGGGCGCCGCCATCTTCGATAGTGTGGCAATTAGCATATTCCCTTCCTTATTGGCTATGGGCCCCACCATCTTTGTGAGGGCATGATGGTCAATTAGCATATTCCTGCTTTATTAGATAGGATAGGCAGTGAAATAGCATATACTGAGTATTCCAAAACTTATTTATGTCATAATTATTTCCTGAGTGAAAGAAACAATTTTTAATATATACCTATCTAAATAAAAACATGAAGCTGAATAACACTTCTTATAGATACTACACTATCCTTTCACAGAACTGATTAACTAATGCCTTAGTAACTGCTTCTTCAGCTATTAATAATCCCACTGTATTTTTGAGGACCATGAAGATACTATTTAGGTTTTTTTCAAAATACAATAACTAAGTACAATATTCCTTAATTAAATGGGCTTAACTACACAAGGTTACTACTACTTTACATAAATGACATAATTAATACTTAGGAAAAACCTTACGGATGGCTTAAAATGACCAGTTCTTAACAATAAATACATCTGGGAGATGGAGTAGAAGGAAGAGAAGGAGACAGGAAGAGAAGAGACTCTTACAACAAGCGGAGGGGTGAGCGGGCCACGTCAGCTCCTGCTGCCGAGAGCGGCGGCCCTGGCAGTCGGTGTAGACGCCGATGCTGCTAAAACACAGCAGGTGCTCCTTGCTGGAGATCTCCACGGCGCAGAGGGCGTCCAGGGGCTGGTGCGTGATGAAGGACAGGGTGTGGTCACTCGAGTGGAGCAGGCTGCACGGGCTTCCGTCTCCACTCAAGGGGTACCTCTGAAATCCCGACTGGAATCCCACACAGAGGTGCTCACTGAAGACTGCCATCCACTGGACATTCGACGGGACTTGAATTTCCTTAAATTTCCTGTGACGGGTCTTGCTCTGAAACAGTTCATAGCAGAGGACCTGCCTTTTCATGGCCACACACAGGCATGTGAGGGTGCCGTGACGCAATCTCCCAGACGTTATGGTCTGACAGCCTTTGGTTTCCGCCAGCTTATAGAACTCTGTCTCCCGTCCGTCCAAAGCTGACATGGGGAAAAGGCGTACGTGACGATTCCGTCCTGAGATCACAGCAACAAGCTGATCGTTTGGAATGAGTTCAACCTGATGGACCTTCTTGTTGTCACCAACCCGAACAATTTCTATGCAAAGAAATCACAATAAATCAGATGCATAATAATGTTGTTTATTTATTAATCATATCCCAATCATACTCAAAAGGATATTTTCAAAACTTACAATAAAGAAGGATGCACACGTAGAAAAGAGGAACAGCTCAGAAGTCACAGAGGACGAGGAAGATGTCACATCCCTTACAAGACCATCTAACTCACTACAGTGAAGTATTACATTTGGCACCGAGACCCCTGGTGCCACGGCAATAAGCTGCTCTGTGACCAGGCATGCCAGATCTTCAAAAAACACCACAACAAGCCTTTTTACTGGCACTAAGTTCTAGGGAACTTTTTACTATGGGGTTCGTTGTGTTTTATTTTTAGTTTTTAAGTAACTCATATTTCACTAGGAGTATTTGTATGGATAGTGAAGTTTAATGCATTGTTTTCCCATGAACTAACTTGATATAAATACAGAACCTAGAGCTCTGCATTCAAGAATGCTAAGTTAAATTGGTTTCTTTTTATTTCACCCAGTATTTAATTTATCTTTAGGAAAAGATCTTTTGCGATAAACTATGGGAAACACCCCAACAAAAAGAACATTTCAGTGAGCCACCTCTTTGAGGATTATTGGAACAATGGAAAAGCCAGTGCGTTTTCTTTCCGCACCTTCTTCAGCGGTGAGACCTGAGCTCCACAGCAGAAATCAGTTCCACAAGAAAGAGGATCTACCACACGTGATGTTGTAGAACTCAGGATGACTATGGGAGTTAAAAAATTACCTTTGACTTATAAACATGTCAAATTAGGTGAGGGTAATTTCAATTATAGAAAACATAAGCAAATCCTGCTATTTATAGAATTTAGAAACTATAGAGTTTAGAATTTTCTAGCAACATACACGTGCAAGTTACCCCACAATAATGTTTTTCTTACCATCTTTGGTGACATGCACAACAAATAAACCTTCTTCATTTCCCAAAGCTATCCTTTCATGATCTATGCAAGATATAAACAAATATGAAACGTTTTTATTAGGCAAAAACTGCAAGCTAACAGAATAAAATAGATAATAAAGAAATTTGATACAAAAAACCTGAAATAAATAATATAAAAATACCAATAACAATTTTTACTATTAAATTTCCATTCATTTCTTTTTAAATAAAATAATCATTAGAAAATTATATCAACATTTACAAAAGTAAATGTTTATTCAATAACAGGTGAAAAAAATTAACACCTAGTCTATGAGTGTCCTTGGTCCAGTTCTATTTCTTGTTTTGGACCAATTTGTGCAAGGCACTGAACTTACTCATTCAGCTTTTCATTATTTACTAGAAAGTGACGAAAGAGTTAAATGTGTACACAGGAATATGGTGGTAATTTAAAGCTCCAGACACACAGGCTGCCACTGTTTAGGGCTTCTGATTACAACGGCATTCTGTTCGGCCCCGCACCTCAGTGAGACTTGCCAATAACTTCTGCAAGGCAACTGGCACCCACATTGGACACGGAAGGTTACGCTTTAAAAAACCAAACAACTGTTCTCAGGTGCACATGCAGAGGATAGAAATGTTCAATGTGGAGCTTTTGTCAGAAGAAAACATATTTGAAAGTGTACTTACTCTTGTTTACTGAGAAACAACGCTAAAATGGTCTCATTCATTCAACAAACATGTTGCACCTGTGATCGAACATCGACCAGGCTGGACACTGGAATTCCCAGATGAAAGCCAGTCCCCACGGACCAGATAAATCAGGAAACAGTTGTGATCACATGACCGGTGTTGTCAATGCGTACCTATGATCGCAGCGGCCTGCGTGGTCTTGATGAGGGGCAGAGTGCTGTCATAAGCCTCTTTGGGGACATAGACAGAGCGGTCTCTGAACTTGTTTTTCTTCAGGATCTTCTGCAACTCACTCAGCACGCCCACCCACTTGCTCTTCTCGTTCTCGCTGTCGGCCAGCATCAGGATGGAACATTTGTTATTGGGAGCCGAGAGCTGGGATGTTGTGACCTAGGAAAATGGAAACCGATTCATGAAATCAGAAAGCAGACTCCCTCAGGGCAGTTTATGCTTGGATTAGTTTGCTTCGCACTAGCCCAGCGGTCGCCAACCTTCTGACCTCACGGACCACGAGTGGTCCATAGCCAACAAAATGGGCGTCCACTGATGACCCCGTCAGCAGCCGACAGCCATTCCTCGTCAGAAGGAGGATTAGTTCCAGCATTAGAATTCGTGGCAAAGCAAACGTAGCAGATGCCATTCTAAATGTCGGTATCATTTTTATTTTCTTTGTATAAAGCACCAGAACACTGTCACTAAAAAACGCAACTGATATTTTTAAGTAAATACTGACTCATGGGCACTGATCAAAGCACTTTACAAGTATTAACTCACATCACCCTCTCACCATCTTCATAAGGTAGTTATAAAGTTAGTATATCCTGACCTTTTACATAAAAACACTGTGATGCAGAGAAATTAATTTCCCCAAGGACACACAACAAGAGTGGGGTCCCTGTCCACGCTCGTAAGCACTGTTATACTGACTTTCAACTTCTTTTAAAAGTCAGAAATGTTCGTAAATACTTACATTCTGTTATTTCATAACAATAACTCACATTATCTTAAAGAAGATCAGCTCACTTTAGTTACTATTTAAATGAAGCTTATCATTATGCAAACAGCATCTATACCTGGGCAGATTTAAATTACATATACTGTATACGGACCCTTTATAAAAAGTAATTTACACAGCATGACAATAAAATCCCACTGTGTATCAGTTACAGAAAAGTGGGCTTCTACAGGCTCCATGGGAGGCTGGAGATAGCGCAGTAGTTGTTTTAGGAACTGAGACAAAGTAGTCTTTGTCTGACCTTCCTTAGATACAAGGCTCATCGACAAATACTCAGCATCCAGGCATAAGGCTGGGCCAGTATCCCCTTTTTTAACCTCTATTATCTTAACTCACCAATTCTAGATGGCACTGAGGACAGCTTCCAAAGATGAGTATCAACTATCTTCCCATGGAATTCCATTCTTCTTGTCAAAAAGTGGAATCTAGCCCTAGCTGGTTTGGCTCAGTGGATAGAGTGTCAGCCTGCGGACTGAAGGGTCTTAGGTTCGATTCCAGTCAAGGGCATATGCCTGGGGTTGCAGGCTTGTTCCCAGTGAAGGGCGTGCAGGAGGCAGTCAATCAATGATTCTCTCTCATCATTGATGTTTCTCTCTCTCCCTCTCCCTCTCTGACATCAATAAAAATATATATATTTTAAAAAGTGGGATCTATTCCCTCCCCTTAAGTCCAGGCTGACATCATGACTTGCTTTGTCTAACAGACTGCAAGAGCGTTACTATGTTTTTGGGGTCTGCTCTTCAGAAGGCCTGAAAAGGCCCTTTGCTCTCCTGGAAGCCAGCCCGGGAGAACGCGGCCAGCTGCTGAGACTGGAGACCACGGAGTTCCCGGAGGGAATTGCCTGCCCCGCCAGCAGCCGCACCAGCTCCCCGGATGTGAAGAGGAGGCCATTCTGGAGCTTCTAGCCCCAGTGAGCAGAATGCAGCCCCTGAGCGGCCCCAGGCAACACCAAAACCCTGGACAGCTGACCCACCGAATGCTGAAAGTAAGTCACTGTTACAGGAAGCCACTAAGTTTTGGAGTGGTTGTTGCAAAGCAGTGAAACTGGAAAACATGCTAATTTTAAAAATGAGATTAAAAAGAAAAAACTTCTACTAAAAAAAATTGGGTAACTCACAATCCATTTTCTGTGTGACAGTATTTATTTGAAATTTCAATTGTGATGCAAAAATATTATCCAAGAGGAAACCTAACTTAGAAGCTATACAGGATGCTTTCCTCAGGTCTCTCAAATTCAAGTATCTACTTAGCACTATCTATCTACTCAAGTATTGGAGAGCCAAAACACATACTCATTAAAAACAAATAATTTAGTCATCGAATTGTAACACACATACTTACTCTAAATATACAGGGGATATCTTTCCGACTTGCATGAATGACATCAGAAGCCAAGACGGAACTCACAGAAAACTCTTCGTCCCTGAAGAAAAGTGAGACGTTAAAAATAAGCGTGTGTGTGTGTGTGTGTGTGTGTGTGTGTGTGTGTGTGGGTGGTCCTGGGCGTACATCTAAACAATACATATGAAACAACACTCAAAACTGAATTGCACAAAACATCCAAATTGAATTCTTTAAAAAATCTGACGTCCCCTCCATTTCAACTGAGAGTGCCATAACCACTTATCGGTAGCTCTACAGAGGCACGTTACACAAGAGCTGGAGAGAATTCCCGGCTCACCCAGAGTGCCAAGGCCAGTGGGCTCAAGTGTACTGGGATTCACAAATGACCCCGAGCCCTCTTGCCTCCGACGAGACACCTCAAGTGCCCTCAGCTCAGCTCATCTGTCCTTTCACTGTTCCTTCAGCACCTAGACAGATGGATCCACAATAATTTATTCCTGAATTTGGTTCCTGGTACCATCATCCTCTTGGTTTTGGAGGCTTGACACCTTAGTGTTACCTCTGGTCTTTCTCCCTTTTTCTGTAGTTGGGCCCTTAGCAGACACTGTCGGATTTTCCTTGCTAATATGTCTTGGACCTATTCCTTCCTATTCCATATTTATGGGGAAGAGGATGTTAGCGATGCTGTTGGAGATGCCAGCGTGGTCAGAGCTGGAGGAAGACTGGGCGGAGAGAGGAGTGTGGGTCAGCAGTGCTGTGTGTGGCGGGAGCAGGGAGTCAGTACGGGACCCAGGAGAAGGGCTGGAGCTCTGAGGAGAGGGAAGGAGGGCACTGAAGGGGCAGTAAGACCTGAAAACCGAAGCCAGAAACAGTCATGGTGTGTTTACTTACATGCTCACCAATCATTACTACATATTCCAGAGCCTCTCTGACTGAGACTTTTATTTCCTTTCCTCCCATGGAAGTTATATTCTAAGCCTTTAGGTGATGATGTAAACACTACGCTGTAGGCTTCCAATATCCCAGCAACCTTTGAACTGGTCCTTTGGATGCAAACATTAGCTTCTTTTCTCTGACCCCCAGTGCCTCCTCCAACCTGTCCTATAACTACACCTTACTTCCTATTTTTAATTATGTTACTACTAGAGGCCTGGTGCACAAATTCGTGCATGGTGGGGTCTGGCTGGCCCACCCTAATGGGGCCGATCGGGCCAGGCTGGCAAGGGGGGAGGAGCCCCAGGCAGTTGCCCAGCTGGCCCTGCCCTCTGGTCGAACTCCCAGTCGAGGAGACAATTTGCGTATTAGGCTTTTATTATATAGAATAGCAATATTAGTAAATTAGAACATTAACATGAAATGAGATTTAAATAAAAACATGGCAACATAATTAGAAGAAAAATCACACAATTTTGATCCCCATGTTGCAAAGATACCAGTATTTCCCTTTGAAAGCTTACCTCATGTCAATCACTTGACTGACTACCACGCTGGGCTGCGATGCCTTCCCTTCGGCAATGTCGTACAGGAAGAGCTTGAAGTCACAAACCACAGCTAACGCTCTTTGCCATCCTTTCTTCACTCCAGCCGGCTTAGGGATCTTAGGCAAACACCCAAGAAAACAACTCAAACACGCCACCCAGAGACCGTCACCGCACGGGCACCTGCGCGGTGGGAACTGGGGATAACACGTCTGAGCAGCCCACACTCTGGCTGGCACAGTAGCAGGTGGGGCACAGACATAATTAATGAAGTATGGGAATACATTCTTCAATCACTGCATGACTTTATATTCCGAACATTTTCAAATGGTACCATTTTAACATTGACTAGTAATTCATTACAATAACAGTCACAGATTTCTTTCTAAATAGCATAAAAGTCCAATTTGGTAGTGAGATGAAATGCAGCTTACACTTAAGATGTCATTCAAGATTACAAGGGAGATTATGCTTTGATACTACCTGATACTTCATAAGCATATGCCACTCTCCTCCAAGGCCAAGAGCTGAAGGCTCTTTATGGAGATTTCATCATTTGTTCATTACAAGATAAAGACTGAGCAGAACATTTTAGAATTGCTTTCCAAGCAAAGACAAGTTTGTTTATTTTTTGCTTTCAAATCATTACTTTTGGTGAAATAAAATTAATAGGTGAATTTATTCATTTAATTTTCTGTTAAAGACTGTATTTGCAAGGTGACTGGACTGCATTTTAATCCATTAACGAAGCTTAAAAAATCAATCTAACCCCAGGCGAATTACACTTACCCTGACGTGACCTTCATAGGCTGTTCCTATTCCTTTCTGAGGGTCTATGCCCAGGGGCCCTTTGGTCTGCTCAGGAGGAACTGGACACGCGGTGGGAGCTTTGTTTACACACGTTATATGACACGAGAATCCACACGCTTTTGGAAGGACAAAAAAGAAACAAAAGTTCAATAAAAATTCATCTTACAAAAAAGAAAACCCACCAAGAATTCATTACAAGCAAGGTAAATGAATGCTTCTCTGTGGACTTATTTTTAAAAACGACTTTGTCATTTGGAGAGCTGATTTATTTGCTCAACAAAAGAATTTCAATAATGCCAGTCATTATCCATCATTTCATTCATTCAAAACTCTCTAATCTCCCCTTTCCAAACTGAGCATTTTCTTTGGCTCTAAACTCAGGCATCCAACAAACTAATGAAGATAATGCAACTGAGATTTGCCACTTGGGTTGGGAGAACTAACCAAACAGAATACATTGTGTGGATGCTACTAATCCCCCATCCAAAGTATGCACTTCAGGTCCTCTACAGGGCCCTCTACCAGAGTCCTCTACGGGGCCCTCTACCAGAGTTCTCCACGGGGTCCTCTACACGCATCTGCTGGAGACTGACAACCTCCCTTCAAGGTCCCTCCCAATCCTAATGACAAGAAATGAAAACTATATCAGAATTTGAATCAGTAAAATTTCCTTATCTTTTTCATAGCAAACAGTAAATTATATGAGGTATTAGTATATTTGTAAGTCTCACGTGATTGTAAAAAAGCATATTTCTAAAATATACACAAATACTATATTCCGTTATAATTTAGATAATTTTCATTTCCGAATTCATAGAAAAAATGAAGTGATGCCCAAATAAATACACTGCTTTTTCTTTTCAAACAATCTCTGCTCTCTCATCTCTCAGAATGTGGGCTCCTTGAGGGCAGGATCTGTGTTGTGACACCCCCATCCCCTCCCATCCACCACTGCATGCCCAGTGCCCAGAAGCATAGAGCGGCCATTCCATAAACAGTGACGATGAATCAGTGAATGGTAGGGAAAACCTCTGCTAGTGATACTAGAAATAAAATACCTTAGAGGCATAGTGGCAGACATTTGATATTTCTAAAAAGATACTGCATTGTCTACTTTCCAACAATTTATCTGATCAAACAAGGTTAAAATTAAATGAACAGAATCAACGATAACTTTTATGTCTTTTGCCACATATATTAATGGTTTTTTGAAACCACAAAAATCATCTGAATAATAAAATAAAGATGAATAAGACATTTAAATGTATCTCCCCTGAAAAAAATGCTTCTGGGACCATCCGTCTAGTTTCTCTAATATTCAACGGACTTTCGCAAATTGCTCATTTTATTGTCTCTATTCCTGTTATGCAAAGAAAAGCAAATGGTTAAGTAAAACAAACCTTTCCATGCCTTGTGAAAAGAATAAAGCTGCGTGATTACAGTTTTGGTGGTAGCTGCTAGGACTTGGCCACATTTCTTACCATTTCATTCTTACCTTCACAGGAGCAGCCCTGTCGGATCAGCCCCACCATCATCGAGGTGCACTGGTGACACTTGGTGGGAGTCGTAAACGATTTGACAAAAAACTGGTGAGTCTTGCGCTGCAAAGCAAATGGATAAAACACACACAGTGTTTCCTTCCAAAGACGTAACATCAAGCGACGCATTACATAATATCTAATTAGATGACTGAATGCGGTTTTTAAATATAGGTTTAAGTTTAACTGAGTTTTACTGCATCAAACACAGAAAATATTTTATGACAATATAAAATCTTCTGTATTATGGTTTAAAACACATGTGTCAAACACAAGGCCCGCGGGCCAAATCCGTCCTGCCAGGCCTTGCAATGTGGCCCGCACCGCGCTGTCATCACTGCACTCCGCTGCATTTCCATCACAATGACAGTTTATGACTGTTCAGTAAACCATTCGGCCCACGATTTAGGCTGGATTTTAGATTTTGGCCCCTTCTCTGATTGAGTTCGACACCCCTAGTTTAAAACATCTATTGAATTTGTATATAAATTGTGTGTTGTTTTCTTATATTGAAAATAGATGTTTGAAGGCTGACCTTTGCAAACATTTTTCTATAAAAATAACACGGTGTGTATGTGGATAGTTTTTATTAGTAATAAATGAAAAAGATATTTAAAAATGATAGGAAATAAATATGTCACTATCATAAGAAAAAAGAAAAACATACACATTGGTTATTTAAATATTTTTCATATGATGAGTCTCTGGGTCCTGCACCAGCTACTGGAAAATTTCTATATAGGAGTAAAATGGATAATTTTCCTTTCTCACTGTATAGTTCTATAATCTATGCTCTTTAAATATTTTGGTTAGGCAATATTGAGCTGGGTTATGATAAAATGAAATAAGTTATGATAATCAATTGCTCTTGAATTGACACTTGAAAAGTTATAAACTAGCTTTTATAACTATAACTTTCTAATAAAATTTTTGATTTCAGGATTCTCATCAATTCTTCAAATTACTCTTTAGCAGAGTTAAGTGAAATCTTGCATGTTTATACCTGAAATAAAGAAATTTAACATGCATTCAGACCTCCTTAGGAAGAACAAAGAGTAATTAAAAATTCTTGCCTTATTATACATCATGTATTTGGTTTTTCTGGGACCAAGAACAAATCATAAGCTTAAAAAATCTGTTTCCTCTTGTGGGAGTGGGCAGTATTACAGTTGACCACATGGAAATACATACTACGGATTATTCTAGAGACAGATGGCAGCTGAAATCTCTTTCTGAAAACCCAGAAGTTAAAATTCTCCAAGCCTTGTCTTGAGCCATGTGATGGTACATCAATGTAAGAATTTAGTTCTCCAGAATCCTCCTTCCCTCTCCTAATTCAGTCTTAGCACATCTTAGTAATGAATGCATAACTGCCTTTCCTTCACTCATTACGTGAACTCAAAAGCAAATTACTTAATTCCTTTGCATCTCACTTTTCTCATTACTTCTCTTTTATAAGTGTGATTCAGTTAAGCTAATAAAAACTTTATTCTATATTCCAATAATATGTGAATACTGATGAAAAGTGATTATGAAGTATTCACTCCATTTGAGACTAACTTCTCATTAAAAAAAAAAAAACTAAAGAGAATATTCAAAGCTTTAAAATTTAAGTTAAAAATATATTTTACTTTTCTCAACTATGATATGGGATTTACATACCACAGAAGAAATTCTTTAAAGAAAAACAAGAACTCATCACCTGACTGTAGTGGCTCAGTTGGTTGAGCGTCATTAAGGAACTGAAAAGTCACTGGTTCAATTCCTGGTCAGGGCACATGCCCGGGTTGTGGGCTCAATTCCCAGTAGGGGGCGTGCAGGAGGCAGCTGATCAATGATTCTCTTTCATCAATGATGTTTCTATCTCTCTTTCCTTCTCTCTTCCTATCTCTAAAGTCAACAGAAACTTATTTAAAAAATAAAAACCAAGACATCATTTTATATAGAAGAATGAACTATCAGAGCATTGGGGACTTGGAATGAGGCGAGACTCCCAAATTTAGAGCAATCATGGGCTCTGGGTCAACTTCAAACTATTCTCTTCCAGACGTTGCTCAGGACCCTGGTCAGTTCAAAGAGGCCCTGGGATGTGACTGTCCTGAGCAGGACAGGTTATCTGTATGTACCTCCTCTGGCCGCTCTTATGGACCAAGCACCGACCCAGGTGTGGACATGAGGCCAGTACTTCACCTGCATCATCCGAGGTGATGGACACAACGCCGAGAAAAATAGGTATTATTTCCGTAGACAGGTGAAGAGACCCAAACTCAGAGAGAATAAACAAACTTTTGTCTGACGCTGCCAGCTCTCAAAGTCTCATAATATAAAAGCAGGTAGAATATGACCCTACAAAGACCTAAGACTACAGAAGACATGGTTAGGCCAAGACTAGGGGAATAAAATACAAGTGCCCAATTTGTCAGCATCAGAAAAAATTTTGCTCAACCTTTCTCGTGAATACTAATTTTTACTCTTAATTTTTTGCTCTTTAAGGGACTATCAAGAGTAAATCTGCTAGTGCTGACATTTTTTTAATCCTTTCAGTTTTCCAATTTCTAGAATTTCTTTGTAGGAGCTTGAGATAAGCAATTAAATCTGCATGTTCTACCATATACAACACTTCAGTCAAATCAAATAGAATGAAAAGATGAAAATTCGCCTGAATTTTTCACTAAATATTTCTCTTTTTTTGGGTGCTTTATTAACCTCAACCTTAGATTCTTCCAAAAGTGACCTCAAGTTAATACCATTCTTACAATACATCCTCCAAGCACTCCTCCTCACTCTAAAAAACTTCATAACAGTGAATTTAAGAAAATGGAAGCCTTAGCCAGTTTGGCTCAGTGGATTGAGTGTTGGCCTACACACTGAAGGGTTGCATGTTCGATTCTGGTCAAGGGCACATGCCCAGGCTGTGGGCTCGATCCCCAGTAGGGGCATGCAGGAGGCAGCCAATCAATGATTCTCTCTCATCACTGATGTTTCTATCGCTCTCTCCATCTCCCTTCCTCTCTGAAATGAATAAAAATATATTAAAAAAGAAAAAGAAGATGGAAGAACAACAAAACAAACTTTGGACACTCTTTTTACCTTTCTCAAGGATGATTATTTCCATTCATACAGAATTTATTTTTCCCCAAACTTTCATGTCTGTAATTTTAAGGAAACCAATAGCAAAAAAGAAAAAAAAAATCACAGAAAATAAAAAAAGCAGAAGAAACCTGTTTTCATTTTGAGTATTCTTTCCTTTTCAGAACACAACAGGCTATAAGTAGACTGTACCTTAGCTGGAAAGCCAGTTGAACCAGTGCATGCCTTTTTCTTTAAGGTTGGTGTGTGAACTGGAAGTGGAGAACTGTCTACAGTCTGAATCCAGGGGCAAAAAAGAAATAAATGTTATAAGAAACTCCATCTACTTTTAGCATTACTAGAAACAAATAAAAGTAAATAAAGGCAAGGAAAACATCAATAAGCCAAAATAGATCTCAATGAAGCTAAAATTCTCATAATGTTGATATTTTAAATTTCTGTCTGCAATATCTACAAGTGAAATGTTAATAAAAATTATTTCAGTTTGGAAATGTAAGAAATTTGGAAAAGAGAATCCACCAAAGAACACAAAAGTCATAGCATGTAGCCTATATAAAAACGAGGATAATGCATTTTCACGCTCATCTAAAAATGCCACATTAATTCTAAAAAGCATCTGAGTTTTTAGCAAAATTTATGATAAAAATATTTAGAAATTCTTTTAACTCCTTGATTTCTATATACGGAATGCATATTACATATATGAAATATAATTCTGTGGAATTTCTATGCAGAAATTGCTTTCCAAAGAAGGAAGTTAGGTGATTACTATTAGGATCCAGAATTTACACATAAATTTAGTTACAAGCCATATCTTTATTTTATGGGACCTGTTGTAAGACATTTCCTTGAATAAAAGGAAACAGTGATTTTACTGTGGAAAAAACAGAGAACACTTGATTAACAAAGTGTAAAAACAACATGACAAATGACTTCCTATTAGGATGCTAAGCAAGCAAATGAGAGGAAAAAGCTAGCTTTATATAAAAGTATAGAACATTCTAAAATATTAAGAGAAAAATGGATGGGCTCTCTTTGCTTTTGTTAGTGTACAACCTCCAAAATGAGAATATTCTATATATATTATAGCCTTCAAATGAAAATCAGTTAAGTTTCTCAGAGTTTTCTATTTAATTGTGAATTTTATTCTAAATTACATTTAAATAACTTGAAGATGTTTTTAATCCAATTTATAATTTAACATTTAAAAAGACAAATATGAAAAAGAACACTGAAAACCTTTATAAAAGTTAATAAAAATAATTCATACGAAATAAAATTATCATTAGAATTTACATAATAAGTCCAAGAGAAGTTTTTAGAATGAAAAGGAGTGAAGCAAGGGTACTGGATACAAGAACAACAGAATTCATAAAGACCAGCAATGCCTAATTAATAAAACATACTTCAGAAAAGATCCCTTCACCAGAGCAACAAAGGCTTGCAGGGACCTAGGACAAACCCAGCAGGCAATATGGAGTATCCCCATGAAATAAAACTTCCTGAAGAAAATGCAAGAATATCTAAATGTGTATACCATGGTCATGGATGGAATGACCCAATATCACGAAAACGGCAATTCTCCTAGATAAACCCATAATTCAAATTAAAAGCCCCACCTGGCCTCTGACAAACTGATCTTAAATGTCATATGTAAAACTAACTGAAGAGTCAAAAAGAAAAGGAAGACTAAGATGGGTGGGAGCAAGAGAGGGATACCATGCCAGGTATCAGGAACTACTTTAGGGCTATCGTGATTAAGACAATGTCCTGTTGGTGCAGAAAAAGACAAAAAGAACAACGGCAGAGAATAAAGAACCCTCACACAGACCGGTTTATAGAAAGCAGAGACAGTTTCACAAGTCAAGCTGGCTGTTCATATGAGAAAAATATACTAGAACCTCATTTCCTATAATACACAATAAATTTCAGTTTCATTAAAGTCCTAAACATTGTAAGAATACTTTTTAGCTTTTAGAAGAAAATATGGAGGAAACTTTTTATAATTGCCGTGAAAAGAAGACATGTTTTAAAAAGACAACAAGCAGAATTCATAAAGAAAAAGATCGATAAATATGACTATTTTAAAATAAAAATAGTTCCAAGACAAAAAGATACCACAAATAACATTTAAAAATGAGCCACAGACTAGAAGAAAATATCTGCAATGCATATAGCCAGCTAAAGATTATTATCCAGAATATATACAGAATACTTACAAAATAATAGAAAAAATAATTAAGCAGAACAATGGACAAAAGACTTGAACAGGCAAATCACCAATGACCGATAAACTATGTAAAAAGATGCTCAATAATACTTGAAATCAGAAAATGCAAATTAAAACAAAAATGCCACTCCATACCCAACCAATTGGCAAAAGTTAACCAGTTAACTGCCACACGCCCACAATGGAAACTATCTCCAGTGTCCATAGACACTGATGGCGTACCAGGGGTTAACGGCTCATGGTGCCAAGGGTTGTAGAGGATGTGGGAAAATAGGGACACACCCTGCTGGTGTGAGTGAGAACAGGTCCAACCACTGTGCAAATAACCCGGCAAGACCTCGTTCAGGTGGGAGATGCAATGCCCAACCCAGCAATCCCATTGCAGGCACATACCCTACACACCGCACATGCCGCTGTTAGGATGTTCGTTCAGCACTGCGGGTAACAGCAGAAACTGGAAACAACTTTCATACCAACAACAGGAGGCCAGTTGTGGTGTTTTCTCACGATAAAATGTTATGCGGTAATTATAATGTCTGAACTAAATGCACATGTATGAGTAAACCTCAAAAGCACGCTGAATTAAAAAGTCACACGTAAAACCAAGGGCGAGAGGATGCAATTTGATGTCGGTGTTCAGATATGTCTGGGAAAGAGATGGGGGGATGGAGCAGGGAAGGGTGTTTCAATTCAGTTATCTATCTTCTTTCTTTGGATACAAATTAGAAAAAAAAGAAAAAGAAAAAATGATCAACACCCGTTAAATCCGTAGATGGTGGTCACCTGGGTGCTTATTATTCTTTATGTGATGGAAATATTTCAACATTAAAAATATATAAAGTGCCAAAACCAGTTTGGTTCAGTGGTAGAGCGTCGGTCTGCGGACTGAAAGGTCCCGGGTTCGATTCCGGTCAAGGGCATGTACCTTGGTTGCGGGCACATCCCCAGTAGGGGGTGTGCAAGAGGCAGCTGGTCGATGATTCTATCTCATCAATGTTTCTGGCTCTCTATCTCTCTCCCTTCTTCTCTGTAAAAAATCAATAAAATATATATTTTTAAAAAATATATAAAGTATTTTAAAAATAATGAGCAGAGGGTCTCACCTCCAGCCTGGACAGGCAATCACAAGGCTGGACAAACACCAAGTGGGAACCTGAGCACAGCCCACACTGACCTCAGCCAGCCCTCCTGTCCTCACGCAGCTCTGGAGCCAGCGGGGAGCAGAGGCGCTGAGGCACCAGGTGCTGAGCCAGGAACAGGGGGATGGGAGGAGGTGGAGGAGGGGGGCAGGAAGGCTAACGGAGGCACACCCCTGGGACTGGCTGAAAAAACAATCTTGAGAAAATTGGTCCCTCGGCTGTTTAAAAGCACCGACTGACGTGAAGTGCAGATACAAGTGTGTCTGCGCTGTCAAAGGCAGGGCTACTCGCAGGCCACCACCACTCAGCAGCTGGAGCAGACTGCTCAGCTGCCAGCGCGGCCATCTCCATTCCGGTCTGCTCACGAGTCCCGTCCGTTAGGCGGATGGAGAGTGACAATGGCACCTGATGCTGCCCGGCCTGCAGCGTGCAGACGACGATTCCAAGCGTACGTAACTCTGTTCTACATCCTCCTCCACGTAAAACAAAGGCATCTTCGTGGGGAAACACATTTTCTGGCTATTTCGAGTTGACTTCTGGGGGGCAATTTTCTACTTTAGCTTTATATTCCTATCTGATTTCCAGCCCGATGTCATAGTCTCCAGTACACTCTGCCTTATTGAAAGGAGAGTCTGATTTCCCTGTTTCTGAAACCCCGTTCTCCTGACTCCGGGAGCACCTGCGAGGGCTCAGCTTCACTGTTCCGCTAGGAGAGGTGGGCTGTGACTGGGGTAAATCCCGACGTTCAGGTTCCGTACACGTGAGCTCTCAACGGGATCAGCCCAGGAAAGTAAGTCGGGGAAAACAAAACCCCAAGAAATCACGTTCAACAACGTGCAGCTTGTAGCATTTCTGAAGGCAGGATCCTAGCCTTGAGAAGGGAGGATAAACTTCAGTGTGGATATGTGCAATAGGGATGAGTCCTTATACGAAAGCGTAACCACGAGCTTTAAAGAAAACCAAGGCTAAGAGAACAATGTTAACAAAATGCTCTACTTTCCACTGTTGAGCTCTTACTCAGAGCACTGATCTCGCGACCTGCATTCCACGTGACACTGTTGTATGTTACAAAAGAAACCAAGGATGTGAAATAAATGAGATACTCAGCAGGGAGACGCACTGCAGAGAGGGAACACACATGTGTCTTAGGTAGAGAGTAATCTGGTCTGGTCCCCTCCCAGGCATTAGTTGAAAGCAAAAACAAATGACCTATTAGCGCTGTGCTTACTGCTTTGTATTTGCAGCAGCAGAAACGCCAGCACTTGCTTTCAGTCGCACACTTTCAACCAAGTAGTCTTACACTGAAAATGCTTTGGGTTAAAATTTAGCCTTACTATAAGCACAATGATTAATGATATATTCGGTTTGGCCATTTTCAAAATTACTAAGACTGAGTTTTTTAAATGAAAGGAATGGAGGTACTTTGGAAAGAAGGTTAGGATTTTTTTTTTTTTAATCGGTTGTACATTAAAGGACCCTCAGAAGCTACAACCAATGAAAAGAGCATCAGCATATCATTTTAACATGCACTTACAATGTTCTCTTTTTCTTCCTTATCATCATGGTTACTATTTTAGGGGCTGAGTAGGAGCTGGTAAACACGGCGGCAGCCCTCCCATGGTGTGGGCATGGGCAGGCCACCGGCAAGACGTGGGTGGGCGGTGAACGTGGCCACCCCCAGGCCTTACGGCATCATTAGAGCTGGGAGAAGGGGAGGGAGAAAGGTCCCGTGAGGGCAGCTCGGGGCATGGAGCAGCAGCTAGTCACACAGCTGGGGTGGGGGGGGTCTCGGTCTTTCAAAACGGGAGGTCCTGAGCCGCAGCCCGCCAGCTGGTATGTGCCGCGTGGCTAATGCCACACCACGCACTGGCCCCGCAGTGGGACACTCCAAATGCAGCGTCTCCCAGCTGGCCCAGAGGCCTCACCATGGCAGTATAGTGACAGTGACCCGAGGCTGAGTGATCTTATCTCCTTCCTGAATGAACTCGACCAGGAATGAGAGAATAAAAGAACGAAATGTGACTCAAGACAAAATTTAACCCTTTCCCGATTTTACTCAGGAATAGTCATAGAGAAGGTCATCAGTTTAAATTATTCACCTGAAATATGATCCTAATTTGGGAATAAGGCAAAAATAAATGTCTTACTTCCTAAAAAATCTCTTCCTTCTAGTTTCTGTACGATTTTATAAACTGTAAGCTAAGTAAGAGTCTATGGGGAAGGAGATTAAATTAAAATGGAATTGGTAAGAAAAGTAGTATTATACTAGTAAGAACTTAAACGTACTCAACTAGCTCAGTTTTAAAGAAGTTTGCAAGTAGGAAATCTGTTATGTGCAAAACCTTGAACCATCTTGAGGAAATTCAAGTTTCTGACCAGCCCCACAAAAGACTTTAACCGTAAAAGACATGAAAATCAGAATGTTCCCGTGTGAGGGAACAGGTGAAAGTGTCTTTGTGCCTCTGGGTCCAATCACTTAAAAAACTTCAAGAACGGGAACGGCAAGAGCTTGCTGCTTCCAAGAGTCCTGGCTGGCAGGTGACAGAGCCTGCGGAGCCGCTGGCACAGGAGAGAAGTGAGCGCACGCTTCCCACCCCCTCTCGTGTGAGACCAGAGCACAGGCCGCAGACATGCATGGCAGGTGCCCGAACAGGAGGCTCCCTTCACTACGTCATCTCCCAGGACCTGTGTCCCCTGCCCGGCGCTGGCTGTTAAAGTCAGCATGACCCCGTGAAAGCGTGACGTTATGACTGTGACACCGGGCAAAGGGAAGATCTGTAATTACACAAACGAGCGACTCTTAACCTCCTCGTGAGGCTTTTAACACATATCCTCTTGGCCCCGCCGAAGGATTATTGTCATTTATGAGGGTCTTTTTCTCCTAACAAGTTTTTACTCATCATTGAAAATAAAATAAAAATGAGGCTATATTTATAAAATTTCTTAGCTGTATGAGGTAAAAACTGGTTACTCAGAAGTGAAAACACACTTAGATTTTAAAAATAAGCCAATACCACACTGTAATAAAACAGGCCAGCGAGTTTCAACTGGTGTGCCGTGAGAACTTTCAGAACAAGTGATCCCTGACTCTTTAGTCACGCGCACAGATTTCTTTTCTCTTAGATTGCCAGATTAAAAAGAATTGACAACAGCCAAATAATAACAACTGACCAATGTGAATAAACCAAAATTACACCTATTTTTTTGGTCAGATCGGCAAAAAATATAATACATTTATATTAGTAACTAGAGGCCCGGTGCACAAAATTCGTGCATGGGGTATATGTATGTGTCCCTCAGCCCAGCCAACACCCTCTCCATCTGGGACATCCCTCTCACAATTCAGGACTGCTGGCTCCCTGTGCTCGCCTGCCTGCCTGTCTGATTGCCCCTAACCACTTTTGCCTGCCAGCCTGATCACCTCCTAACCACTCCCCTGCCAGCCTGATTAATACCTAACTGCTCACATTTTGGCCCTATTGCCCCTAACTGCCCTCCCCTGTCTGCCTGGTCACATCTAACTACCCTCCCCTGCCAGCCTGGTCACCCCTAACTGCTCTCCCCTGCAGGCCTGGTCTCCCCAAACTGCCCTCCTCTGCTGGCCTGGTCACCCCTAACTGCCCACAACTTCCCTCCCCTGCAGGCCATCTTGTGTCCACATGGGGGCAGCTATCTTGTGTTCTGGAGTGATGGTCACTTTGCATATTACTCTTTTATTAGATAGGATTAGTTTACTTGTGCCATGTGATGAAAAAAAGGTTGAAAAGCGCTAAAACAGAATAATAATTACCATACTAGCTTTATTGAACTGTATGCTCTTAAAGTAAAAATAAATTCCAGAGATCAAACAAAATCAAGTTACTTTTGTATATAAAAAATTCAAAACAAATAAAAACATTGCAATAATATTTTGAGATGGCACCAATTAAGCATACTAAAAAATTAAACTATGCCATGTACAATAATAGCCTGATTTAAAAAAAAAAAAGAATATATATAGGTGAAGTTGAAAAACTACCACTTTATTTTCCAAAAGCATGTTTCTTATAAAGACAAGGACCAAAGTTTGGTAAATATGAATATACTCATGACAAAAATGTTTTGAATATCAAAGTTTAAAATAATTTTTTTAAAAGAGATTCTATTAGAAACTAATATTTAATCAGATTAAGAAATTATAATATTTCATTTCCAGGGACGGGTAGCAGTTGTAATGGGGGAATAGGACACATATGTAACACTGTAATCAATAAAGAAATTAAAAAAGTATTTCATTTCCTTTCTAGATAGCTATCACTATAATAATATCTCACAAGAGGTTTAACAGTAAGATTAAGAATACAATACTACTTACATGTTTTCTTTATCAAAGTGTTCATTATCACCAACAAACTGATTTTCAAGTTATTGATTTTATCTATAATTAAATGTTTACTAGTACATTTCTAATTAATGATTGATTCTACCCACCAAAAAGTAAGAAATTTTACTAAACTTTCATAATATACTAAACGACTATGTGTCAGGATTTACAGAGAGCCTAAATTTAATTTTAATAATTAATTGGCAATGATTCAGATATAATATGGCAGCAAAGCAATTAAAGCACATTAGTTATTTTGACTTCAAAACAAATATAATCATTAATATAGTTAAGCCATGGAAGTTAAAAATTGTTATTAAAAATATTAATGTAAGCAATTAAATTAATGTGAGCATTAAATATAAGCAATAACTTGAATAATGCAGGAAAAGCTAATAAATATGATACAATCAGCAGCAGAGATCTTGTAATTCAATAATTAGGTTTATAACTATATAAAGGATGATTTTAAAAGGAGATACTAGAAAGCAATAAAAACCTAATGTTAATTGAACAGTGCATTTTTATATTATCCAAAGAAAGATCTTGAAAACAAAGTTTAACTGAATAGTATAAGCAATTCATTCAATATTTCTAAATTGTAATCTATTGATAAAAATAAATAAGAAGTATCTTTTATAAATGTGTTTTTTTCTATTTTTTGGTCAATGAATTCTTTTTTTTCTACATAAAAATACTTTCAGTAGTTATTCTGATTACTTAGCATTAGAAACATTTTCTATACTCCAATGTGTTTTTACTTACTGCTTTATGTTTGGGAGAAAAAAAAAATTCAGAAAAACTGAGTATCAGCAATATTGTCCACAATGCATAACAATGTCATGTAAAAAGCCCATAATGTTTCCTGAATCTGTAAGGATTTCTCTAATACATAACCAACAATACACTTATTTAGAGTAGTTCAATAAAATGTCGTCCCCCACCCCCAGACCGGATCTGATTTTTAGATGACCCGCTAAGCAAGAATTCCTCAAATTATGCAGTATGGTTCTCTTATCTTCTAAAGAATGAGAACAACTAAAACTACGCATCTTGACTACGTACCAATGGCCTTTTCTACTCCAAAATTAATTACAGATTTGAGCAAATACAAAGAGCAAACCATTCTTATAAGAAAACTGATTTTAAAGTAAAAGTCTGATATGGATCTGACATAGATCTAACGTGGTTTCATATCAGTAAATATAAAATTCTAAGTTAGAAAAAAAATTTAATTTTTACCCATTTTTTTATCTTTTAGTAGCTAGAAATGTTTTGGAAACAAATGGCAGGTAATCTATTTTTATTTATTATTCAGAAACAGTTTATAATCTCAAACTTTTATTGATATAATTATTTCTATTAAGCTTATGATTAACAGTATTATAGAAACACTCACTAAATCATTTGCACAACAGTAAATATAGTATTTTATCATTCTAAAATAATTACTGAAAGTTACAACTAGTAAGTATAATCTTACTAGTTACAAATAATGTACTTGTTTCTCTTTATGAAAACTTCCCAAGTTATCTTCAATATATTGATTTGAATATCTATTCTGGAGAATTTATAAACTACTAGAAGCCTGTTGCATGATATCCGTGCAAGAATAGGCCTTCCTTCCCCCAGCTTCACTCCCAGCCGCCCAGCGCGACCCGGGAGCCGGCATATCCCTGCTCCTACCAGGATCCAGCATGTCCCTGCACCCCGGCCACCCGGGAGCCAGCATAGCCCGCTTCTGTCTGGAGCACCACTCCATAGCTCCCTCTGCTGCCCACTTCCCCTCAGAGCAGGCTTCACACCACTGCAAGCCTGCTTATGCAAATTAACCTCTATCTTTGTTGGGTTAATTTGCATACTCACTCTGATCGGCTGTGGGTGTAGCAGAATGATGGTTAATTTGCATGCTTCTCTTTTATCAGGTAAGATGTTGTAAAAAAAAATGTAACAGAAAGTGTTGGCTATTTATAACCACTTTTTCACATAACAAAGAAGACACCTTATAATTCTAGCAGTGTGTTACAGAAATTTATATGAGCATTCCTAAAGCTTTGCGGCCAAAGCCAAAGGAAGAAAGAAGACACGGAGGAGCAGGGAGCAGCGGAGCAGCAGCACAGAGCATGCACGCGAGGTGACGACATCACAAAGCGTGAGCACGGGTGCAGCCACAGGCGGGGGGTGGGAGGGGGGTGCACACTGCGCACGGGGTCTCTTACACGTCGGCCTCTGCTAGCTGGAGTACAGGACGGAGAGCGCTTCAACAAAGAGAGGAGAAGACTGCACGTTACACACAGTACACACGTGACTCCCAATGACTACGCTGTCTTAGCACACAGAGTATATAAACATACATATACAGACACTTCAGATAAACGGAAAGGAATGGGCTCTCCAGGGAAAACTGGAGGGCAGGACAGGAGAGAAATCGCCACTCGGACGAGGTCAGAGAGTGACACCGTTTTCACTGGACCTGCACGGACAGCGACCCACAAGGGACCCTTCACCCACGACGGCCATCTCCTCCGGGAGCAGCAGGGAGAACGCATCTGCAAGGCTGTTGGCGGCATCTGCCCGGGGCGCGGGCTGGTGGGTGCCCGGGAGCTGCTGTTCCTCCCTGCGGCACCGGATGGAGGCCGCTCCACTGCAACCCGAAGAGCCGGTGGCAGAGTCAGAGCCGGCAGCTCCAGACAGGGTTTGTCTACCAGCCCAGCCGGTCTGAAGTCTGAGTGCCACATTCAAACCTGGCCCTGTCCCTCCGTTATTCTTCCTGGACGAACCGTCTCGCCCTCCCTCCCCACATCAAACATGGACGACTAAGATCTAGTCTCTCCCCTCTGTTCCTTAATGGCAACAGCTAATATTCACCATGTGTGTCACAGATAGAGGTATTTTACCAAGTACCTTACATATATGAACTCTTAACTCTCCCAGAATTTAATGTAGGTAAGATGACCCCCGTTTTCAGTACAAAGAAGAGGGATTAGCTTGCCACAGGCCACAAAACTGTATGTGGCGGAGCTGGGATTCAAGCTTTCGCATCCCACTCCTCAGAACGGTCACAACCACCGGCCATGCTTCCAGCCTCGCAAGTCACTTACCAAGTTTTGAAAAATGAAATACTGAGCTTCTTAAATATGAACCACCTCTGCTCAGGCCATTTGCTATCTTCACTTCCACCTCACACTTTGAGGGTTTAAGTGTGTCCAGGTACTTGGCAGATAAAGGAGGCATGGCAGGTCCCAGGCTGGCATAAGAGAGCCAACCATCACAATGTGACAAACGCGATGACAGAGACAGGGAAGTCTGCATGGACCTGGAGGAGGGCTGTGCCAGGCTCCATGGGACCAGAGCAGGGACTTTACAAACTGCGTCGGCGGGAGTGAGAAGATTTCAGAGAAAACAAGAATAAGAAACTTCTCCAGAGGCAGGCGCATATGATTAGCATCAGACACAACAACTTCATCGGTCTGGGCATAAAGAACAATCCAGATCTGTTTTATTCCTTAAAAATTCAAATGCCTAAGAGGAAGGAATCTGTAGAATTGAATGTTAAACTAAATATACTGGATGCTGAACTCAAGCATGCCAAAGACTGAATACCATTATTCAAACACCCTCTCCTACGGCTCTGAGGACAAACTGAATGATAATTCTGGGAAGGCTGGTCACAGTTATAAATTATAAAGAGAAACACGAGGTTCATGCCATAAAATACAAATTAAAAACACACGGTATTTTTTAACAGGAGCTTCCTGACGGCCGTTGCCCTGACAGGTGAAAATCCCTTTCCCCTGTCATGTGATTCCACAATCCCGAAGGAAGGGTTAGTGGCTCATACTGGCTGAGACTGGAAGGCTGAGGGTGAAGAAAACTGATGGACAAGTAAGAAGCTAAAGAGAACACAGGAAAACTGGGAAGGGAGTCTATTAAGAATCAGGACATAATAACCGATAGTACTGAGGGCATGACATACATCTTTATATATATATATACATATATATATACACATATATATACACACACATATATATACATATATATACACACACACACACATATATATATTATTGATTTTTTACAGAGGAAGAGAGAGGGACACAGAGAAACATCGATGAAGAGAATCATCGATCAGCTGCCTCCTGCACACCCCCCACTGGGGATGTGCCCACAACCAAGGCACATGCCCCTGACCGGAATCGAACCCAGGACCTTTCAGTCCGCAGGCCAACGCTCTATCCACTGAGCCAAACCGGCCTCGGCATGACATACATCTTTAAAAACGTTCTCCAACAACCCATGAGCAAAGGAAGGCTAGACACCCTGCTCCAAACAGACACCCAGCAGCAGCAGCAGAGCAGACTGAGACCACGTGGTGCTTAACCAGGAGCTGGGAGGAGAGCGCTCAGGAAGCAAATGAGGGGAAACCCCTGCCTCTCAGATCTCAGGGCCGGAGCCTGAACCATAACGTCACTCCTCTTTCTTTGTAGGAGTCCCTCGGCACTGCTTTAAAAGCTAGTTGCACGTTTGAACGGCATTTATGCTGAGCAACAGCAGGGCCCTCCGGAGGAACGGGGAGCAGGAAAGGGACTACAGCACGTGGTGGCGGAGGAGGGGCATCGAGAGCAGAGACAAGAGGGGGCCGGAGGTGTGCACTGCGGCTCCCCTGTGAGAGGGCTGCCCTGTGTGCCAGACGTGACTCCTATGGTTTACACGCAAAGATTTTTGTGGCCCAGGGGATGGAGAGAAGTGTGTCAGGAAGAAAAACGAAAATGCTTTCCTAGTGGAAAGAACAATTTAAATAATTTATTCAAACCTCCAAATCTTTTAAAGATGAACTAGTGGCCTGGTGCATGGATTCATGCACATTGAAAGGAAATTAACTAGAAGAAAGATTCGTGAGTAATTACGTCACTGTATATAAAATAGTATATATAATACAGCATTATAAAATTGAAACATGCGTGTGATTGGCACCAGCGAGAGCTTTATTTGTATCGCGTGTGCACGAGTCAACATTTATTTTTAAGTTGCTAATGCGCATCATATGTACTGGCTGGTCCATCGGATGGACAGACGGATGTACAGTTGGCCACTTGGCCTTTTATATATCTCTATCTACCTATCTATCTATCTAGATATGGATGATGTGTGTGGAAATATTGAGTATTTTCAGATAGTAAAATGTACACCAGATTATAACATGAAATACTATTGTACATCAAAAGAGTTTTTTTTATGACACTGTAGAATTAATTAGAATAATTACCTGACTTAAGAATAATAAAATAACTGTTATTTATTTTCAACCTTTTTCAGTGTTTTTCAACCTTTTTTGGGCAAAGGCACACTTGTTTCATGAAAAAAATCACGAGGCACACCACCATTAGAAAATGTTAAAAAATTTAACTCTGTGCCTATATTGACTATATATAAAGTAATTCTCTTGAATAGGAATCAAATAAACACAAAGAACGTATTTTATAATTACTTTATTATGAAATATTAAGTAAACAAAATAGTGAAAAATTATAAAATTCTTGTCTTGTCTGCACCTACGGCACACCAGGCAACATGTGTGCCGCGGAACAGCGGTTGAAAAACGCTGAAATAACAGGTAGTTTCCATTTAGAGTGCAAAGGTGCATACTTTGATATAAATATTTCAAAGATATAAAAAAAATCACTTTAAAGATAAGTTAAAAAATCTAGATCAAGAATTTCCTTTAGTAGAAATATTCTTTTGAATATAGTAATTATATTTAACAAAATGCAAAAATAAAACATTTAAAGAATTTCCTCTGGTTTATAAAACAGCTATGTACAACATTTAAATTTCAACCAGTTTTATTTCCTAGTTTCTGGAAAGACTGAATGTTTAACAGAATAATAAAAATACTTCATGACAGGGATTACTATGCCTTTTAATGTTGAATAAGGAGAATATATATGTCAGGTATTTCTGTAAAGGGAACGAAGAATAAACATTAGGGAACTTCTAAATTATTAAATGTATACAATTTAGGAGAGAAAATGATAATGCAGTCAATTTATAGTGCAATAGAACCCACTAAACTAAAATCACTTTGCACATTAGAAGAGAAATTCTGTCAGCTTTAAAAATTCATTTGTACTCAATTACAATGCTACTAGAAAACCTACAGAAAGATTTAAAATAAAACTTGTCACTCTTTCTGATTATACCACCAGAGGTTTACTTTTAAATAACAGGGAAATTAAATAGAGTACTGAAAAGGGATGGAGAATGTGACATAGAAATCACCATGAAAAATAAAAATGAGCAGTTATTTATATATATGTAGTTCTGTACATATTGTGACAATAATTAAATAAGCATTCCAGTTTTTAGAACTATTGCAAAGAATGAAAATATACAGATTCTTTGATGGCCAAAGAATTTTTCAAAGTACATTTTAATTATGTTTAATAATGATAAACTCTTCATTATATTTAAGATAAGAAACAAATTATGACCCACAAATAAAGTATCAAGTGAAATATTTCTAAAACTGACTACATTAAACAAATTCTTCAAATCAATTCACTGATCTCTTTTACTGAAGGATTCATTGGTTTGAAAATCAGACTTACGTCATCCAAAAAATCAATCAGTGAAGATGAGGAAGAAGAAAAGGAATCCTATTTAACGAATACAGCAATAAAAAAAATAGAAAATATGGATGAAGCAATTTAGTAAGAACAAATAATAAATCAAAAAATTTGTAAAACAATTGAAAGGCAAATGACATTAATTCAAATAAATAAATGAAAAAAGCAGTCACTGTCAGTTTCCCAAGAAACTTAGAAATTCATTAATTACTCTTTAAAGAGTGATTCTTTATCCCTTTCCCAAAGAAATGAAATACTGTTCATATACTGTGCCCAAAATGTAACAAAATGAAGCTCTGGGCAAATTGACCATCGGACTCGGTGTGAGCGTGCTCAAGGTGACGATAAACGAGAGAAAATCTCTGTCCTAACAGTTCCCACGGAGTGTAACGGAGGAGGCGGGACTCAGCTGCTCCGTCTCCTGCACTAGATCCGTACTTTCACAGAGACGTTAAATAAAGACACCATCACCATCTTGAATTTTCTGAGGCTAAAATATACTTTATAAAGATTTTTCAGCAAAAATTTAAGTACCGAAGAATGATAAAGAGCCATATAATCACTATTTCATTAATATGGAATCTGCCTGATAGACACTATGTAATAGTTTTTAAAAAAGCATTCCAATTGCATACTCCTAAAAAACTGCATTCATTTGGAACTGGAACCAGCACTGTCCTATAGTGAACTTGGACATTTTCAACTGCTTTTCTAGCCCTACACTTGGGAGAAAGAGAAGAGTCAACATTACTTCAAAAGTCAAGATGTGTTCTGCACTTACTGTTTCTCAGGGGAAGAGATGGAACTGCTTTTAAACCTTTGATGTTTTCTTAAATATAAAAGTGACTGCAGTCTCCATAAGAATGCTTTACAATAGTTACGAGTCTAGGTCCTCTGATGTGGGATGCAATAACAGTTTATTACAAGCAAAATTTAAATGACAAAGTGACTTTCAAACTGACCCAGAGAAAATATGAAAAGATGAGTACTTACTTCAAAGTGATCCAGAGCATCGGTAGGCGTATTCAAAAATGCCAAGAAAGAGTGCTGTGAGTCTCGGTGCTCTACACCTAGAAGACAGCAGCGACTCTCCTTAAGCTAGAACAAACTGGTTTTCACGGACAGCCGCTCCTGCCCGAGTCTGTTAGAAGCTGTTCGCAAACCACTGTGCTTAAGCAGTCAATGTTAACCCTGCACATCTAAAAACCGAATTACACAACCGTTTTTTGGAATATCACTTAATAGTTAAATTATATCATTCTCCATGAAGCACTTGTTTCTTGACTTGAGTTCTTAAATTTCTTTCTTTTCCCATATAGTACATTATTAAAAACACATTAAATTTTTTGGTAGATTTGAGAGATTTTTCAATAGAGAGACCTGATTATGTCTGATTTTTCTAAGATAATTTATCACCAAACAAGGTTTCTGTTTTGAAATATTCTTAGCAAACATATAGTATGCATTAACAAATAATCTCTTATAAGAAAACAATGCAGTGATAAAACAAATGTATTTAGTTATGGAATAAACTTTTGTCAATCTGATTGCAGGTATTGTTTTGTTGACAGAAAGAATGAATATCTCTTGGCTATGCCATTAACTTTAAATGCAAAATTTCCAAAATAACCTTTAAAATATACATAAATTTATAAATATTAAAAAAAGAATAAGTACATATTTTTATTTTCATATTCTCAAGAACTGACATCAACTAATTTGTGTGCTTTTCAGATTACTCTCTGATAATATATTATAGTTCCCAGATAAGGCAGCACGTTCAGAAATTCACTGTCAAATATTTACTGAGAGCTATTATGTGCTGTCCATTTAGACACTGGGGATTTAATAGTAAATTAAGCAGAAAAAAAGAACATTGCCCTCATTATGTAAATATTACATAATACTGCTTAAGTAGTATAGTACATTAGTTACAATATACAGTAAAATTTTATTATTCTACAATGTCCAAAATCTAAATAAAAAAGTTATAGGCTCACATTTCCAAAACAGAGCAATGTGAAAAACGGAGCTTTTTCTTTCGCAAGTTTGGTCAATTCTAAAAACAATGAGTCCACACCCTCTGTGTGTCACAGTAAGTCGTCCTCTCACTGGTCTTTGTCTATGTAACTGTCTCAGGGCCACGCCCTGCCCTCCTTTCCCTTCCCTCTCTGAGAATACAGTTCTCTTCTGTTCTCCCTGTCTGAAGCAGCTCTGCTTGACTCTCATGTCAGCGTGATGCCTTCCACAGCCGAGCTCCTAATTCACTTTTCTGAGTTCCTGCTCTCCTGTCCGCTAGGAAATCCAATCAGCCCACTTTACTGCACATGTACGGCTTTTAGTGGCCTTTCACGCTAACCCCTTTAATGTGATCCCCTTCTTCTCCCACAACTCCAAGCAGATGCAGACACCCCACTATTTCACATCAGTGAGTGCCAGGAGCTGGGAAGTGCAGGGAAGCATGCGACATAACACAGAGCCCACTAGCTGGCTGGGGTTCGGTCAGGAACACTGACTTTGTCAGGAAAACAGATCTCTTGTTATTGCGTAGAAGAGACCCTTGTCATTAAAACATTCTGAATTTCTTTTTATTAATTTTTTACTTCTGAATGCCCACATTATGGAAAGAAAGTTTAAGAAGTTCGTGTAAGACAGCTACCAAACACTGTGCTACTTTTCACATTAACAGAAAAAAATGCTCAAATAATTAGTGTTCTAAGAAAATGGAAAGGAATCCTGGGAAATTCCTCAGGGCAAGCCATTTAAGAGCCAAACATGGAAGACGACACCAAAATGCCAAAATAATTTTAACTCTGATTTGCTCTCTTAATACTGGATTAGATTAAACGTTAGTTATTTCAGACATTCTTTCTTTAACTACTCTGGGAGAAGAATAGAAAGTATAAGATAACTTTTTCCAATCACAAAAATATTATTCGTGAAGTAGGCACTGAAAAAATAGTTAAACTTACGACAGGGTGAGTTCTATTAAAATCAAATCTCTAAACAATGTATATTAAATAAAACAAAAAGACTCAGAGTATCTACCAAATATGTGTAGTATCTACACACACACACACTTATCTATAAATGGATACGGGGATGCCAGACTGCTAGGTGAACACCTATCCCATAAGCTGTCCTTGTGTAACAAACATACATTCATAGCAGAACTCTAAGTCCTGATTGATGCAAAAACATGCCCATACCCTTTTCGGATCTAAGCTCTTCGGTGTCCTTGATCAGCTGTTCGATTTCTGATAGCAGTTCCAAGTTCTTCTTCTCCGCATCTTTTAGTTTACTTAAAAAAGAGGAAAAAGGGGAAATGTCATTATTTTTGCTGTTGGTTAGTGAGCCATCATTTGGTTTGAATGCTGTCAGTCATGCTATAACAGGGAAAGGCAAACAGCCAGGAGCAAGTTTAGTGTCATCTACTCTCGAGTGAGTAACGTTTTCCTGGCACACAGCTAGACTCCCTGGTTACACGCTGTTTATGGCGTTCCTGGCACCGCCGCAGAGTTGAGTAGACAGAGACTAGCTGGTCCCAAAATATTTACCATCTGGCCTTTTCTAGAAAAAGTTGCTGACCCGAGTTAAATATTAACCTTTGAAATGTCATAAAATAAAAAGTTAAATTTTGGATTGTTAGACTTTTTTCGTAGAGAACCATGAAAAGAGCATGTATATGTTTGTAATTTTCTGCCTGACTCATATTACTGGTTTATGAACAAACTATGTCCAAGGCATAAGAAGACACTCAGTTGTTCCACATTACAGCAGGAGAGGAACACTCCTGGCTGTTTCCTTTAACTGTCCACATCTTTGAGGCCCCGTATGGATTCCAGCTGAGGGTGGGTGCCCGTCTCCTGCCTCAGCCCTCTCCTCACTGCTCAGTCTCAGAGGCGGGCCTGGCCTGTTACTTCCAAGAAAGAAGCAGGAGCTTCCCACACTGACTCCCATCGCTATGGCTGCTGCTGTCTTCCTCTCTCTGCTTGGCTTTCTCTGAGTTCTGGGAGCGGGAGCTGTTTCTTTGGTCCTAACCCACGTTTTCAGGGGTTTGTCCTCCTCGGCGACGTTCTGGAGGCACAGCCTGAGGTTCAGCTCGGCTTCCCCCACCCTCTCTCCGCCTTCCTAGGGGCGGGGGCGCCTGTCCTGTGGGTGCAGTTGGAGGCAGCACACACTGGAGCTGGAGGTGCTCCCACCCAAAGGCGATGGCTGAGCTCACTGTATATTTTCTCTGTCAGAATTCCTGACCAAATAGTGAAGGTTTCCAAGGATAGTTTTGGATTCTCTTCACTTTAAAAGTGGTTTCTTTTGCAGTTTACTCCAGGGCATTAAAGAGAGTGTCTGTCGAGGAAATGGCCGTGAGCCTGGGAGGGGAAGCTGGGTGCATCACACTGGCTGGCGGTCCTCCCTCCCACAGCTGGCACTAAGGAAGGGACGGAAGACCTGCACAGTGTCTCATTCCTGCCCTGGGCCAGGCCTCTGGACTTCCTGCCTCCGAAGCAGCCAGTGACCTGGGCCACGTTTGGACCTGTGTGTGTGTGTGTGTGTGTGTGTGTGTGTGTGTTGTTGTTGTTGTTGTTGTTCTTTAACTTTAAGCAGGACTTGGCACAAGGCTATTTACATATATTATGATCTTTTCATGGATTTTAATGTTCTCTCTTTGACAGCAAAGAGAGCTAACTTTAAGCTCCTACTATGTACCACCCCACTCTCCGCATTTAACATGCAATCCAGGTGCCGAACTCTTCCTCTTGATGTGTGTGTGTGTGTGTGTGTGTGCGCGTGTGTTTGGCGTGGGGGGGGGGGGTTTACAGTGATCTGTGCAGTCAACCCTCCTGGTAGCCAGCTGGACCTCTGCACACGGTTCTCTTTGCAGCCCCACTCTCCACACTAATGGGATAAAATCATATGGGATAAAAGAAGTTCTATTCTTCACTTCCAGAGTCCTGAGGAAGGCTCCGTCAGTTCTTTACTTCAAACCCATCTTGATGGAGCCCCCGTCCTCCAGCACCAGTGGGCGGCCTGCCCGGCTCCCTGGCCAGGCAGAGGCACGTTCCTCAGCTGGAGGTGGCCAGGGGGTGGGGAGGACCAGCCTCTCCCTCACCCTGTGAAAAGCCCCTCCTCGTCCCCCCGCCCTGTTCTCTTCTGACTTAACAGCTCTTTGTGCTGGGATCTATTCATCTTCTCCAGAAAAAGCGTTTTCTTTTTTCCATTTTCAAGTCACACTAGCACGTTTAAGCAAAGCACTCTTAATTTATATCTAATGATTTATAACAAGACTTTATCATTCAACGGGGCTGCCATTTATCTGGCCTCTGAGTTTATTCAAAACATTAATGACCACAGTTTAGAGACTAAGGCTTCACACCATCCCACACTGAACTTATGGGGCCATATTTCTTTTCAGGACTGAACCCTTCGGAGCCTCCAAAAGGAATTTTTAAAAATGTTGATTTGTAAGAACTTTTTTATTGTTCCTCTATGTCACCTATGCTAACTTGCTCTTGAACCATGTTTATATCCAATCAATTATGATTTTCATTTGACCATTTATATATCCAGAGTACAAATTTCTCTACTGTTGTCATAAAAACTGAGGGAATGTATTCATTAGCTAACTTTCCCAGAGATTGTGGAGATATACTTGTTTTTATGCCCATAAAAGAAAATGAACAATAATTAAAATATTATATCATTATGAAATTTACCATCAGCAGAATCTTCATCTGTAAAAGACTTATGGCCAGAGTTTTCAGATGACTGTATTTTGTTCTGACTACATGTTGCATCCTTATGTTAATATGATGTTCTTGAACATGACAGAAGTGGGGAATTAATGGAACAAAGAATGAAATTAAAGTTTACAAATAAGGGGAAGGGTAAATAATAGAATATTAATTGGAACTATTCATTCCACTTTATGGGCAAGCCCAAGGAAACAAGGCTGTATTAAAATTCCACCACCACATACAAGGTTTGAGAGCATCTAGTCATGTTCAAGCCTTCCTAACCACTTCCGGGTCATCATCACTTTAAAAGAACATGTAACTTCTCTCCAAATACTTCTGGACCGACGAGGAAGCTACTGCAGCAGGACTGTGTTATTCGCCTTACCATTCTGTTACGATGTTCGATGCTTTAACCTTATTCAGCTCTTCTTGGATGGCCTGTTTGGCTCTTATTTCTGCATCCAGAGCTGACTGCAGCTCCAGTCTAGCTGACATATCCAGTTTCGCAAAACGCCGCATTTTCCAGGGCATATCCTAGGAGATAATATGACTGTTTTTAGTTCTATTCTATTTTTTACAGTCAAATTTAGTAATCCAAGTCAAGTTGGAAACTACTTAAAAGTATTATCTTTCTCTAACAATGAAATAGAATAAGCACATTGCTTGTGAAGACATATTTTTCATTAAATTCAGAAATAACTGTAGACTCAAAAATAAATGTGTTTTTTTTTACAGTTATTGTCAATACTAACTAGCTATGCAAATTATAGTTAAGCAGCTATGTGTTAAGATTTCCTAAACTGGAAAAGACTTGGACTGATTTCTCATGAAAACCGTTACAGTCGGCTGAAGCCAAGACAAACTGACAGAAGCACTCAGGTTCATTACGGTGTTTCTGAGCTACCCCCGCCTCCACTGCAGCACGTCTCTGTGCAGATCGGCAGCTTACTGTTGCTCGTGCCCCCAAGCTGGAATTCCTCAATGCTTCCAGCTCTTCCGTCATTTTGGAAGCCAAGGCCTGAAGGTATCCTCGTGCGTCCTTTTCATCGCTGACCCTGAAATACACACAGAGAACGACAGAGAGAAAGCACAGCATTAAACATTAATATTAAACAAAAAGAGAAACCCGAGAGAGATATATATTACTTTATAGCATCACAAAAAAATAAGTGAAAAGAGAGAGAAATCTATACATGCCCTCAAATACCTTCTTTCAAAAGTTCTACCCTAGTACCACTACATGCCAACTGGGGGGAAATACCCACTGAACAAATTAAAGGCCATGTTGGGGTAAGTCCAAACCACTCATCCCTGATAAAGCAGTGAAACTTCACCACCAACCACAGAAGTCATACTCATAATCTAACATTACCCCCCTCATGATTTCCAAAGAATATTCAGATTTCTTACTAGCTAGATTCTGCCATTTCATGCTATAAAAAAAAAAATCACACACTGTTCTTATAATTGAAATATGTGTATTTAGAAACTTATTAAAATAATATATTCTGTAAAAATCAAAGTTGTATTGTAATAAAGTTCTTCTGTTTTCTAAAATGGTAAGTAAAATAAAGAAAAAACATGAAAGGTTACTAAAACTCAGTTTGTATATACTGTGTTGATTTTCTTGCTGATGCAAGTATTATAATTTTAGGTAGAAAAAATTTCAAATTATCCTATCTAATAAAAGAGAAACATGCAAATTGATTGTACCTTTGCTACAACCACAAGCCACACCAACCAGCCAATCAGGGCAAGTATGCAAATTAACCTAACCAAGATGGTGGTTAATTTGCATATCCAGGCAATGAGCAAAGACTGAAGACAGTGTAGAAAGAAGCCAAGCATTGCAGAAGGAAGCAAAGCTGCAGAGAAGCATGCAAGTGGGATTGGGGAGAAGGGAGGGAAACAAGCAGGGGAGAAGGGAGGAAAACAGGCGGGGCCGGGGGAGAAGGAAGGGAAGCAGGCAGGGCTGTTGAGAAGGGAGGGAAGGAGGCATAAGAGAAGGGAGGGAAGCAGGTGGGGTGGTGGAGACTGCAGCAGAAGGCCCTATTGCAGGAATCTTCCTGCAATGTGCCTCTTGTATTTAATAAAACAAATCCCAGCCCGGCCAGTCTGGCTCAGTGGTTAAGCTGTTCATCGACCTATGAACAAACAGGTCGGTTCGATTCCTGATCAGGGCACATGCCTGGGTTGTGGGCATAGCAGAACACAAATCAGTAATAACATCCTAGCTAATAAAAGGGTAATATGCAAATTAACCATCACTCCATTATAAAGCCCAGTCCTCTCAGCCCCAGTGGAGTTCCCCAGTCCCAGGGGGTCAGCCGCTGAGAGCAGGCAGCGTGGCAACGAGGCAAGCGTTCCACGCCCGGCCGTGGATGGGCCTCTGAGCTGTGGAGAGCCTCTGGGCAGCGGGTGCAGAGTGGGCAGGCCCCACAGAGAGCTACTGGCATATGGATTCGTGCGCAGGGCTACTAGTTAGTAATAGAACTATGCTTCTAGAGTAACATTTTTCACAGCAAAAAAAAATAAGGTAACTTGTGAAGTCACTCCTGGAATTCATCCAGCGTGAGCTATGTCCAAATCCGCCCCCAAAGCCACATGCAAGGGTACTCACCACTGAATGATTTCTGTGATCTGGGCTTCCCAATGTGCAACGGATTCTTTCTTGTCTGCTAGGTCTTTCACTTCTTCTTCCAGCTGCCGGTTGCGTACACTGAGGTTCTCATACAGAGCTGTAAGCTGAAAGGCGTCAAGACACATGTGTCTTTTAGAAACAGGAACTCAAGGTACTCAGATGCCTCTTGCTAAATCTTAAATTCACCATATTCCACTCGAAAATGCATGTCTTGTTGATCCCGCATTGTTAACCCTCTGGTCACAGGTTTGGAAACATCTATTCCATCTGCCTTAGCTTTTCCCCTTTTCTCCCTGCACTGAATTGATGCCACTTGTGAACATTCATTTGCCTGAAGAACTCCTCAATTCTGCCAGAAATAATGTCTCTCTCTCTTTTTTCTTATTTTTGGTCTGAAAATGTCTCTGTCATCCTTTTGTTTTTAAAATTCTTTGTTTAAAGCACATATGTCAAACACAAGGCCCGCGGGCCAATCCGTCCCACCAGGCCTTGCAATGTGGCCCGCACCGCGCTGTCATCACTGCACTCTGCTGCGTTTCCATCACAATGACAGTTTATGACTGTTCAGTAAACCATTCGGCCCGCGATTTAGGCTGGATTTTAGATTTTGGCCCCTTCTCTGATTGAGTTCGACACCCCTAGTTTAAAGCATTACATATGTCTCCTTCTTCTCCCACTGACCTTGCCCTGGTCATTCCCACCCCTCTCCCAGTACATGCCCTCAACCCCCTGCTGCCTGTGTCCATCATTTATGCTTCTACACATGCATGCGAGTCCTTTGGTTAACATCTCACCCCCCTCTCCACCTTCCCTCTGAAGTTGATCTGTTTGATGCTTCTATTCATCCTCTTTTTTAAAAAAGTGTAAGAATTACAAGCATATATAAGAATGGATGGACTGAGGCGAAGGCCTAAGTGACTTCCTATGAGCCCATCACCCATGCTCAACAATTAACCACACTCAACAATGTCAATGCTAATTCATTTGTACTCGTTTTCTTACCCATCCTCCTGTATTCTTTTGAAGCAAGTACCAGACATCATATTTTATCTGTATAATTTCTATGAATAGACAGCTCTAGAAAACAGGTTCTCATTAAATAGAACCACAATATTATCATATTTAACGAATTTAACAAGTTTCTTGATATCATCACATAGGTAGGTAACTGTTCAAAAAGTTATCCCAAAATATCAAAAAAACTTAACAGTTTGTTAAAAACAGTAAACATAGCTTAATGAGGTTTTGGGATCTTTCAAGTATTTTATTTATAGTTTCCTAGCTTAGTCTACTCAGGCTGCTAAAACAGAATATCATAGACTGGATTAAACTTTTTTCAGACTATAGGAATACTTCCTACAATAGTCGTCTGCAGAAAGGCACTGGGGAGTAACAAGGCAGCCAGTACTTTACTGAGCCAACCCATTATCGTGGTATCCCTCCACTGGGTTGGACATTCCTTAATCGATCTCAGAAACACTTGGTAGCTGTCTTCCTCTGGTTAATTCCAAGAGCTGTGAAACGATTGTTTTGGTAAGTGTGCACTTTGTTTTTAAAATTCTTTGTCTAAATATTACAGATGTCTCCTTCTTCCCCCACTGACCTTGCCCTGGTCGTTCCCACTCATTTCTTTACCTCTTCATGTTAGCAGAGCCAGAAGCCCACCAGCTGCTTCTGAGAATGTTTTCTGCAGATGCAGTGTCTTCACTAATTCTTACAACACGTTTATTTTATTTTATTTTATTATTATTACCATTGCTTTTGACAGCCCTTCCAACTAATTTGTGGTTGGGGTTTCGGTGGGAGATTTGCAAGAGAAGAAAATTCAGATTTTGCACTGCCCAGTTACAATAGTTACAAGGTATTTTAAATAGATTTACTCAGAAAAAAAAAGTATCTATTCCTTGTTACTAATAAAAGCACAAACTTTGAAACCAGACTATGGACTTCAGAAAAGTAATCTCCCTTTGCCTCAGTATCCTCATGTATAAAATGTGATACCTTAGAGAGGCATTGGGAGAATTAAATTATTCAAATAAAGTAACTCAGAAGAGGACTGGCACATAGTCATTTTATCTAAGTATTAGTTCATTTTGTATGGGAATTTACTATTTGTACTTTAATGTATCTGGCTCATAATAATTATAAGACTACACAGAAACATGGAAAATGCTCATAACATTTTAAGTGAAAAGGCAGATTAAAAATACAATGTACATATGACTGCATTTATGTAGTAACTAGAGGCCTGATGCATGAAATTTGTGCAAGGGGCTTAGCCCTCGCAGGCGCAGTGGCTGCCTGGGCCCTCAAAGACCCAGCTTCGTCCAGAAGGTCGTTCAGCTGTCTGGTCTAATTAGCATATTATGCTTTTATTATTATAGACTAGTGGCCCAGTGCATGAAATTCGTGCATGGCGGGGGGGAGGGGGGTGTTCCCCTCAGCCCAGCACGCACCCTCTCCAATTGGGGATCCCTTGGGGGATGTCCGACCTCTGGTTTAGGCCCAGTCCCTGTGGGACATCCCTCTCGCAATTTGGGACCACTGGCTCCTAACCGCTCACCTGCCTGCATGCCTGATCACCCCTAAATGCCCTCCCCTGCCAGCCTGATATTGAGCCCAACTATTCACCCCTGCCAACCTGATCCTGCCTTCAACTGCCTCTGCCTGCCTGATCGCCCCTAACTGCCCTCTCCTGCCGGCCTGATCGTCCCAAATGGCCTCTGCCTCTGCCCCCACCAATATGGCTTTGTCCGGAAGGAAGTCAGATGTCTGGAAGATGGCCAGTCAACCTGGTCTAATTATCATATTACCCTTTAAGTAGTATAGATAAGATTATATAGGATAGGATTGCTTAAATGGGAGAGGGAGGGAGCCTTTTTTCAGCAGGAGGAGATACTCTTGGCAGACAAAAATCCATAATCCTTATATCGGGTCTAGTAATAATTAATGTCGTTTTTAAACATTCGTTTAAAATCTTGCTTGGCGTTGACTTGTATTGACATAACCTTCAAACACGTGGTATCTACAGAACGTGTGAAGTGCAATTAAGTTTTGCTTGAAAAAGTTTGTGTTTGGTTTGGTTTTTGTTGCAAAACTAGGGCTAAGAAGATGGCGGATGAAGAGCATATTCGGCACTGCATGCTTTACGAGTTCCAATTAGGAAGAAAAGCAAGTGAGGCTGCAAAAAACATCTGTAGTGCTCTTGGTCAAGATGCAGTTAGTGCCAGAAAATGCCAGCGTTGGTTTGAGAAATTGCACGAGGGAAATTTTTCGTTAGATGACAAGAGTGGTCGAGGCCGTGTGTCCAAGTTTGATCAAGAAGCTCTTCAAGCTCTTTTGGTGCAAAATCCTCAAATTACCCAACAAGAGCTTGCGACAACTTTAAATTGTTCACAAAAAACAATTTCCAATCAATTGTGTGCACTTGGCAAAGTCCAAAAGTTTGGAAAATGGGTTCCTCATGAGTTGACCGAAAACAACCGTAATCAAAGAGTCACAATTTGCAGTTCGCTCCTCTCTCGTCAAAACCGTTTGCCGTTTTTAGAGCAAATTGTTACCGGAGATGAAGAATGGCTGCTGTTTGTTAATTTGAAAAGGTGGCCTCTATGGTTGGACAAAAATGAGGCTCCGCAGCCCACGCCAAAACCTGACTTGCATGCGAAAAAAGTGATGTTTTGTGTTTGGTGGAATTTTAAAGGAATTTTTCATTATGAACTTTTACCATCTAACCAAACCATTACAAGTGCAGTGTATAGTGCCCAATTGGAAAGGTTAGCCCAAGCTTTAAGAGAAAAAGAACCCGCGCTGATTAATCGGAAGGGCGTAATTCTTCACCACGATAACACACGACCGCATACTGCAAGAATCACTGCTGAAAAACTGCGCCAGTTGGAATAGGAAGTTCTCCCTCAACCTGCATATTCTCCTGATATTGCCCCTTCCGATTACCATTTGTTTCGTTCTTTGCAAAACTTTCTTCTTGGAAAAAAATTTAATAATGAAGAATGCCTCAAAAATGCATTGACCGAATTTTTTGCATCAAAATCACAAGAATTTTACAACAGAGAGATTAAAATGCTTCCTGAGCGTTGGGCACAAGTAGTAGAAAACAACGGCAACTATATTGTTGATTAAATTTTGTTGTATTGTTTAAATAAATTCGATTTAAAAAAGTATTAGAAAACGGCATTAATTATTACTAGACCTAATATCTGGAATGACAGCCAGCCAAATGCACTATACTGCCAAACCTGTCATTAAAAATTTGAACCACTTTCTTACACCAAACAGCTGTTGCCCTTAAAACCCCTCCTTAGCTCCCACCTTAGGTTCTGCCTTCGAAGTTCACCCAGATTAGGTTCTGATTGGTTGGTTTCTATGCCAGTCAGCGTCTCTGGGCCTATCAATGGGCCTGATCAGAGAGGTGGGGCTGACCAGCAGCCCAACCGGAGGCCTGAGAGAAAGAGAGGTGCAGCTGCTGGCCAGGCCCAGAGTGAAAGAGAGAGGCAAGGGCTGATCAACAGCTGCCAAAGAGGCTACAGATCAGACCCTGCTTTTCCCTCCCAAGGCCTCTCTCCAGGCCTGATCCACAGGCTCCTCAGCAGTCAGTGCTGGGTCCAGGCTCCCACAGGCGAGGCAGTCAGTGCTGGGTCACCACAGCAACCCAGAACTGACTTCCGGTTGGTCGAGCCTCGTTGTTGTGGATGTTACGGACCTTGGGTTTTTATATATTAGGATATGTATACAAACAAAACTTGAAAAGAACAGTTGTGTTGTGATGATGACATCATGAGTACCTTTCATGTTGAACATTTTCCACATATTTTGTAATTTTGCTTTTATGTAAAATAAAAACAAGATGCAAATGATATGTTTTCTTGCTAGAAACCATTTACTTTTACTCCATGGAATTCATGACTAATTTTATTTGCAATAAGTTAATAAAAAGTGAAACTTGCAGACTTCTGGAAATATCAACTTTTTTTTCCTACTTTCTTTGGAGTTTAAAAATGTGAATGTGAGAATGTATTAGTTATAAAAGTTATTTCAGTTTCAAAATTAACATAATAATTGCTTTTTGGCTTTTATATCTAAAATACTGTGTGTGTGTGTGTGTGTGTTTGCAAGGTAAAATTTCTTTATTGGTTCCATCTACACCTGGACCAGAGATGGCTCTAGACCCAGGGGACTTCTGATTGGGAGTCTGTGGACAGTCAGAGGAGGCAGCTTCAGTGCTGAAGGTGGAAGGCTCCGCAGCCCACACATGCAACAGAAGCGCCTGCTTGCTGAAGCTTAGACCTTGGCCTGGCCGGTGAAGGCAAGAACAAAAACACGTTTCTAGAATCACACGTATCTGGAAGTCAGCACTGATGCTGAGCAGCAGCACCATGAAGGCTGAGAGCAGTGAGCATGGAGGTCCAGGCGTGCGGGGTGACCCTCAGGGCCATCTGGTGGCAGGCCCAGCTCCTGCGGGCCATGCCCCGTGCTTGCTGTAGCATGTCCCCCTGTTCCCTGCCAGCACTGCCATGTCCTGCAGGTCAAGCACAGCAGCCCGCCTTCACCCACAGCCTGCACAGCTGCATCGCACCGATCCGCCTCCCACTGGTGCTGGTGCATCAGCATCTGGGCATTTGCTTGGCCAGGCTGTGCCAGGTGGGCCACCTCGGTGAGCTGCACGTCATGGCGGTGAGATCCACAGCTCGGGCAGAGGCGTCGTTGGCAACCATGGACTGGAGCCCAGGCACCTCGGGCAGAGTGGGACGAAGACCTGAGGCTGCGAGGCTCCCCAGTGCCCGCAGGCCTTCCTCTCTGTCTCCGCAGCGGCTGCTCCAGGCCAGTTTCCGGGCCGGGTCTGCCCCCTTTCCACAGAGCCTTGTCCTCCTCTAGCTCCGACAAGCCCACCAGCACCTCTTGCACCTCCTTTTCACCGGCACCTTGACCTGGACTCCTCTGGCCCCAGATGAACGCGAGCCAACTCGGTGATCACAGCACACGTCAGACCCGGCTGAACTCCCCCGCTGGGGGTGGGCGGCTTCGTTGGCGCTGGGGAAGGCGATCTGGGCGGACCCCTCGGAGACAGTTGTCACCTGGGGTTCAGGCGGGCGCCCTGTGTCGCAGGGCACCGTGCCCGTCTCCATTGTGGTGGAAGTGCCGGCCCTTGGCGCTGCCCTCCATAAGCCGAGCACACAGCCCACCGCACCGGAGATCAGGCTCAGCCAGAGGGGTCCTCGTATGGGACATCCACCGTAGCCTGTGCCCGCCAGGCCTGCTCTCCCAGAACTGAGAACCGAGTGAGCATCGGTCACATTTTCCGGATTAAGACCTGGGCGCCGCCATGTACTGCTAAGAGAAAGTTTAGACCTGGGGCCTAAAGTACTGCTAAGAGAAAGTTCAGCTCCCCCCAGGCTGGCTTCCCAGGGAACAGCTGGGGCAGCAGCCAGGCTGAGGGACCCCACTCATGCACAAATTCGTGCACTAGGCCTCTAGAATATTACAGTTGTCAAAACTTCTCTAGTTTGACCTAATTGTTCCTGCTCTTACTAAAGGCCAGCCTTAACTTAACTTTTTATTCTTTAGTTACCCTCATGGAGAAAATACTCAATTCACACGGAACCAGAAAATGAAGAAATGGAAAGAAACAGTGAAGATGTACAGCTAGGTGACTGAGAGTTAAACAGAAAAAGCTAAAGCTGAATAAAAGGAGCAAAAGTGGACAAGTTAAAAAAGAAGCAAAAACCCAAACTTTCCTTATTTCTGCAGGAGCAAATATATCCTTGCTCTCAATAGTCATTAAATGCTCACCTACTATATGAATTTGATCTCAATGTGCTACTCATCCTTCCTCACAACTTTCAATTTAGCAAGAAAGGGAATGTTGTATTTTTATAAATTTAGGAGATAGGTTTTTATTTTTACCTTTCAGGTCTCACCAGAATCAAGAGTATTGTTTTAAAACTATCTCTAAATATGTATTTTGTGTAAAATCAGCATAACTTTATAGTTAATAATGAAATAAAACCAAAGAATGAATATAAGATTTGACCTATATTCAATAAGATTATTTTTCAACACAAATTTTCTTCAACTATAATATCATTCTTTGCTAGGTAATCTGCTTAAGACTCTACATGAATTGGACAAAAAGAGCTTAATTATGTTTCTTACCTCATGATAACTCTTAAAAGAATATTAAAATTTTGCCTTATATAAAGAAATTATGTTTTAATTTTGTAGTCATATTAGTCAAATATATGAAATAACAATTATGTGACTTATTTGAATAAAGTTCAAGTACTGTTAGTTTTATTATAGCGGAAATAACTAAGAGTTACGTTACATATGTACATATATACATATACATATATTGTACATATACATATACATATACATATTCAGTTTAAAATTCATTTGTACTACTTGGGCCACTTTCCAATGCTTATGCATATCAGCTCTATAAAACTTGACAAAATGAACTACTAGTTCTTTCTTAAGTAGCTTTCAACCAAACAAGCAAAGCAAATTTTTTTAAAAACTTTATCTTCACTTATTTTTAGAGAGAGAGGAAGGGAGAGAAACATCGATGTAAAGTGAAAAATCGATCAGCTGCTTGCTGACGTCCCCACCATGCACTGAGCCTGAAATCTGGGCATATGCCTTGACTTGGAATCAAATTTGCAACCTTTTGGTGCACAGGATGACACCCTACCAACTAAGCCACATTAGCCAGGGCGAGCAAAGTCAAATTTAAGTGCTTAGAAAACGAAGTAATTCTGGGGAAAGTATTGAGAAAAAAAAAAAAAATATATATATATATATATCGGACACAGTGGAAAACAGAAAGAATGGAGAGTCGTTCAGTCTTTTATTGGAATCACTAATAATTGAACATGATACTTTTATTGGAGGAAAATCACCATAAAGCACAATTATCCAAACCCTATTTAAATGTAAGTAAAGGCATTAAAGATCAATATTAGGATTTTTATGACTGTTAAGAGCTGCTGTCACAGAAATGCAAAATGATGGCCATTTCAAATATCAGATACACTAAATGGGGAAACATTCCTTCAAACATTTGAAATTCTGTTCATTGACCTGGCTACTTATAAGCTTAACCTATGGTTCTGGTTCTTTGTTCAAGGTACAGAGTTTAGGCAGAGTTGGGTTTCTTTAGATTTTTACAGGCCAACTATTATTTCTAGCTATTGTCAATCCTCCATCATAAATCTATATATATAAAAGCCTAAGTGACTGCTACAACTGGTGACCGAACGACCAGTCGCTATGACATGCACTGACCATCAGGAGGCAGACACTTAACGCAGGAGCTGCCCCCTGATGGTCAGTGCACTCCCACAGCCAACTTCCTGCAGCTGGCCAACTTTCCATGTTCCCTCCCTCTGGCTGGCTGGGCCCCGATTAGCCCGAACAGGACTGAGCGAGGCAGCCTCGATTGGACCCGATCGCAGGCCAGGCTGAGAGACCCCACTCATGCACAAATTCGTGCACTGGGCCTCTAGTATATTATAGTTGTCAAAACTTCTCTAGTTTGACCCAATTGTTCCTGCTCTTATGACAGGCCAGCCTTAACTTAACCATGACAGACGTCAGTGATGAATATTAGGTAAAGAATAAGAAAAGAGATAGATGGGAAGTGCAGTAAGGAATAGAGGCTCAAAAACATAAATGGGGCTGATTGGCATGTTTCAGTGATTGGACCAGGCGGTCACAATTCGATTCCCTGTCAGAGCACATGCCCGGGTTGTGGGCTTGATCCCCAGTGTGGGGCATGCGGGAAGCAGCTAATCAATGACTCTCATCATTGATGTTTCTCTCTCTCTCCCTTTCCCTTCCTCTCTGAAATCAATAAAAATATTAAAACAAACAAAAACATAAATGAGACAAAGCATGAGATGTCCTCTCTCTAGAATAGGGGTGTCGAACTCAATCAGAGAAGGGGCCAAAATCTAAAATCCAGCCTAAATCGCGGGCCGAATGGTTTACTGAACAGTCATAAACTGTCATTGTGATGGAAATGCAGCGGAGTGCAGTGATGACAGCGCGGTGCGGGCCACATTGCAAGGCCTGGCGGGACGGATTTGGCCCGCGGGCCTTGTGTTTGACACATGTGCTCTAGAAGAATCTTGTACAGATTGGTACAATGAGAAAATAAGCAACCCTTGTGTATGAGGAGGAATAGGAAAAAAAAAAAAGTACACCAAATACATAATTTACCCACAGTTTCTATGATGGCGCTGACAATGTAAATGTGCTCAATGAATGTAAATGAGATCGAATCACTCACCTTATCAAGTTCACTTGTCAGTTTTTTATTTTCTTCAGTTAATAACACCTTTTCTCGTTCATACTGTTGTTTGAACTCATTTTCAAATTCTTCCCTTTCACTTTGACTAACACAATTCAAAACATAAAAGAAAAAAAAGAAATAGAATTAAAGGTCAAATTATGGTGCCCCAGATGAGCTATTGTACCATATGTTTCATCCTGGAAGGTCACTTAGATCTTGACTATTCCAAATCCCAATCTTTCCCCTTAAAGTTAAAAATCACAATCACTTCCTTTTAAATAATAAATAGATTTGTCTGCTTAATAGCATTTACTTTGTTTTTCAATTGAAAATTGAGGAAGAGATCTGTGATTAGTAGACTCCTGGATTGTGTTCACTTCCTTTCTTCTCTCCTGCTTAATCTAAGTGCCTACCTACATACACATATATACATATACACATACTCAAATTTAATATTATAAAGTTTACTTTAAATTATAGTTCTGTGGGTAGAAATGATTTCCTTAGAAGCAATCACAGTTCTGATCGTTTTTCTACTAGCATGAAGCAAACTTAAGTCTCCTCCACATGAAAAGACAACAAACAAGCTCCCCGAAGCTCCACGATCCACTTCACTTTCCACTCTCCTGGTCTCCCCGCCCTGCTAACCGCCCTGAGAGAGTTGGCTGCATCCACTTTCTCTCGCCTATCTGCCCCTCACCACACCAGACCTGGCTCCTGCTGCACCCCTCCAAAGAAGTGCTCCTCAACACGCCACCTAGTCCACCCTATCCAGCCTCCTGGCCACCTCAGTGCTGTCTAATTTTCTTGAAGCGCTGGCTTCCGTGGCTTCAGTGACGCCTCGCTCTGGTTTCCAGCTGCCTGTCCGAAATGCCTGGCACCTGCCTCAGCTGCAGTGCTCCCGGTATCCTGTCAGGTGCTCCCTCCTCTCTGCACGCTCATCCACCACTGCCCGGCTTCCCTTCTCTGATCTGCTGGCAAACTCTGACCTCACATCGGAAGCCCTTCTGGGCTTCAAAGCCTCTGACTTGCCACCTCCACAAAGATGCCTCCCAGGCGCTCATGTTCAATATGCCCAACTCGAGAGCTCGGCACGTGACCCGTTCCTACCGCCTGCCTTCCTCTGTGCCCAGCACACGCCTTTCTCTCCTCTTCCCACAGCTGAGAGCATGGCTGAGGCCGACCCCACTCACTATCTCCCTGCTCAAATACTCTTCCTCTGTCCTCTACTAATTTATTTCAGATTATAAATATGGTGTGATTTCTCCCACCTAAAAACAAAAATCAAAGTAACTTCTTTTGAGAGAAATTTCTCCTCCAGCGGCTACCTCACTGCACTGCTTGCTTTCAACATAAAAGACTCCGAGTGATAACAGTGGTGTCCACACTCTCTGTCTCCAAATGCTCTCCTTCTAGTCTTTGGCTCCCACTGTAGGGTTCTGGCCCTCACTGTTCCACTGACAATGTTCCTATCAGTCACCAATGACCTTCATATTGTCATTGGTGACTGATAGGAACATTGCCATTACGTGGACCTCATTTTATTTGATATAAACTTCACCTCATGTGACATGCAAACAGATTTGATAGGTTTTCATCACATGGCTTCCAGGACACCAGATTTGCCTGGAAATTTGTAATGTGTAGAAAGTCAGGATGCTCTACACAACGGCCGACTGCACATCTCTGCCCGGATGTCTAATATGCATCTCAAATATAACTTGTTTAAAATGAGCTCCTGACGCCGGGACCGGCTTGGCTCAATGGATAGAGCGTCGGCTTGGGGACTGAAGGGTCCTGGATTCGATTCCGGTCAAGGGCATGTGCCTTGGTTGTGGGCATATCCCCAGTAGGGGGTGTGCAAGAGGCAGCTGATCGATGACTCTCTCTCATCGATGTTTCTAACTCTCTATCTCTCCCTTCCTCTCTGTACAAAATCAATAAAATATATTTAAAAATAAATAAATAAAATAGAATAAGCTCCTGACAATACACCCCAAACTGGATCGCTGATGGGGCCTGGTGGCCAACTTCCTGGTCCTCCTCCCAGCAGACAGACAGGTCCCGATCAGCCCAATTGGGCTGGGACGGGGAACCAGAGGTGGGGGGTAGGGAGGGGCAGCTCCAGACACAATCCTTTTCCCAGGGAGCCGAGGGCTGGCTCCCTCCTCAGGGCCAGTGCCAATCTCTTGGGTTCCTGGGTCCCTCTTCCTCTTCCCCCCTGGCCGGCAGGTCCCAATCACCTGAATGGGGCCGGGCCCGAGGCTGGGACAGGGAACCAGGGGTGGGTGGGGGCAGACACCATTGGCAAGGGAAGAAGGAGGGGGATGGGTGGGGAGGCGGGGCCTAGTGACCCCACCCGTGCACGATTTTGTGTACCGGGCCTCTCATGTATTTATATAATTAAATTCTTCCCCTTAATGGTTCATAGCATCCTCTGCTTTATTTTTTGTTCCTGGTATTTCTCATTGATTCTGTTTGGTATGCTACTTAATGCTAGGGTCTTTCCCCGTAACGAAAGGAACGCTCCATAAGGACAGAGAATTTTCTGCCTGTTCACTGCTGTGTTCCCAGTGCCTCTGCACATAGCAGGTTCTAAAACACTCCTATTGAATGAATGCACCAAACTGAATAAACGTAGGCTTCTGATATAAATTGAGAATGATAATAACTACACTTTGTTGCCTAAAATCTAGACAGACACCAGAATTCCACTGATTAAGCCTCCTGTTCTTCATTTCTCACCTCTGGTCATGATGTCCTCTAAGTTCTGTCTACTTCTCTCCATCTCCACGTACCTGCCTAAGGTCCAGCAGCCTCGTGTCTCACAGCGAGGCTCCTATCTGTCATCTGCTCCTCCAACCCATTCTCCACACGGTGCGAGAGCGATCTCTTAAAAATATACTAACAATCACGTAACTGGCCTGGCCTTTGACTAAAGTCCAAGCACCTTACACGCCTTCATGAGCTTGCCTGTTTTCCTTCCCAGCAGCATTTCTCACCCCTCCCCTCACTTCCCCTGTCTTGTCATGAACACCTTTCCTTTCTGAATGTGCCATGCTCCCCTTCTCCTCTAGATGGCAGCAGTCTGCTGCCTCTGTTTGGACACTTCTACAGCCATAGATTTCTTTGGTCTTAACCTAGAAATCATTTTGTCCAAAAAACTTAGATGCACTGAAGCCATCTCTGGGTTCTTCTATGGGGGTGCTCTCACACACCCCACTTGCTTCCCTATTGGGTTGTACTGTGTTTTCTATTCACTAGTCTTGGCTGTGGTCCTCTATCATTCTCAAGCATGGAACATGCTTACTGCCTGCAGAGCTCCAGGGCCTGGCACATGCCAGGCATTCAATAAATATTTATTAGAGGAGTGAGTAACTTGATTCTTACCTTTCTCTCCTGTTTTTTTCCAATTTGTCTTTCAAAATCATAATTTCTTTGTTCAGAGCAAGTTGCTGGCCTTCTGAGTCATGCAGTTCTTTCTTTAGATTTTTAATTTCATTTGCATGTATTCCTTCTCTTTTGGATAATTCTTCTTCATAAAAGATACTTTTCTTTTCCAAATCTGTCTTTAGTTTAGTTATCTCTTGCTGATGTTCTATGCTATACACTCCTGGTGAGTAACTAATCTGTTTTTGCTATAAAAAAAAAAAAAAGATTAGTTCATATGTAAGAATAAAGTATTAAATAACTTCTTTCTATTCTAAAAAAGACTATTCATATAGCTTTAATAGTATTTTTATATTATCACATAAAAATAATTCTTTATTAAAGGCTATTAATCTCTCTTGTCTGCCACATGTTACAATATTTTTTTTGTACATTCCTTTATTATTGTGTATCTTACAGTCTTCGTCACAACAAGATTGCAAATCTGTATTTTCTGCTGGTACTTACATAATTATTTGTTTTACACTTAAAGTTTTAGTTTTATACACAATATTGTTGGTTATGGAATAAGAAAAAAAATCTACCTGCATCTGGTTTCTGAAGTGGATCCAATGAAAGGTAATAAATACGTTTGTGTTTTTAAAAGATTAAATCAGGAGAGGGGATGGTAGAGTTAGTGTACAAAAAGAGGGGACTTTTAGTCTCCGGGGAGAAGTGACAAAGTCTAACCTAATGTTTTCATAGTCTCTCTAGGAAAAATGAAGGTCTCTGCTGCAGGTTGTGTATTAAGGAGACATTTGCCTGAAAGCCACCGTTTTAGAAATGCGGTTGAAATGTCCTCTGTGAAAGGAGATGTGCTAGCCCAGCCCAGGATGGTCCATCTCAGCTGACAGAGTGTCTGCAAGGCTTCCTGGAGCCACACCAGGTACCTCACTAGCCACGCCCCCATGCCAATGACCAATGGGCCCTGTCGGGGGAGCAGCCCTGCATAAATATCTAACTCTCTCCTGGCAGATGTTCCTCCCCACTATACACAGTCCGCACTTCCTTCCTCCGTGGTTAGGAAGTCGTTACCAGCTTCCTATGGCAAAGCGGGAATTAAGACCACGAGGTCGGAAGGAGAGCTATGTTTGCTGCACTCCGAAGAGAGCAGGTAAGGAACCTGCCTCTGAAGCCTGCGGAGGAGCAGACAGCTCCACCCATGAAAACGCAAACGCTACCTTCAGGCCCTCCAGCTCGTTTTCCAGCTGCTTGGAGTAGTGCTCGCTCTGTTCACGCAGCTTCCTGTCCTTAGATGCTTCGGCAGCTACAGCTTCTGTGTGAACTTCCAGCTTTAACACACAATGAGAAAAGCAGAGTCATGGTTTTAACTGTATGCCCAAGGAAATGGTTTTCCCCCTGGTAATTTACCTTGCAACAGGAAGATAAGTCAAATGCTGAAATTCATATTAAATAATATTACCAAACTACAAAATTAACCTCTTTGAACAGTTCAAGAATGAAGTAGATATCATGTCACTCGTCTGAAAAAGCAGCTTTAAGCACTACCGCGTGGACACTACAGACCTTGCCTGACTACTGACCTCTTTCTTGGCTCTCTCTGTTCTGCGCAGTTCTTGCCTTAAGCTTTCAACTTTTTGCATCACCAGGTCCACCTCTTCTTCCTTATCTCGGACGTGGCGAGCAAGTTTCTGCTTTTGGGTGTGCAATTCTGTGAGCCGCTCATTGATCTCCATGAACTCCTGCATGGCCAGTTTCCGCTGGCAGTGTGCGTCTTTCAGCTCTTTGGACTGGTTTTTTAATCGCTCACTAGCCTGGACTAGTTCCTACAGTTTTGTAAAAAGAATATAAGTTACCAATTCTGCAACCTATGAACCAAATTTGGCCATCATGTCATGCTATAATGAAATCAAGAGGAGCCAAAATTATTCACCTTAGGATAAAATGAAACGAACTACTTCTGATTAGATATTCAGAGCATAGCACTCTGTTCATATTTTCAGTTCTTTATGCTAAAATGCTAACTGCAAAGGAACAGCAGATTTAACCTTCTAATACCCTGGTTTCTACAAATAAATAAAGAGCGTAGGAATTTAAGATGCAATGGTCAAAATAAAAATGTTGAGATATTTAATGGATATCTGTGCACATAAAAAAGACTTGAAAGCTCAATTAACAATCTTCATATACAGAAGCTTGCACCCACTACTGGGGAACACACATTCACCTTCAGCTAATACTGAGTATTTAGAAATGGAACAGCCTAGACTAGGGGTGTCGAACTCAATCAGAGAAGGGGCCAAAATCTAAAATCCAGCCTAAATCGCGGGCCGAATGGTTTACTGAACAGTCATAAACTGTCATTGTGATGGAAACGCAGCGGAGTGCAGTGATGACAGCGCGGTGCGGGCCACATTGCAAGGCCTGGCGGGACGGATTTGGCCCGCGGGCCTTGTGTTTGACACATGTGGCCCTAGACCATACAGCAAGTCTCAGCAGATTCAAAAGAACAGATATCATACAGATTAAGTTCTTTTAATAACATTACCATTACAATAGAAATAAAAAATTAAAAAGCCTAGCCTGGCTGGGTGGCTCAATTGGTCGGAGCATCGTCCCTTACACCGGAAGGTTGCAGATTCAATCCTTTGTCAGGGTGCACCTGGGAGGCAACCAATCAATGTTTCTCTCTCAAATTGATCTTTCTGGTCTCTCCCTCTCTTTCTCTCTCAAATCAATAAACATATCCTTGGGTGAGGATAAAAAAAAGTTTAAAGGCCGAATTTCAAAACAATTAATTGGTCAAAAAGAAAAACCATAAAAGCACTAAATTATCTAGAGTAAAAAAATATTTAGTACATACTAAAACTTGAAGAGGCAGTAAAAATAGAAAAGTTATAAGCCTGAAACACTTATATTGAAACTAAAAAGATGCTTGAAATGCAATGAAATTCCACATTAAAGAAAAAATAACACATTTTCTCCAAATATGAGAAGGGGCATAAATTAAAGAAAAAACAAATGTAAGAATAATGAAGATCAACAAAACCAAAAGTTGGTTCTTTAAAAAACAAATGAACAGAAAAATATCTCATGAGATCAAATAAGGGAATAAGATTAAATTCACCCCCCCCCCAAAAAAAAATTAAGAGAGGTTATAACTACAAATCTAGGAGATATAAAAAAGATAATAAAAGAACACAATGAAAAACTTTATTACCTTATTAACTGGACAAATGCCTACCTAAATTATAATTTATCATTAGTGGTTTCAAAAAGAAATAAAATCCTGAATAGTCCTATAACAATTAAAGTAACTGAATCAATAAACTTTCTCCCATCCATCCAGCAGAAGAGAATCCCCAAGCTCACATGGTTTTACAACTGATTCCTTTAATGTTTCAAAGGTACAAAATGTTCCTCTTATACAAATGTTTTCAGAGAGAAAAAGAGGCAATGCTACCTCATTCATTCGAAGAGACCAGTATAATCTTGATTTCAAGAAAAGACCAGCCCTAGCTGGTCTGGCTCAGTTGATAGCATTAGCCTGCAGACTGAAGGATCTCAGGTTCAATTCCAGTCAAGGGCAAATGCCTGGGATGTGGGCTGGATCCCCAGTAGGGGGCATGCAGGAGGCAACCAATCAATGATTCTCTCACCATTGATGTTTCTCTCTCTCTCCCTTCCTCTCTGAAATCAATAAAAACATATTTAAAAAGAAAAGTCGAGAAAGCCCAGCTAATATGGCTCAATGGTTGAGAGATGACCCATACACTAGGAGGACATAACGATGCCTGGTCAGGGCACATGCCTGGGTTGTGGGCTCAATCCCTAGTAGGGGGTGTGCAGGAGGAAGTTCATAAATGATTCCCTCTCATCATTGATGTTTCTATCTTTCCCACTCCCTTCCTCTCAGAAATATATATATATATGAAAGACTAGAAAAATAAGGAAAGAAATTACAAGATAATCTTACTGATGAAAACAAATTTTAAAAAATCAGAAAAAAATACATTAGCAAATCAGTTCTAATGATGTATAAAGTGAAAAACGTAAGTTCTAGAACTAGAGTTGTGTTGAAATTCCAGCTCTACCACTTCCTAGCTCTACTATCATCTTAAACAAATGTATCCACTTCTCTGTGCTCAGTCTTACCATCTATAAAATGAGGACAATAATATCATCACCCAAAGCACAGGGTACTTACAAAGACTAAATGATCTAATATATATAAAGCGCTTAAAATAGTGCTATTAGAAGACATGCTATGTGTCACCTATATTATCACATTATTATTTAGGAGCTAATACATGGGCAATTTCTGTTTAACCCACATATAAAGAAGTGGTTTTATACTGAAAAAGTCTATAAGTATAATTCAGCACACCAACTTATTAAAGGAGAACAAGCATATCAATACTTATTTTTGATGAAAATGGTTAGCAAGATAGGAACAAAAAATAACTTCTTTCCTGATAAGACGTATTTAACAAAGACATACAAAAACATTATTATTAGTGGTGAAATATTTAAATCGTTTTCTCTGAAATCAGGAGTAAGACAGGAATGACTGCTAGCACCACTTCTATTTGACATAGTACTAGAGGTCCAAGCTAATACAGGAAGACAAGGAAAGAAAGGTCATAAAATTTTTAAAAAGGAATAAACAAACTGCCATTATTTGCAGAAAACTTTAAAGAATCTCAAATATGTTATTATAATTAATAATAGTTAAGCAATATTGCTAGAACATTATCAGTAAGAAATGTAATTTCTAAAATGTGAAAAAAACAGAGAATAGTAAATTTAAGGAAAAGCAAACAGGACCTCTATAAAAATCTACAGAAAAACATTTTTAAAAATGTTTAATTATCTGGAGAGATATAATAGCATGTTTGTGGATAAAAAGATTGTGGGGCTATAGAGAAAATATTTTTATGTTTTTGAACAGTTAAGCCTTTCTAAGAACATTTGACTTAAACTTGGGACCTAAGCAAGCCTTTCCGAGTAATGTATGAGTAGTTTGGATAGTGAGAAATCCAGAGGGATTTAACGGCTCGACAGAGGCGTTTCCACTCCAGTTAAGAGCCTGAAGCAGGGAGCCACCCTCTTTACAGAGCGGGGACTCGGGCATGGCTCCCACTGGAACGATGATTTCTATTCCCAAGTGTCCCGGGTCCTTCTCCTGAGGCTTCCAGGAGAGGCTCAGCGGTGGTGGAGACGGAAAGCAGGAAGCATGTGCTTCTCTCCTCTGCACACAAACTCTGACTCACCTCCAGGGACCTTCAACTACAGCACAGACTGCACGTGTGCAGGGAGTTAACCTCCCAGCAATCACTGCACTGAGGAACACACTGCACACAGGGAGCCATGTAGTTATTACTATATTTGTTAATATAATATAATATATTTATATTATTATATTTATATTATAAATATCCTCACCCTAGGATATTTTTTCTACTGATTTTTTAAAGAGAGAGTCGAAGGGATGGAGGGAGGTGGGAGAGAGAGAAAGAGTGAGGCACACTGATTTGTTGCCTCCTATATGGACAACTAATATAACTAGAGGCCGGTGCACGACATTCATTACAGGGGAAGAGGGACACGGAGAAGTGGGGGGAGATTCCTCAGCCTGGCCTGCACCCTTTTGCAGTCCAGGAACTCTCGGGGGATGTCCGACTGACAGCGTAGGCCCATTTCCCGCAGTGAATGGGCCTAAGCCAGCAGTCGGACATCCTTAGTGCTGCCATGGAGGTGGGAGAGGCTCCCACCACCGCTGCTGTGCTCGCAGCCATCAGCCAGAAGCTGAGCAGCACTCCCCCTGTGGGAGTGCACTGACCACCAGGGGCAGCTCCTGCGTTGAGCGTCTGCCCCCCTAGTGGTCAGTGCTCGTCATAGCGACTGGTTGTTCTGCCGTTCAGTCGATTTGCATATTACCGTTTTATTATATAGGATAACTATGTACAATAATTGAGTAGTCTTTCATTACTAGCTATTAATCAATTATTATATACTACATCATTGAATTCGATTTTTACTACATCATAAGCCACTTATTTCTTTTTTGCATTGGCTAGTATTAATTCCAATATTTAAAAAAATAAGTGAACGAAAGGCAAAGTTCCCAGGGAACATGGTTTAAGTAAAGTATTTTTCTCGAGAGCTTAATATTGCTTACCCTATTAGACTGCTACAGTGTGCTGGCTATTAACACATTTTGTTGATGTTTATAATACTGTTTAAGTGTTACACAAAGTCCTAATGAAAATAACTTTATTTGTTTTATCTACACTTTGAAAGATAAACTGACATTTAAAAATTTTTAAAGGATTAAAGAAATTTTCTATTATAATCTTTCAGGAACGTTGGTATTAGCAAGTCATAATGAAAATGCACCTATATTTTTATTTTTCCACAGACATTATACTGATTTTACTATTCTCTTATTTCTTCATATTTATTTTTTAGTAACATTCACTTTAATCAAATCCGTTGATTAGTTACTTTCTAAAAGAAAAGATTAAGAATGTTAAAGCCTCAAGAATATGTTTTTCATTACTAGCCATTAATCAAGTGACATACCAAAATAATTGCTGAATTTTGAACCAACTTTTTACAGATAACATCTACTATGTATTAGTACAATTCAATATGAGTGCTTTCAGTATACAAATTAAAGAAGACTGAGAATTCAGAAAAGCCTTTAACAACCTATCTGTACTTCTTACCTTATTTAAGTCTTCTCTTTCTTGCTGTAATGTTTTGACTTGTTTCTCATAAGCCTTGATTTGTCTAAAAGCTTCGTCTAGTTCTCGCCTCACCGAATTAGCTTCTTCAAGTTGTTGTTCCAAGTGACTCGATTCTAAAGAGAAAACAGTGTTGTTGTTGTTTTACTTTTTGTATAAAAGCAAATGCCTAAGACCAAAGTTTAAAACAACTAAATTAAAATAATATATTTTGAATTGGTATTAGGCTTCCTGACGCCACATCCACCGTGACTCCTGACAGCTAAGTGCTTCTCACCGTAAAGATGGCGAGGAGCTGGTACCATGGGAAGATGTGCAAACGCTGCACACAGTCATAGGGATACAAGACCGTGCTCCTAATAAAACAGCGCCTGCAGGGCCAGTTAAAGCTGACGAGGAACAAGACTGAACAAGACCAGCCACACAAACGAAACAGACACGTTGTCCTCTACTGTTGGTTGGCATTTGTGTGCTGATGTCAGTCAATCATTATAGAATGATTCTGCTTCTAATACTGAGGTTCCAGATCATGCAGCCTGGTTTCCCTAGTGATGAATGAAGACTAAACTCTGATTTCTAAAAGTCAGTATTTTAAACCTCTAACAGGTTTAAATTAAATTAAATTTCTCCATTTTACAGATGAAATCACTGAGGCTCAGGGAGTTAAGAACACGCTGAGGGTCCTATCGCTAAAGGAGCATCAGATCTGAGACCAGAGCCCTGGAATTCTGGCATCAACCTCTCCAAGTCAGAAAGCAACATTATTAAATAATGTTTAACATTACCAGTTAGAAAGATTCATTATGAAAAAGTAAAATTATATTTAGTAAATGTTTAAGTAATATCTAATGAATTGGTATAAAATGTTTCTATTTAAAGAACTGAAGCCATTTAAACAGAAAAACAAAACATACTCATTGCTAATTCTGCTCAGGATAGTTTCTGTCCTTTACAACCTTGCTACTCGGAGAGTCATGCCCAGACAGAGTGTTAGAGACGCAGAGTCTCAGGCCCCACTACAAACTACTGAGCCAGAACCTGCACTTCACCAGGATTCCTGGGTGACCTGTTTGCAAATTAAAGTATGAGAACCAACACACAAATAATGTACATTGTTGAGTTTTATACCCTCAGTAAATAAAGTAGCATTTATACTACCTTAGTCCAATTAAAGAGTAAATATTTCACTTGTATAGACAAGTCCTATAGCAAAAAAGTCACTTAAATGTATCACACACTAACTGGTTCAAGATTTCTTAAGTCCAGTAACTTACTACTGCTTAGCGTCCTAAAGTTATAGATTTACTAAAAGCTTATTCATCTGAGGTATTTTGAAAGTCTAAATACTTTTATGGATAGTGTAGTTATTTTTAGAATTTTTGAAAATGTATGCAAAGTTGCATTTTGTAACTTGCAAAGGTGCTAAGACTGGAGAGCCAGAGGGAAATTAGTGCGACAATCAAAGCACCTCTCTCCGTCCGCAAGAGCATAATGTCACAGCTTCTCCGTTATGTTCTTCCTCCTAAAATAATTCCTAAGTCCTCCCAGATGAGATTTCCTTCTAATCAGGGTGGATAGGACATCTATTATGGCCCTATCCATTCACTGTATTTCTCCTTTACCTATGTAAGTTAGAGGAGAGAGATGGGGAGAGGAGGAGAGAGAGAGGGAGAGGAGGGAAGAGAGAGAGAGAGAGAGGGAGTTAGTTTAGGGTTGGAGAGACAGTACAAGGAGTCAGAAACCACCACCATCAAGGCAATAACTGAATGGTGTTAAAAGCACATTACAGGTTACACAAATGCTTTTATTAAAAAAAAAATCCATTCTTCATTTTCTCATATAAAAATATTAAATGAGTATGAATTTCTTTTTTGTCTGTAGATATTCGAAGAAGATGTATTAAGTGTCCGTTATATGGCACCAGGAAACTCTGTCCTACCTTCTTAAAGTCAGAGTATGATGAAGAGAACAGTCACTAAAGTGGAACTGTGAATAATTATAAATATACTAGAGGCCCAAAGCACACAATTCGTGCAAGGGGCTCAGCCCCCGCCCACTGCGGCCGCATCTGGAAGGACGTCCAGTCTAATTAGCATATTATACTTTTACTATCATAAATTAAAATTTTCTAGGAGTTTTAAAATATTGGAGAATGTTGCCACCTGGCCAGAGTGGCTCAATAGTGAGTGAGTACCCATGAACCAGGCGGTCATGTTTCTATTCCCAGTCCCGGCACATGCCCAAGTTGCAGGCTTGATCCCCAGTAAGGGCCATGCAGGAGGCTGCTGATCAATGAACCTCTCTCATCCATGATTTTCTATCTCTCTCCCTTGCCCTTCTTCTTTAAAATAAACATATTAAAAAGAAAATGTTGCCATAGGGAAAGAAAAGACATAAAAACCTTAATAGCGGGCAATTTGTTTACACAAAGGTTTTGCCTAAGAAGTATCCAGAGAAACATTAGATCATATGCTCAGCAAAAACATATCTTAGGAATGAGGGGGAATTTAAGACATTCTCAGATGAAGAAAAAACGAAGAATTTGTTAGCAGGCCAACCTTTTTTAAAAATGGCTGAACGAAGTTCTCTAAACAGAAAGCAAACAAGGAACTCAGCAATTTCAAGAAGGAAGGAAGAACATGGCATATAAAAATATGGGTAAATACAATTGAGTTTTTTTCTTCTCTAGAGTTTTCTAAATTATATCTCATGATGGAAGGAAACATTATAAAGTTGTCTGATGTACTTCCAATACATGTGAAGAGGAAATATTTAAAACAATTATATAATGAACAGGGAGAAGAAATAGTTATCAACACAAAACACTGCTTTGTCTCTACACTTAATGAGATTATGTGACGACTCTAAACCCTGAAAAGGTTGTCTCCCTCAGAAAAAATCTAAAGCTCTTAAAACACTCAGTAAGAAGCTGCTGACCAGGCAAAAGCCCTCTGTACCCTCTACTTCCCCAGCCTCGGCTCCTGCCTTCTCCCTGCTTGCTCATTCTACGCCAGCCATGCTGTCCTTGGTGTTTTGACTCATCTCAAGGGGCTCATTTTGCCGCTAGGGCCCTTGCACTGGCTGGTCCTTCTTGGAACGTAAGTTCCCAATACAACTGCTGGCTGAGCCCTACCCATCTTCCAGTTTTTGTTCACATGTCACCTTCCCAATGAGGCTTACAGCTGGGCCTACTAAAATTTAGAACTCATCCTGCACTTGCAACCCTTATCCAGCTCTTGTCCCTTCTAGAATCCCGAGAGCCTAAACAACATCTGCTACACAGTAGGTGCTCAATAAGTATTTATTAAATGAATAAAATAAATAAATGAATGGATATAACAGGTATATTAAGAATTGTCCATATTAAGTTTCATCTATCTCAGCAATACACTGAAACATAAGTTACAAAAAAAAAATTCACATGCCTTAATGCGTGCATACATGCAGTTCCCTTGTTCGTCCTTCCTCATGTCTAACACTCTTTCGCCTACTCATATGTATACTTTACCAGACAAATTCCAATTAAATATGCCAAACTAATAGGTCTTCCCAAAGTCATCTTTGTGAACTTAAATCTGGGTGAGGCGCTCCTCTTATGCATGCTTTTCTGATGGTCTTTACGTGTTTATTGCAGAAACTATTTGTTTATCTTTCTCCCAGACCAAAACGTGAGCTCCTGGAAGCAGAAACCGTGCTGATTTGCCTCTACGTCACTGGCACATAGCCCATACCATATCACACATGATACATGCATGTTCAATAAATGTTCTGTGTGTTTAAGTAGAATATTTTTAAAAGTCTGCTAAACTTAATTAATAGTGAATCACAGAAATTTACCTCTTACTTGTTTCCTTAGTTTTTCAATTTCTTCTTTTAAACTTTTTATTTCTAAATCTTTGCTGGCTGTTAGTGGACCATCAACAGTTGAATACTGCAGAGCTTGAACAGTCTGTGTTGACTCTTAAAAAAAGAGAGAATAAAATAATAAATAAGAAAGCTGGCCATACACTACACTTTCAAAACTAATGGCGATATGTACTTCTTTCTAGAGAAACCCTTATATAATTCTACTAGTCAAAACATCTACCCGTTGAAAACAAGCAAGTAAACACATTAAAATTAAATCACAAAACTCCATGTATCTGTCTTTATACAACACTAGAGGCTTCTAGATTGACGGCTTAGGCCCGCTCCTCCCACCACCACTGCGCTCACCAGCCATGAGCCTGGCTTCTGGCTGAGCGTTGCTTTTCCTGTGGGAGCGTATGGACCACCAGGGGGCAGCTCTTGTGTTGAGCACCTGCCCCTTGGTGTTCTGTGCACGTCACTGCAACAGGTTGTTCCGCAGTTGGGCAGAAACCGGCTTCCCGACATCCCTTGAGGGGTCCCAGATTGCTAGAGGGCGCAGGCCAGGCCAAGGGACCCCATCAGTGCATGACTGAGGCCAGGGAGAAATGTGGAAGGTTAGCCAGCCAGGGAGGGCTCCAGGGCAGGTCCTGCCTGTTCTGCTCAGTCCAGATCGGCCAGATCCCAGCAGCAAGATAACCTACCGGTTGGAGTGTCTGCCCCCTGGTGGTCAGTGCATGCCACAGCAAGCGGTTGAGCAGCCTTAACATATCATTAGATTGGTTGAATGGCAATGGGACAACTGGACATTTAGCATATTAGGCTTTTATTATATAGGATTATACAGGAGACAGGGTGGGGCAAAAGTAGGTTTACATTTGTCCATATGGAAAATTATACATTAAGAAATAATAACATAAGAATAAACTGTGTTTCGCGTACTCACAACAGTAAGCCTACTTTTGCCCCAGCTGTATGTAGGACAGTGGCATCATTTGGTAAATGTTCTGTCGGATGACATGAAAAACTGAGACTGGTGTGTGAAGGAAGGTCTGGGGGTGTTAATATACAAGATGTAGAACTGCTGGCCTTCCAATTTGTATGCATGAAAGTTGAGAGGCCCACTGACAAGTGACTTTGGCTCATCACGTTAGTTCAAATAGAGATTATTTATCTTGTGGTTCTAATGAGAAGATGCACGGTATTAAGGAAGCCTTCATTCTATTAAGGCTTATTCCCAGGTAGTATCAAAATATATGGGGGGAAATTTAAAACCACTTATGTCAGAAATGAAATTACCCCCGTCATAAAGTAGTCATTCTGCTACCTTATGGAGGGTTCCCAGATAGTAAGACCTGGCCTTACCACAATCTTTGTTAGTACACGTCATTACTAATTGCTCTGCATTGTCATGCACCGCTTCACACACTATGTTCGGAGAAATGCAGTAGCAATATCAGCATTGAATGCCATAGAGTGCATGTACACAAACCCTGACAGCAGACGGAAGTAACTGTACATGCTCTGTTTCTGTATGACGGGCGGCACAGTAGATGTGTTTATCCCAGCATCACCATAAACAGTAATGTGTTGCTCTGTAACTTTTTGACAGTTATGATGTCACTAAGCCATAGGAGTTTTTCATTCCATTATAACCTTATGGTGTCACCATGTGGCCCATTGTTCACTGAAATGACATTTCTGTGCATGCCTGCATTTACTAATATACTGCTTTATATAACTTATTACTTATATAACATATTACTTAAATATATCACTATACATTTATCACCAAAAAATTGTCACCTACAGAGGAGAGAGATTTTCGAATCAATCTTTGCCATCTGTATGGAGAAATCATCATCATCATGCACAGCTGTCATAAATATTTGTTAATTTGACTTAAAGGTGTAAGATATACCATACTGCTCATCTATTCATGATCTACATCCAATAACCATTTCTCCACCTTTGGGTTTAAACATGCTAAAAACTGGTGCTTTTTGTATTTATTGCTTTTAAAAGAACATCCTTTGTTTATTTTAAAGACATCTAAGTTGGGTTTAGAAAATGGGGAGATATAAAAATGCCTAATGGACATGTTGAAGCCAGAGACAAATGAGATCATGCTATGTGATACCAGTTATATGAAATTCAAGAACAGGTAAAATTAATTACGAGTGAAAAGAATTAAAACAGTGTTTACTTCAGAGTGGTGGAAAACAGACTGGTGAGAGGCATGAGGGACTTGGTGCTCACTACAAGTATTTCATACATGGCCTGGGCAGTGGGTGACATGAATGTACACATATAAACCTTTATGGGGCTTCCACTTAAAGGAGTACCTGCTCACCTTGCTACATGCCAACACCATTTAAACATCGGTCAGGGTGACATCACATCACGGTGACATGGGCACCCCCTTCTTTTCTCTCTCCTCAGATTTACAACTAATTGGACATCCACACGTTAACGAAGTGCCTCGCATGGCACTCGGGCATCTCCACGGACCCATCCTCCTGCGTAACCAGATGGCGGGTTTGACCTACAGGAGGCTATGGAGCCACGGGAGTCGCCGCGGTGGTGACTCCAGGAGGCAGTAGAGGAGGCAGACAGTACAGTGGGACTGGCCAAGCCAGGAGGCTACAGCTGGAGGAGCCTGGGCTCTTGAGCGCCCGGCCGCCAGAGGAGAGACCTCGGTGACAGGAGGCAGAGGAGAGGGAAGAGGCAGACAGAGAGCTAAATGTCCTGCTGTCGGCCCACAGACCTCTGGGACCCCCCAACTTGAGGATTCCCTCACCAGCCCCATGTGTTAAGCACACACCTCGCCCTACCCGGCCACCAGCATATTAAGCATATTCCAAGTTGTAAGTCAGTAACTTTAAGAGAAATAAAAAATGTGTGCTATCGCCACTTTTTGGAAAACAAAAGAAGGGCTTTTGGTTGCCAAGCTATTGAACTGCTAGAACCAAAGAGAACCAAGTCTTACCTAAATAAGAAAGAGATTTGCTTCTTCAAATGTGACGACAGAGGCACATTTCAGGAACACTGAAAGAGCACAGTAACACAGAAAGAAACTGACAATTCTCCAACAACCAAACTCAAAGACACGGAATGCTGAAATCTGATGAAGAATTCAAAATTGCTGTTATAAAGAAATTCAACAAACTAAAAGAAAACTCAGAAAGGCAATTCAGTGAACTCTGGAATAGCAATAATGAACAGAATAAATAATTTCTCAAAGAGGTTTAAATTAAAAAACCAAGGAAAAATTCTGGAGCTGAAGAACTTAATGAGATGAAGAATGCATTAGAAAGTGGGTGACATGGAAACAGAGTAGACCACATGGAAGAGAGAATAGCAATCTGTATGACAGGTATTAGAAATGACTCAGGTGGAAAAGAGAGAATTAATATTCTAAAAAGAGAAGAAAAACTGTAATAGTTATCTGACTCCACCAGAGAAGTCAACATATGATTGGGCATACTAGAAGTCTGGGGGGATGACGGAACAGAGAATTTAATTAAAGAAATAGTAGATGAGAACTTCCCAAACATGGGGAAAAGAACTAGACACGCAGTCCACAACGCTGATAGAACACTGTACTATCTCAATACAAAAAGATCTTCGAGCCGGACTGGCTGGCATAGCTCAGTGGTTTAGCATCAACCTATGAACCAGGTCACAGTTTGATTCCTGGTCAGGGCACATGCCTGGGTTGCTGGCTCGTTCCCCAATGGGGGCAGCCAGGAGGCAGCTAATCAAGGATTCTCTCTCACATTGATGTTTCTATCTCTCTCTCTCCCTCTCCGATCCTCTCTGAAATCAATAAAAGTATAAAATTTTTTTAAAAAAAGACCTTTAACCCACATTAAATGAATTATCAAAAATCAATGACAAAGACCTAATTTCAAGGACAACTGGGGTTGGGGGAAGAAGTAAACTACAAAGGAACCCATGAGGCTATCAGCAGATTTCTCAGAGGAAATTCTCCAGTTCAGGAGAGGGTAGAATCACATACTCAAAAACCTGAAAGGTAAAAACTGCCAGCCAAGAATACTCTATCTACATTAAGGAGAAACAAAGGCTTTCCCAAATAAACAAAAGCTGAGTGAGTTCACTACTAGATCTGCCTTATAAGAAATGCTGAAATGGTCTCTTCCAGCTAAAATGAGAAGGTTACGGTGATAGACAATAAGAAGTAGAAAACTGTAACTCTATTTTAGTATTAATTTCTAATTATAGCAAATGTTAAAGGTAAAAAGCATTGAAAATTAACTATAGCTACTACTATTTGGTAACAAATTCGCACCAAAGAGAGATAATTTATGACATCAAAAATATAAAAAAGGAGGAGTAAAAGAACAGAAGCTTTATAGGTGAATGAAGATAAAAGGATTATTTTATCTGTAAGATGTTTTATGTAAACTTCATGGTAATTACAAAGCAAAACTATAGCACATAGATACAAAACAAAAAAGGGAGTGAGAGGAGAATGAGCATATCACCGTGGAAACCCATCAACTTACAAAGGTGAACAGAAACAGAAGAGGGGGAAATGGAGATTCAAAATCACCAGAAGGAAAAAGGATAAAATAATAGCAGTAAGTCCTTACATATCAATAACCACCATGAATGTGAATGGACTGAACTCACCAATCAAAAGGCACAGAGTGGCTGGCTGGATTAGAAAACAAGACCCAACTAGCTGCTGCCTGCGGAGACTCATTTCAATCTTATAGGCACAGAGAGGTGTGAAGGGCAAGGATAAAGGATGAAGCATTGTATGGAGATCACTTACATGCATATCTACACTAATAAAAGAGTAGGATGCAAATTTATCATACCTTTGCAACACTCACCAACCAATCAGGAGTGAGTATGCAAATTAACCCAACAAAGATGGTGGGTTAATTTGCATATACAGACACCAAGTAGCCAGGGGCAGGACTGGACACTTGAGTCATCACTCCGAGCCTCTGGGCAGCATAGAAAGGCGGAAAGGTGGCTCTGGGCCAGAGTGAAAAGGCAGCACCGGCTGGAGCAAAGGTGGTGCTGGCAGCCAGGAGAAGGAAGGCTCGTTCTTGCACAAATCTTTGTGCACTGGGCCTCTTGTCAATGAATAAATGGATAAGATGTGGTATACACTGGATGGAGTATTATTCAGCCATGAGAAAGGAAGATATCCTGTCATCTGCAACAACATGACTAGACCATAAGGGCATTATGCTAAGTTGAGATAAGTCAGACTGAAAAAATAAAGGACTGTATGATATCACTTTTACGTGAAATTTAAAAAAGTCACACTCATAAATAGGGTAAAATTGCCGAAGCTGGTTTGGCTCAGTGGTGGAGCGTCGGTCTGCGGACTGAAAGGTCCCGGGTTCGATTCCAGTCAGGGGCATGTATGTTGGTTGTGGACACATCCCCAGTGGGAGGTGTGCAGGAGGCGGCTGGTCGGTATTTCTCTCTCATCGACGTTTCTGGCTCTCTGTCTCTCTCCCTTCCTCTCTGTAAAAAATCAATAAAATATATTTAAAAAAAAGAAAAAAAGAATAGGGTAAAATAGCAGTTACTAGGGTGTGGGGATAGAGGGATAAGATTGATGATGTTTAAATATACAAACTTGCAACAAGTAGTAAATAAGCCACAGAGAGCTAATACAGGGTACTAATACATGTAGTACTATATTTTATGCTATACTAGAGGCCCAGCGCGCATGAAATTGTGCATGGTTAGGGTCCGTAGGCCTAGCCTGGCCTGGCCTCTGTCACATGGCCTCTGTCACATGACCCTGCGACACGATGTGAAGCCCCCTGCCCCGGAATGCTCCGCGATGCTCTCGGCCCCTCGACTGCTCCGTGCAGCTTGCTGCTGCCCTGCATTACTCGCCGCTGGACACTCTGAGAAACTCGCCGCTGGACACTCAGAAACTCGCCGCTGGACACTCTGAGAAACTCGCCGGCCCCCCGACTGCTCTGCGAAACTCGCTGCCGCCCGGGTGACTGCTTTGCTAAGCTCATGGCCACCCCACGAAGCAGTCCGCCACCACCCTTCAATAGTCCCCAGTCCCGCCTCGCTGCCAGCCGCCCCTCATGGTGAGCGGCTCGGGGCTGGGGGAGGGGGCACTGAGAGTGCTCCATGCACTTCATGGTGACCAGTCACCCGTTCAGTTGTGATGCCACCGAGCTCTCTATATATATGAAGAAGGATGTAATATGATAGAGGTGCTGATATCACAACAGAAATCACATTACAGTAATGAAAAGTACCAAGTTGACACTATGCACCTTAAATTATTCAATGTTATAGGTCAAATATATTTAATAAACTACCTTGCATGAGAAAGGGGGAGTAATTTTCCATGCAGCTATCTTAGCAACATATTGAAAAAACAGAATATTGTCTGTTTTATTGGTGTCTACAGAGTCTTTCTCTCTACTGGGCCCCTAATGCATAACTGCAACATTTTATTATTGTAAAACTCTCTCTTTTAAGAACTACAAGTTTCTTGACTATATACACACTGTTTCATTTAATGTCACAAAATGAATTAAGTGCCAAAACCGGTTTGGCTCAGTGGATAGAGCATTAGCCTGTGGACCAAAAGGTCCTGGGTTCGATTCCAGTCAAGGGCATGTACCTTGGTTGCGGGAACATCCCCAGTGTGGGTTGTGCAAGAGGCAGCTGATCGATGAACCTCTCTCATCGATGTTTCTAACTCTCTATCCTTCTCCTTTCCTCTCTGTAAAAAATCAATAATATATATATATTTTTAAAAATGAATTAAGTAAAATACATTGCAAGTTACATTCTGTAGTTTGGAGCAAATAAAGCAGGAAAGGGGGTGAGTGCTGGGAATAAAGGAGGATTCCATTTGCATTAGAATGGTCAGGAAGGAACTCACTGAAAGGTAGCGTTCGAGTAGAGACTGCAGGAGGGAATGAATCATGTGTGTTCATGTGAACACCACAGGAAGAACACTGAGGGCAGGACAAGAGCTACAGCCAAGGCCCCAAGGTGAGGATGTGACCAGTTCGAGGAAAGAACAGCCAGGAGCCTAGGGTGGCCAGAATGGAAAGAACAAAGGAGAGAGGAGTAAGGGCTACAGCCAGAAAGGGAGCACCAGCTGGATAGTACGTGAAACGAGTTTGAGAGAGAGTCAGGCAGGGAGCCAGTTAGGAAGCGATTGCAGTGAGAACTGACGACGATCTGGAACAGGTGGCAGCACCACCGGCTTGGCCAGCAGATTCCAGGCCGACGGTAGTGGCAGAGCTGCCCAGATCCGCTGACTGGTCTGATGTGAGGTGTGAGGGTGAGAGGGTTAAAGACAACGCTAAGGTTTTAGTTCTGAACAACTCAAATCATGGAATATTCTGGAGTATTCTAACATTTAGTCATCAAAGAGTGAAGGAGAGACATCAGCACATGAGAATGAGAATAAGTGGCTTCTAAGGAAAAAGACAACCAGGAGATTAAAGCAGAAAGAGCTATCCGGAGGGGGAGTGGTCACGAGGGGGAAACGCGGGTGGTGACAAGATGAACACTGGGAAATGATTGCTGGGTTTTGCAACACAGGGTAGGAAAATGGTCTAAGGAAAAAGTAGGACTTCTGGGCGGGATTAAGACTCAGTTTGAGATTAGTGTTCATGAATGTGAAGTAGTCAGCATAATGTGTGTTTTAAGTAAGCTCCCTTCAGCCGCAGTTAGAGATGTGATGTTGAATGTAACAGGACTGGGGTTCTTCCAAAGGCATCTGACAAACAAGAAGAGGACAACAGACCTGAGAGTGTGTGGAAGGGTGTGATGACAGATGGCACAGCATGAGAACTGAGGGCAGAAGAGGAGCCATGGCAGAGGGATAAAATTGTAGGTGATAGGACTTATAATCCTATATAATAAAAAGGTAGTATGCAAATTGACCCTCACACCCTCACAAGATGGCTGCCTATGGGATGACCAAATGACTGAACAAGCAGGCTGTGTGAGGCAACCAGGCAGGCAGGCAGGTGAGTGATTAGGAGCCAGTAGTCCATGGTTGTGAGAGGGATGTATGATGGCCAGTTTAGGCCCGATCCCCAGGGTTGGGCCTAAACCGGCAGTCAGACATCTCCCAAGGGGTCCTAGATTGGAAAGGGTGCAGACTGGGCTGAGAGGGAGGGGACCCTGGTTCCCCCACCCCCCCACCCCCCCATGCACAAATTTCATGCACCAGGCCTCTAGTCTGATAGATAAAGCACCTGAATTAACCTGAAAAATAATCATATTATTTTAAATCTTAGAACAGGTATATTTATCTGAATAGGGGGTTAAGTTTTTAAATTTCCTTTTCAAGGCCTGTGCGCAGTGATTAAGGGGGTGACTCAGCTGTGGATCCAGCAAGCAGAACCAATAAGCAGGGTCAGACCGACCCACCAGGAGTCAAAACATCATCCCATCAACACAACTCAGTGAAGGACAACAGCTGATGTCTGTGGACTCCAAGGCTGCGTGTAACTGCATTCTGTCCCTGCCTCTCCTCTCCCTAAGCCCATCCCCTTTCTGTCCTGTCCCTGCACCTGCTGTGAAACAGGATTTGAATGCTTGTAAGCACCCTGTCTTCTTGGCTGACTGGCCTTCTCAATAAACACCTCATGTGACTCAACCCGGCCTTCGCTCCTGGACACAGCTATGGGAAGCCGGGGCCCAATCAGGGTTTTCCAGATAACACGGGTGATGGTGGAAGGAAAGGAATTGGAGGTGAGTCACCAGAGGGAGTAAACTGGAAAATTACAAGCAAGAGATTATGTGAGATTTGCTTGAAGTAGAAATTAATAAAGAAGTTTAGATACTGTAATCTCAAGATACCCTACTATCATGAGGAGTGGATGAGGTACAGTTGGAAGACAAAATCATCAAAGGTAAGAATTGAGACCAAGAAGTAAGAATATCAAAAGCTTCACCATCTTATAAAATGTGCATCTATTTTTCTTTGCTAACCCTCACCTGAGGATATTTTTTCCATTGCTTCTCAGAGGGAGAGAAAGGGAGAGAGAGAAAGAGAAAGAGAAAGAGGGAGGGAGGGAAGGAGGGAGGGAAAAAGAGAGAGAGAGAGAGAGAGAGAGAGAGAGAGAGAGAGAGAGAGGGAGAGAAGGAGAGAGAGGAAGAGAAAGAGAGAGAGAGAGAGGGGGGGGGAAGAGAAAGAAAGAGAGGAAGAGAAAGAGAGAGAGGAAGAGAGAGAGAGAGAGAGAGAGAGAGAGAGAGAGAGAGATAGATCCATGTGAGAGTCACATCACTGGCCGGGGCAGGGAGCAAACCTGCCACTTAGGTATGAGTCCTTGACCAGGAACAGAACCCTTCAGTCCCTGATCACACCAGCCAGAGCACCGAGGTGCATTTAAAACCATCAGACATTACACACTACTCATGCTGTAGACTAGAGAATGACAGTTTGCTAAGAGCTAGAAGTTTTAAAGGTCGAGGAAATGTAACAGGAAAAGTAACAGAAAACGTTTTGCTGGGAGGAAAAGGGCTCCTTTTTCCTAGTAGTCCCACTTTCCGCTCCCCAGAGACATTTACTCCACACATCTTTATAGTGTGTGTGTGTGCGTGTGCGTGTGTAAACACGTACATGCATACACCTGTGGAAACAAATGCCATTTTGTTTACTAATTTTGTGCCTTTCCATAAATATTATACTGTATTTTGCATAAATTTCTACAACTTAATTTTTTTCTACTTGACAAAAAAACTTTTTTCAAGAGAAAACCACCACTTACTGTATAATGAGCAGTTCCTAACACTGTGAGTCCGGCTCAAAAAAGGAAAAATGTTTTCATTAAAATATTTACCTTGAAGCTTCCTACTCAGTTCCAGCTTTTCCTGTTCGAGGCGTTTGATCCTCCTCTCGTAAGCCTCGGTGGCCAAGTTGTTGTCCAGCGTCCTCTGGACGTTAGCGTCCACGTCCAGGGAGGCGGGAGCAGCTGTGACCCTCAGACAGCTCCGATCGGAGAGAACGCTGGAGGGAAGACAAAGTGGCTCACACTGAGAACGACTCCGTAACCTCTGGAAACACGGATCTGAACAGCCGTTACGTTAGCCATCTAGAATGACTGTCACCTTTTTCCCCCCACCAAAATCAGCATCAACGACTTTCTAGAAGCATTTTTAAAAATGAAAACTTAAATTGCCCAAATTACCCTGCATTTGTTAGTAAACAAAAATTATAAAATGACGTTTGCTGAAGGGTTATTGGTAGCTTGAAACGATGTAACCATCCATGTGAATCACTAGTCAAAAGCACCAACCATGGACCCTTCACCGGAAGTTGGAATTCAAAAGCGAAATGCTCTCTTTAATGCAATGCAATTTAAAAAACCTATTAAATACTGGACACGCAGCAGTGAGCAAAACCAAGCTTGCCCAATGTGGAGTTTATATTCCAGTGACAAAAATAAACAGGATAAATAAGTAAAATATTCAGTACAGTAGATAGTGTTAAATGCTATGGAGAAAACAAGAGCAGGAAGGGAGAAAATGGAGGTCTGAGAGGGAGAAGATAAAAATGTAGGTCATGTGGTCAGGAAAGTCATCGCCAGACAGTAGCTCTGAATAAAGTCCCGAGAGAGAGGACCCCAGGATATGGGGAGCAGCATCCTGGGCATGTGGTCTAGACGCACAAAAGCCCTGACACAGAGGAGGACTGCATGTCCCCAGGCCAGGAAGGAGGCCTGAGTGGCGGGCGTGGAGTGAGGCAGGGCGTAGCAGTAGCAGACACAAGCAGCCAGATGACACTCGGAGGTAAGGTATAAAGTAGCCAGAGGTGGGGACAGTCCTGAAGGGGAATGACATGTTCTGACTTAACTTTTAGAGGGACCACTCAGGCAGGGTTAGAGACAGTAAGAATCAAAGTGGCGAGCATTTGAAGTAGGCGGGTAAGAGACTTTAAGAAGAAGAGAGGAACGTGGCCTCAGGCTGGAGGTACACAGTAGGAGCGTCGGGAGTCCTCGAGTATGTAAGGGAAAGACCCAAAGATGAAGCTATGGACAAGGAGGCCGCAGGTGTGGGGCTGAGAGGGCGTGGCCAGAAGGTAAGAGAAATCAGGCAGATGCCCTGGAAGCTAAGAGAAGAGCCTGTTTTAATGGCAAGGAAACATGACAAATAAGAGGAGCCTGGGCAACTAAGACCAAGAAATTATCCTTAGTCCGGCTGGTGTGGCTCCGTGGCTGAGCTTCAAACCCTGACCAAGAGGCCCTGGTTCGATTCCCGGTGAGGGCACATGCCCGGGTTGCAGGCTCAATCCCCTAGTGGAGGGCATGGAGGAGGCAGCTGATCGATGATGTTTCTCTCTCATCAATGTTGATGTGTCTCTCTCTATCCCTCTCCCTTCCTCTCTCTCTAAAAGTCAATAAAAACATATTTTTAAAAAAAGAAATGATCATTCAATTTAGCAACATGGAGGTCAGTGGTGACATGGATAAAAGCAGCTCGCATAAAGTGATGAGTACAGAGTTGACTGGGGTGGTGTCAGAAAGAATAGAATGAGGAAAAAATCACAAGATACGGACAGCAGCTGGACGTAACTTTGCTATAATGTGGAGTTGAGAAAGGTTGGTCGCAGGGCAAAGAAAATGGTAAGAAGAAAGACTTTACACTGTGCTTTGAGGTGGGAGAGAAAACCGGCAGTCTGTGGGCTCATGTGAATGATCTGCTATACCAATGACCCAGAAAGGGAAAAACCTGTAACAGCAAGCAAAGCACTAGCGTAGACAAGATGGGACGGACTGACTCAGTTCATGCCCAGAAAGAAGGATACATGGGTGCAGAGATATGCAGGTGGCAAACATGATGGGAACTATGGAAGTCATCGACCGTCTGCTTCAACCTCTTAGACAAAGAGCAGAGAGATAGCCAGTGGAGAGTGCGGGTGACAGAGGTTTTAGAGGAACATCTGCAACATGAAACAGACAGCAAGAGGGTGGAAGAGGGCTATGCGGGGGAAAGATGGCATATGTGGCGTGCAGTAAGAAGGAAGGTTGCCATGCAACTGGAGGTTGGTAATCATGATCGTAAAGTGAGACCAGTGAGAACGGTCACAGATTTTTTTCTAGACACTGACTGCACAGGTGCAGGCTGAAAGTTGAATTGTGATAATGAATGTCAACTTAGCAAAACTAGCCTAACAAAATGAGATAGTTAAAGAATTGAGGGAGCACTTATAAGGGTTGATGATAGTTATTGTCCTTGAAATTTAAACTGAGTAAGGAATAAAAAGAAGGTATGAGTGGAAGGAGGGTCAGTGAAAAGATGGCCAGGATTAATGAGTTGAAAGTGCTGATTCTTGACACGTAGAGAAAATGATTCAATAGCAAGGGGACTCCTCTAATTCCTGCCCCATTGTTAATAGTTAGATTCTGGGCTAACTGTTCTATCCTTTCTCCTCCAAAATGAGTTATGATTCTTCTATGTTCTATTCCTTTTGAAATATCTAACTTATTCCAGTAGTAGCTTCACCATTTAAAAAATTTTTGATTTATTGATACAAAGTTGTTTTATACATTATACATTTTTAAACAATTCATGTTAATTTGTCCAAATTGTGTTAACTTTTCGAACTTACCAGCTACTAGTATAGGTAAAACCAACAAATGGCAGGTGGTGGCCAGAAAACGCAGTGTGTGTTGGTGGGGGCATCGTCTCCTACAGGGGATAAAAACATCTGGTAAGAAATAAACAACTACGGCCTGTGGGCTGGACTATACATATTAACTGTCAATCGGCGATATGGGAATGTCCAATTTAGAACCACTGAAAAGTTTGGAACAAATATTTAGGTGATATAATATTTAGACCATAAACACTGCTTTTGTAAAATTCTAATAAAATGAAAATTAAGATGAAAAGTCTGATATTGAGTACAGTAGTTTTTCATGTAGTCCATATTTGCAAACTTGCCTGATCACTAGATTTATCTATAACTGAATTAATAGTCGCAGAACTAAATTTAGCACAGTGGTCGCCAACCTTCCGGACCTCACAGACCACCAGCGGTCAGTCCGAGGGCCTCCGGTTGGCCAGCTGCTTTAGTGGACGTGTCCATAGCACAGGAGCCCAGGTTTCCCACACACACATTCCCAGCTGGGAATGAACACCAGATGCTTGTCTTCTTCCTTCGTCTCTCAGACTGTAAAGTGTTCTCTGCAGGGTCTAAGTGCACCGCGCTTTTCATTTTTGTGCCTTTTGTGGATGCTTTTGCTGTTAAACTGGCCCCCATAGTACTCAAGTGCCATCGTTTGTTCCTAAGCAAAAAGGCTGGGTGATGTCTCACCAAATGCTGTGTGAGATAAGCTTCCTTCAGCCTGAGTCACAGAGCTGTTGGCAGTGAGTCCAGTGTTAATCAACCAACAATTTCTACTAAATAAGGGATCTTGAAGTAGAAACACAGATAAAACAAGGTTATGTATTTATCGGTTGACAAACATGTCTTGACCACAGGCTCACAGGATCCTAACCCTATTTTCCTTAGGGGCAATGGTTCAACATTCATTATTAGAGTGTTACTGAATGTAACTACTCTACGTAATCAGAACTGATTTAATTAGGAATGATTCACAATTTCTGTTAGCAGTAAATATAAAAAAGCACTGATGTGGAAAAGTCTAATTCTTTTTTTGTGAGGTCCAGAGAGGAAAGTATAAGAGAGATTCTTTTTTTTTACTGAATTTATTGAGGTGACATTGGTTAATGAAGTTATATAGGCTTCAGGTGTACAGATCTATAATACATCATCTGTATATGGCGTTGTGTGCTCACTACCCCAAGTTGAGTCTCCTATCATCACTGATGCTCCCATTACCTCCTCTCTCCCTTTACCCCCCTTTCCACCTCTGATAATGACCATATTGTTGTCTGAGTTCATTTATTATTATTATTATTATTATTATTATTATTATTAGAGGCCCAGTGCACGAAATTCATGCATGGTGGTGGTGGGGGATGTCCCGCAGCCCAGTGTGCACCCTCTCCAATCTGGGACCCCTTGAGGGATGTCCGATTGTCCAATCCAGGTCTTCTGGCTCCCAACTTCTCACCTGCCTGCCTTCCTGACTGCCCCTAACCACTTCTGCCTGCCAGCCTGATTACCCCCTAACCACTCCCATGCCAGCCTGATAGATGTTTAACTGCTCCCCTGCCAGCCTGTTTGCCCCCAACTTCCCTCCTCTGCCGACCTGGTCACCCTTAACTGCCCTCCCCTGCAGGGTTAATCCTCCAACTGCCCTCCCTTGCAGACCTGGTCCCTCTCAACTCCCCTCCCCTGCTGGCCATCTTGTGTCCACATGGAGGCAGCCATCTTGTGTGTTGGAGGGATGGTCAATCTGCACATTACTCTTTTATTAGATAGGATTCCCTTCACCTTTTCACCCTGCTCCCCAATATTCCCCCACCCCCAACAGCTGTCAGTCTGTTCTCTGTATCAATGAGTCTGTTTCTATTTTGTTTGTTTGTTTATTTTGTTCACTAGATTCCACGTATAAGTGAAGTCACACAGTACTTGTCTTCCTCTTATCTGCCCTGAATATGGTACTTACTGAACAGTGAAAAGTGATAGAAAATTAATATAAAAATTCTTAGTGTAGCCGAAACCAGTTTGGCTCAGTGGTAGAGCGTCGGTCTGCGGACTGAAAGGTCCCAGGTTCGATTCCAGTCAAGGGCATATACGTTGGTTGCAGGCACATCCCCGGTAGGGGGTGTGCAAGAGGCAGCTGGTCAATGTTTCTCTCTCATCGACGTTTCTAGCTCTCTATCTCTCTCTCTTCCTCTCTGTAAGAAATCAATAAAATATATATTAAAAAAAACTCAGTGCAGAATTAAAATCATAAAAAATAATTGAATTTAAAAAGTCAAATTAAAAAGGCTAAAAAGGCAAAAAAATAAAAATTTTATGTTCTTAGTTTTACAAAATTCTACTTTGATAAAACAGTGGGGTTTAGGGCAGAGGCTGAGAAGCTGTGCTGGCCTGTTTCAGTACTTCCCACAGCTAAAGAGGGTGGGATATTCGGCTAACCTGCCGGGCTGCCAGGAGCCTCAAACAGGGCTACCACCTCAGGATGGGAAGGCTGAAGATTTCCCTTACCCATTCACTTCCTACCAAGTCTGCCGTTTCGAGTGGCAATACCACTGGGCCTGGGTATTGAGGTTCCCAATCCAGGTGCCCCTTCGGCAGCAAAGCTGCTGGTTTACAAGGAGCTGCAAGCTAGCAGCTCGCCTGCCCCACCCGAGCTGGGGGAAGGGAGCAGCTGTTTTTAACCAAGTTCAGCGGTTTTCATGAACAGGTGCTTCTCAATGTATTTACCTTGGATTACCGTATTTTTCAGACCATAAGACGCACTTTTTTCCCCCCAGAAGTGGGGGGGGGGGAAAGTCCCTGCGTCTTATGGTCCAAATATAGTCTACACATATACTTTAAAAAAAAGTTTTTTTTACTTGCCCGGCTCTGTGTGGTCTCTGTGTGCTTGCCTGGCTCTAAAATGGTTCTAAATGCTGCTGTTTACTTTACAGGGTTGATTACATGTGTTTATGACTGTGATGTTGGGTTTTAATGCACATAAAATATTTTAGGACACTATTTGTTTCAGAATCTTTTTTTCTTCATTTCCCTTCTCTAAAAACTGGTGCATCTTATGGTCCGGAGCGTCTTATGGTCCGAAAAATACGGTAATTTGTCAAGCCTTGACATGGGTATCTTTAACAATTTTATCTAATTTAATAGTGGTTTTAAGGAGAGAGTTGCCATCACAAAGTCCACTTTTTTAAGCATCTAATTTGTCCTTTTCTTAGGAAATGTAAAGACATAACTAATCTAAGAAGTAAACTTTGCATTTTAATTTTGCTCCTAGTCATGAATAACTAGTTGGCCTCCGTACACTCTTTGAATTTGTGAATAAATGCTAGAAGCCACACTGGTCACTGATAAGGTGGTCCGTGAACTGCTTCATAACCACGTTAAAAAGCCACGGGGACAGATCTTCACAGCGTCCTACTCACAGAATTCTTTAAACAGTCATCGTCCACGTCGAAGTTCGACGTGTCTGTTGGGCTGCTGACTTCTGGAATATAAGGTGCTTCGCAGTTCTGAATATTGTCCCAATCGATGCCGCTGAAAAATGGGTGTTTCTTAAAGTCTTCTATTCCATTTTGACCGAGTCGATGTTCTCTGCTACAAATGAGCCTTCGAATGAGATCCTTGGCGTTCTCAGACACATCTGTCAGCTGAGGCGGAAACTGAAACCGCTCCTAAATAGAGTGATAGAAACACATTCTGAATCACCATCTAGCTAACTGTAAGTAGGTTAACATTTATGTTCTTGAAAATATATTTTCTTTACAAAATATCTGAAAGGGTACACTGACACAAAGTACAGATACTGAAGAAAATACAGAAATAAGTGAGACAAGAATGTCTTCCTAAACAATTTTAATTTCATATGTGACTAAGTCATACATGCACTGTAGTAAGAATAAATTAAATGCCAAAATACCTTAAACTGCTGTCAGAATCAAGAGAACTCATTAAAAATAGAATCTGCCTGGATATTTCAAGAGTACAAATGGTTCACAAAAGTCACATACTAATGATTAATAATAAACATTTTTGAAAATGAAATATGTACTTGACACTATTCAAAGTGCTTTATTCATTTAACCCTCACAGCAACCCTCTAAGGTAAGTGCCACTATTCTCCCGATTTTTACCGAAGAGGAGACAAGGGCACAGGACTCAAGCAATTCGCGCGAGGCCAAACGCTAGTAAATGGAAGAGCTGGGATTGGAACTGAAACCGCCCGGACTCCAGCATCTGTGTTCCTAACAGACATGTTACAGCACAATGACTCTCTCTGAAATGCTTTACTGCTTTCTGCAACTCTGTAGTTATTCACTATCTTTCAACTCATCACTACTTACCAGAGTATCTCTGCAACCAGGTAGAAGAGCATGAATTCTATAAAACTGATTTATATGCATGTGAAGCAACGAACCACAAATGTGTCCGTAGAACCAAGTAAAAAGAATAGATTATCGATTTTGAGGATCCAAGATGGCTGCACAGGTAAACACCTAACCGCAGCCGCACACAACAATTTCAATAAAATACAACTAAAATATAAAATGGACATTGCCCAGAGCTACAGGAAAGTCAACTGACTGGAAATTCTACAACAAGAAGGAAAGAGAAGACCAGAAGGAAAATCAGAGGAGCTGTAAAAGCCTAAGGTACAGAGACATGGTGCGCGGAGAGGACAGAGCCGGAGAGGAGGGGGCGGCTGAGTGCCTGGCTGGCGTTCCCTAGAGGGAAGGAGATAAAAGCTCCGGACTGTGCCAAACCCCAGACCCGACAGCGCTGAACCCCAGTTCTAGGCCAGACCGTGGGGACCCAGGCTCGTACAGAGGGAGCCTGGACTGTGAAGCGGAATCCCAGGGGAGCGGCGAAAGGCAGAGCCCCCGGAGGCGCACACACTGCACGCAGAGGACAGACTGTTGATGCTGCTGCCAGATTGCCCTAGCGGGAAGGAGACAAAAGCTCCGAACTGTGCTGATCCCAGTTCCAACTGCTCTGAACCCCAGTTCTAGGCCAGACCCTGGGGACCCAGGCTCATACAGAGGGAGACTGGGCTGTAAGGCAGAAACCCCGGGGGAACGGCGAAAGGCAGAGCCCCCGGAGGCAGGCACATTGCGCACAGAGAAGGGTCGCTTGGCTGTGCCGAGGGAATGCCCTGGCGGGAAGGAGACAAAAGCTCCAGACTATTCTGAACCCCACTTCCAACCCCCCTGCCAACTGAACTGAATCCCAGTTCCGGGCTCATTGGGGGAGAGACTAGACTGTTTGGTAGCAGCCGAAACTTGAGGGCACCTCACTCTCAGAGGTGCTTGCAGCAAGTACTGAAGGACCCTGAGAAACACTGAGACTCAGGAGCCGCATAGGGTGTGACTGACCAGGCTGTAGGCTCCACCCCGAAACTCTGCCCCATCCAAGCAGAACACACGAGACTTTTAAGGCTACCTACTCAGGGAAGCTGCGAAAATGCCAAGACAAGGAAATAGATCACAAGCGAAAGAAATGGAGGACAAAAAGCAACTGGATATAGAGTTCAAAACTACGCTTATAAGGTTTTTCAAGAATTTCCTAGAAAAGATCGATAAGATCTATGAGGATATGAAAAAGGATCAACTAGAAATAATAAGGGATCAACAAGAAATAATAAGGGATCAACAAGAAATAAAGAATACATTGTCTGAAATAAAAAATATTATAGAGTCCTAAAAACAAGAATGGAAGATCGCAAGAATCAAGTCAAAGATTTGGAACATAAAGAGCCAGAAGACACTCCTCCGCAAAAGCAAAGAGAGAGAGAGAGAGAATCCAGAAAGTTGAAGATAATGTAAGAAACCTCTGGGACAACTTCAAGTGAACCAACATCAGAATTATGGGGGTCCCAGAAGATGAGAGAGAGCAAGATATCGAAAACATACTGAAAGAAATAGTGACAGAAAATTTCCCCCATCTGGTGAAAGAATTAGACTTACAAGTCCAGGAAGCACACAGAACTCCAAACAAAAGGAATCCAAAGAAGATCACACCAAGACAAATCATAATTAAAATTCCAAGAGCAAAAGACTAAGAGAGAATATTAAAAGCAGCAAGAGCAAAGCAGGTAGTTACCTATAATGCAGCACCTATACGATTGTCAGCTGATTTCTCAACAGAAACCATGCAGGCCAGACGGGAATGGCAAAAAATATTAAAGGTGATAAATAGTAAGAACCTACAGCCAAAGATAATCTACCCAGCAAAGCTATCACTCAGAATCGAAGGCCAAATAAAGAGCTTCACCAACAAAAAAAGCTAAAGAAGTTCATCACCACCAACCCAGAAGTATATGAATTGCTGAAGGGGGTTCTTTCAGAAGAGAAAGTAAATAAAGATAAAAACTATGAACAATAAATACGTAACTATCAACAAGTGAATCTAAAAACCAAAAAATCTTTTTTAAAAATCTGATGAACAACATTAACTCTTGAATATAATAGAATCAGAGGTATGGAAGGGGAGTGACCTGATGATTCTCGGGGAGGTGGGGAGAAGGAGTTGTGGGAAGAGACTGAACATAAACTGTGCACCTATGGATGAGGACAATGAGGGGTGGGGAAGGGGCGAAGGGTGGGGTGGGAATCTGGTGGAGGGGAACAATGGAGGGGGGGGGTAAAGAGGAACATTTGTAATAAAATGAACAATAAATATTTATTAAAAAAAAAAAAAAAAAGAATAGATTATCATGCTCCTTATGGAATACTCCTAATCACAATCCAAGTTTTTGCAATTGCTCACAATTTTCTGAGACCGATCAATCAAAACCTTCCTTTTTTTTTTTTTTTATTATGAACAATCTATTTCCATTTAACTTGGTATTAAAGGAATTAAAGTTTTATTAATTCACTCCTGCTGTGCATCTGGATTATTTTCAATATTTTGTGATCATAAATAATACTAGAATAGGCATTCTGGTACATACACCTTTATTCTACTGAAGATTTCCTGAGGGCAGGTTACTGCAGCTGAAGTTGCTCAAAAGTTCCCAACATTTAATCAACCAAAGACCTTTTATCATAACCCATGAACACAGACAATAGGGTGGTGAAAGCCAGGGTCGGGGATGGGGGAGGGAGACAGGCTGTAGTGGGTCAATGGGGGGGGAGAAGGGACATATGCAATACTTTCAACGATAAAGATTTTTTTTTAAAAAAAGTCCCAACTATTTTTAAAGACTCTAGATGCATACTTATAAACTTCTTGACGGAAAGGTTACATCAATTTATATTCCTATCAATAATGTCCATCTAGCCCAGCCAGCACCGCTCAGTGGTTGAGCTCCGACATATGAACCAGGAAGTCACAGTTCAATTCCTGGTCAGGTGACATGCAGGGTTGTGGACTTGATCCCCAGTAGGGGGCATGCAGGAGGCAGCCTATCAAGGATTCTTTCTCATCATGGATGTTTCTATCTCTCTCTCCCTGACCCTTCCTCTCTGGCATCAATAAAAATATAACTGACAAAATAATGTCCATCTCACGGGGTTATTTATAGTACGAAGTACAATTTTTCTTTTAATCTTTATCATTTTGACAGGGGGGAAAGTATCTCATTCTTATTTTAATTTGCATTTCATTTATCACTGTAGTAGTAATGATTAAAAAATATCTTAAGATTTTTGTTATTCTACTAGAAACTATTTAATTTCCTACTAATTACCTTCTTAATATCTACATTAAATTTATTATATATATATATATATATATATATATATATATATATATACACTATTTACATCAATTTGAAAAATAGCGAAGTATACTAACTTTGTGATTCATGATTTTTCCGTATGTCTCCACCAGAGATTCTGCGTAAAACGGTGTTTCTCCATAAAGCATCTCGTACATACAGACTCCCAGCGACCACCAGTCACACTCGGGGCCGTATCTGCCTTTCCCATCTTCCATGGCTTGGAGGATTTCGGGAGAGATGTAGTCTGGAGTGCCCACAGCCACGGAGGACTGCACCTGAGGAAATCCACACTGTTAGCAATCTGCTATACTGGGAACAAATCATTAAAAAGTACTACACATGTGCTTACAGTATCTCAAAACTTTAATTTTGTCATTACCTGAATTTAGTTTCCTTATACATATAATTTAAATTTTACATAATCTTCATACTAATAGTTCTTCAGATTTCATAATACTATTGAGCCTTTATTACAGCTGTTACTGAATTGACACATTTAGGGTAACAATACAGGATAAACACCACAGCCAGAAAATTCAATATTTAGTTTCAAACATTCTTTTTTTTAAAAAAAAAAAGTGGTATTTTTTTTTTTTTTGCATTGGAAGAAGTTCATAATTGATTCATATATACTTATGTCTACCTGCCTTTGTTCCATCAGATATTGTTAGAATATTTTTATTATTGAAAATTTGCCTAACATGTATATATAAAAAAATATTTACAATTAGTTACGGGAAAAAACTGCTCAAAAAAAACTTGACTGATACTTATGTGTAACCTGGAGATCATTTTTAAATAACTTAATGGAAAACTAAGGAAATAAATTAAAATGATGTCCTGTAAACTACTTAATAATTTAAAAAATTATATAAAAGAAAAAATATACCCTTCAAAATATAAAGTTCCGATAGAGAAAAATAGTTGGACATATAATTAAGGAAAGTTTGATGTAAATTAGAAAGTGATAGCTAAAAATGATCCTGGGAACGATTTTGTAAGAAGCTTTCAATTAAAAGAAAATAGGTTCCTTATATGATTTAAAAGAACAAACCAAAAAATGAACATCCTCAAGGCAGAATTCTGGTTAATATTCTGAATTTCCTGGACTAAATCACCAGCCTTAGTAATCATTAGAATAGACTATCTTTGGCAATACTGAGATTAAGCAATTTGAAAACTCGTCTGTTCCAAACTCTTAAAAATACTAGATAAAATGTAACAGCCTTTTAAAGTAAACATATACATGAGCGTTTTACAAAAGAACTCTTTGGGGCCAGTAATGAGGAAACGGCAGAGACCTGGGGGGGTAAGCATTGAAGCGGGAGTGGGGTTGGGACTGTTGGTTTCCATAGTTACTGATTTTAGCGTGAGGACAAAGGGAAGGCCTTGAGCACGCATGAGATTTCAGTGAGAGTTCCCATGTCATCTTTACCCTAGAGTAGGGGTGTCGAACTCAATCAGAGAAGGGGCCAAAATCTAAAATCCAGCCTAAATCGCGGGCCGAATGGTTTACTGAACAGTCATAAACTGTCATTGTGATGGAAACGCAGCGGAGTGCAGTGATGACAGCGCGGTGCAGGCCACATTGCAAGGCCTGGTGGGACGGATTTGGCCCGCGGGCCTTGTGTTTGACACATGTGCCCTAGAGTGTATGCTGTAAATAAAAAGCTGAATTTCAAAACCCTGCCCCTCAGCAGAAAAAAGAAATCTACACCTTATGTCCCATGTCCCATGTCCCATGTCCCACCGCCTGGCATTCTGGTTCCCGGAGCTTCTGTAGTCCACAAATTCTCAGCCAACAAACAGGCAAAACTACTGGCACCGTATCAGGTGCCCCGGGAGGCCTGGCAGAACCACCTTAAAGCTCCTCTGGAGGCACATGCTCACAAGGGGTCACACAGAATTCTCACTCGTGAAAGCCCCCCAAAGGGAGCTGCCAACCCAATCACGTAAACTCAATGAGTCAATATCCCCTTACAGGCAAAAGTCAGAAATCTGAACAATACAGCCTAAACTCCTGACAAGTATCAGTTCCAGAAAACTTCCCCCACCTGGTGAAAGAAATAGACTTACAAGTTCAGAAAGCACAGAGAACCCCAAACAAAAGGAATCCAAAGAGGACCACACCAAGACACATCATAATTAAAATGCCAAGGGCAAAAGACAAAGAGAGAATCTTTCTCTCTCTCTCTCTCTCTCTCTCTCTCTCTCTCTCTTTTTAAAAAAAATATATTTTATTGATTTTTTTATGGAGAGGAAGAGAGAGGGATAGACAGTTAGAAACATCGATGAGAGAGAATCATCGATCAGTTGCCTCTTGCACACCCCCTACTGGGGATGTGCCTGCAACCAAGGTACATGCCCTTGACCGGAATTGAACCTGGGACCTTTTCAGTCCACAGGCCAATGCTCTATCCACTGAGCTAAACCGGTTTGGGCAAAGAGAGAATCTTACAAGCAGTAAGAGAAAAGCAGTTAGTTATCTACAAGGGAGTACCCATATGACTGTCAGCTGATTTCTCAACAGAAACTATGTAGGCCAGACGGGAGTGGCAAGAAATATTAAGTGATGAATAGCAAGAACCTACAACCAAGATTACTCTACCCAGCAAAGCTATCATTCAGAATTAAAGGTCAGATAGAGCTTCACAGATAAGAAAAAGCTAAAGGAGTTCATCACCACCAAACCAGTATATTTGAAATGCTGAAAGGTATTCTTTAAGAAGAGGAAGAAGAAGAAAAAGGTAAAGATAAAAATTATGAACAACCAATACTTATCTATCAACAAGTGAATCTAAAAATCAAATGAATAAAAAAATCTGATGAACAGAATAAACTGGTGAATATAATATAATCAGGAGCATAGAAAGGGAGTGGATTGACAATTCTTGAGGGGAAAAGGGTGTGGGGTGGAGAAAGAGACCAGACAAAAATCGTACACCTATGGATGAGGACAGTGGGGGTGGTAAGGGCAGAGGGTGGGGTGACAACCGGGTGGAGGGGAGCTATGGGGAGAAAAAAAAAGGAACTGTAATAATCTGAACAATAAAGGTTTATTTAAAAAATAAAAATATAAACTTGTAATACTTATAAAAACTGAGTTATAATAGGTTGAAGAAAAAATATCCTTACATCATCTCGGTGGATGAAGAAAAATCATTTGATTATAACAATTAACAACCTTAGCAACAAACTTACAGTAATCAGAAATAAATTTCCTTAACCCAATAAAAAGCTTACAGCAAACATCACAATGAATTTGAAACTACAGGAAAAACACCATTAAAGTCAGGGACAAGGCAAAGAAGCTCCCTGTTACCACACCTATTTAATACTGTGCTGACGGTCACTGACTGCATGGTAAGGGAAGAAAACAGCATAATAAAGATTAGAAAGAACCAAAGCTCACCCTAATTTGTGGATTAGGGAATGTCTACGTAGAAAATATAGAAAAAATCTACAAATTATTTTTAACTAATAAAAATATCTAGCAAGATTGATAGCTTCAAGATACACCTACAAAAATCAATTGTGGTCCTACAGAACAGCAACAAGCTATCCAACAACAAATCTTGAAGGGTTATTATATTAATGCCCCTCCCCTCAAAAAATCCACAAGATGCCTTAAGAACAAACCTAACATTACTTAAAGGTAATGGATTCACAGTGGACGTTATTTTAAAACTTAATTAACAGACATAAAAGAAAACCTAAAGCAATGGAGAAGCAATATTCATGGATAGTAAAATTCCATGTAATAGACATAAATTTCCAGAAAAATCTCTGGATATTTAAATATCTAAACTCAATGCAAGTCTACAAGCTTGTGTTTGTGAAAGAGTATTTGTATGTATGGATACTATGGATATGAACCGATAATATAATCTGACAATCACATGGAAAAGCAAATGGTGCACCAAGAGGCTGCAGGCTCATCTTGGTCTGAGCACATACCTAGGTTTCAGGTTCAATGCCAGGGTGGGACGCATACGGGAGGCAACTAACGGATGTCCCTCTCTACTTCCCTCCCTTCCTACCTCTCCATTCCTCTCTCTCTAAAATCAATAAACACATCCTTGGGTGAGGATTTTTTTTTTTTTTTTTAAGTTACCTCCTTAGGATAAATTTTTAGAAGTCAAATGACTAATCCAGAATAATATGACATTTTCATGGTCTTTAAAGTGTATTTTACTAAACTGCTCTCTAAAAACATTTCCGTCAATTAAAAGAATATATATTTGGACTTCTGCTGTATATCCAGGAAACTGAAGTAAAAACAAAAACCAAATCAAACAAGAGAATAAACTTGGAGCATATAAATTTTAAAAGAGGAAAGAAAACAACGGAGGCCCGAGTTAGCAGAACTAAGGCAAACGGTAACACGAAACTAAATCAACATCGAGGACTTCCTGGTGAAAGCTTTCATTTCTGAACATTGTCCCTCAGAAAAATCGACCAGAAAAATAAAGATTAAAAAAATATAATGAAAGCAAAGAAGCTGCATTTCCTTTCTCCATGTAGGATTTATTTTCTTTGCCTATCTGGAAATGTAAAAATATCTCAAGTACAATAATAACCAGGTCAGCTAGAGAAGGAAAAACAGGGTCTCATAGAGGCATACTGGAACCATCTTCAGATCATTAATATAAACAGTTTAAATAGCATATGATTTTATAGACAAGCCCTACTTGTAAAATGAATAAGTATAACCTAAATACCTTTGGGGAAGAAGGTGAAGCATAGAAGGATGGATGGGTGGGTGGATGGATAGATAAGTGATAATATAAATAGACTAGAGGCCCCGGTGCATGAAATTCGTGCACTCTGGTGAGGAGGGGCCCTCAGCCCGGCCTGCGCCCTCTCGCAGTTTCAGAGGCGGGTGATCCATTAGGCCCCACCCACTCACCTTGGTGCCGCTGGCCAGTAACCTGGGCCTCCCACTTTGGGGCAATCGATCATGGAGCCCAATCAATCACCTTGCACAGAGTGGCCTGGGCCTCACTCTTTGGGGCTATCATGGAGTCTCCCGCCCCACCCTCCCTCACACATACACATAATTGACCGCCCCGCTAGCCAGTGGCTTGCACTTCCCTCTGCAGGGCAATTAATTGATCATGGAACCGGCCTATCGATCCCCCTTCAGAGGGTGGCCTGGGCCTCCTTCTGTGGGGCCATCGTGAAGCCCCCATGATTGACTGCCCTGCCCACTGGTGACCTGGGCCTCCCTCTGCAGAGCAATTGTAGGGCCCCCGACCAATCACATTGCACCCGCCTTGGCTGGTCTGGCGCCAGTGCGTGTCATAGCGTGGTCGTCTGGACAGTTGTTTTACCGTTAGGCTGTTCAGTCGATCTGCATACTGTGCTTGTATTGATATAAATGGTTTCTAAGCAGATAAAGAAGACATGTAGCAAGGGAAATGTCTGTGGGTAAAATAATTTAAAGATTATCTTTCCTTACCGTTCCATCTTCCATCAGTTTCAGACAAGAGCCAAAATCTGCTAACCGAATATGTCCATTCATATCCATCAATATATTATCAGGTTTGATGTCTCTGAAAAAATACATCCCATTTTTACTTTGGAAGAATAAGCATAATTAGATACTTGGTAAGATCACTTTTTGTCTAAAAATCCTAACTTCTTTTATAATTAGTACTCTAAGAACATCTACTTGAGTACTTTATGGGTTCAAATCCTGGCTCTGGTTCATATTAAAACTTTCTTAAACACAAGTCATTCCAGTATTCTCCTGGAGATAAAAAGTACTGTGATAATTTTCATTCAGATTAAATAAATGATCTTACCACCCACCTTTAAATTTGCACATATTCTAACATGCCTGTAGTAGTCCTTTCTGATAAACAGGGGTGGGGAACCTTTTTCCTGCCAAGGGCCACTTGGATATTGATAACATCATTCAGGAGCCATACAAAATTATCAACTTAAAAATTAGCCTCCTAATTTGGTCAAACATTTAATTAACTCAGCCTTAATGCTTGGCAGGCCAAGACCAAATGATGTTCCCCACCCCTGGCATAAAAAGAAGAGCCATAATCACTTAATACCCACCAGCCATACTAATTTCTGACCCATAAAATTAAACAGGGAAAAATGTACTGCCTAGACCTTGAATGTAAATGTAGATAATTCTCAATTACTGTATATCATGACAAAACAAAGAAATTGCTTCATGAAGAGGACTTTAGAAAACAACAGAGTCAATTGCTTAATAATAATACTACCTAATAAAAGAGTAACATGCAAATTAACCATCACTCCTTTCAAGCCACACTCACAAGCCACACCCATCAGAGTGAGTATGCAAATAAACACCAAACAAGATGGCTGCAGCCACAGAGAGCAGTGGAGAGGCTTGGGTTTCCGCAGCAATACAGGAAGCCCAGCTTGCCACACACCCTGGCTGGCCTAGCCTCCACTCCAGGATACAAAGTTTCAATTATAGAAGATACATAAAACCAAACAGAAATGGGGGCAGCCACAGATAGAGCAGGAGGCTTGACTCCGCTCCAGGATACAAAGTTTCAATTGTAGAAGATAAATAAGTTCTAGATACCAGAGCCTCTGCTTGGGTCGCCAAGGGGCGTGGCCAGCCTGCAAACCACCACAGGCCCTCACCCAGGCCGCCCCACGCCCCAAGGGAACACCCACCCTGATCCGGGACACCCTTCAGGGCAAACCAGCTGGCCCCCCATCCATGCACCAGGCCTCTATCCTATCTAATAAAAGAGTAAAATGCAGATTGACTATCACTCCAACACACAATAGCTGCCCCCATGTGGTAAAAAATCCTGCCCCTATGTGGACACAAGATGGCCACCACAAGATGGCCAGCAGGGGAGGGCAGTTGGGGAGGAACCAGGCTGCAAGGGAGGGCAGTTGAGAGGGACCAGGTCTGCAAGGGAGGACAGTTAGGGGTGACTAGGCTGGCAGAGGAGGAAAGTTGGGGGCAAACAGGCTGGCAGGGGAGCAGTTAGACATCAATGAGGCTGGCATGGGAGTGGTTGGGGGGTGATCAGGCTGGCAGGCAGAAGTGGTTAGGGCAATCAGGAAGGCGGACAGGTGAGCAGTTGGGAGCCAGCAGTCCTGGATTGTGAGAGGGATGTCCAACTGCCCATTTAGACCCGATCCCACCCACCAGGATCAGGTCTAAACAGGCAGTTTAGCCGAAACTGGTTTGGCTCAGTGGTAGAGCATCGGTCTGCGGACTGAAGGGTCCCAGGTTCGATTCCGGTCAAGGGCATGTACATTGGTTGCGGGCACATCCCTGGTAGGGGGTGTGCAAGAGGCAGCTGGTCGATGTTTCTCTCTCATTGACATTTCTAGCTCTCTATCCCTCTCTCCTCCTTTCTGTAAAAAAATCAATAAAATATATTAAAAAATAAATAAATAAACAGGCAGTTTAACATCCCTCAAGGGGTCCCAGATTGGAGAGGGTGCAGGCTGGGTTGAGGGACACTCCCCCACCCCATGCACAAATTTCGTGCACCGGGCCTCTAGTGTATATTATATAAAGGTACCTATTATTATTAAGTAACTGGCTTGTAAGATATCAACATCTAATAATAAAATCAAATCAGTTTTTATATGTTTCTCCATTTGAACAATAAAACATGTTGCAACATAGAAAAATCATACATAAAATAATTTTGTAAAGACAACCCAGCAATGCAGTTTCTAAACATACTCTTAAAGATTATAATTGTGAAGAACTATAAGATTAGACCTTCACAATTCACTCTACCTTTAGAGAAAGAAAAAGGATGTTCTATAAGCATTACATACACAAAAAATTATCTTGCCATGTGGTTAATGGGGATATTGCAATTTAACCTAAATGACACCAATTGAGGCCTCTAAACCTCAATTTTCTCACCTGTAAGAGGGGATAATATTAGTAATACCTTAACTACCTAAGGTCCGTATTTTTCGGACCATAAGACGCTCTGGACCATAAGACGCACCAGTTTTTAGAGAAGGGAAATGAAGAAAAAAAGATTCTGAAACGAATAGTGTCCTAAAATATTTTATGTGCATTAAAACCCAACATCACAGTCATAAACACATGTAATCAACCCTGTAAAGTAAACAGCAGCATTTAGAACCATTTTAGAGCCGGGCAAGCACACAGAGACCACACAGAGCCGGGCAAGTAAAAAAACTTTTTTTTAAAAGTATATGTGTAGGCTATATTTGGACCATAAGACGCAGGGACTTTTCCCCCCCACTTCTGGGGGGGAAAAAGTGTGTCTTATGGTCCGAAAAATACGGTAATTCCTTTGAGTGTGTCATACATCACAGGTTGGCAAATTATGACCCACAGGTCTAATCCAGACCACTGTCCATGCATTCATGTTATTGGAGGATTAGTAAATACCAATGAAACCATAGGACTCCAAATTTTTCTGAATGTCTTTAAACTTTATAACTAATACAAACCTGTGTGTAGTGTTTTGCAACTTGGTTTTATTCTAATATGTTTAAAAATTTTTTTCATGTTGACAAATTTTGCTCTAGTTCATTAATTTTCATTTCTATATGGAATACTTTCATATACCAGATGTATTTCTCAATTCCCCCTGCTTATAAAATTTAGATTTGTCTCCAACAATTTGATTGTTTTAGACTATTATGCTGCTCTTACACAAAAAGCTGAGGTGATTTTGTATAAATGTCTCCTAGTGCTTCATGTGTGAGCATTTCTTTAGGTTGTGCATGCAGACGTGAAACTACTGAGAGGAAAGACATTGCTCGACTTGTAAGGGGTGACACACACACAGCGAGTTAAGGAAACATCCATCAGTTCCTATTTCACTGAAAAAGTATTTACTAAATTCAGCAACTCTTCCTAACAAAAAATATAATCAATTCTAAAATGCAAATATATGTCTAAATTTTATACCGAGAGATATCAGCTTTAGCTATCGGATATTAGAGATATGAGGTTAAACACCAGGAAAAATTAGCTTAAAGCAGTTCCAGGTGCTGGCCACTGGAAAGCAAACATGAGAGGTATGGAGGGGAACTGTTTTTCAATATAATCTTTTCTATACTAGCTGAGTTTTATTTTAACTACATGCAGTATTGTTTGACTACAGTTAATAAAAAATAAAAAGACATGTATGTAAGTATTGTATATGAATCACTTAATCCAAGAATATGAAAATATTCTGACTAAGCCACTATAATCATCTGCAGTGAGCAGTGTTTTCCAGTCAAGACAGTTAATTAATGGATAGCAAGATCATAGATGAACACAATAATTTTATAATGACAACCCTAATTGGTCCCTGTCCTGCAGGAAATAAAATTATACCTTTCATATCGGATTATCTTGCCGTCTGACGCACTCCCCAGCCCCAGTCTATGCGTGGCTGAACAACAAGTCCGTCTGTCCCTAAAGGCCCACAGGGGGAACGCCCTCCTGCTCGTCTGATCAGTAAGGCTCAGGAGGGTGTGCGTTAGCCCTCCAGCCATCAGCTGGGTTTAGAAATATTTATGTTCTATTTTTATTTTGAGAACAAAGTCTAATACCGATATGAAGTATAACTTAAGAGTACTCACGGGAGCAGGAAATGATTTTCCATCTAGCAGATGCTAAATATGACCTAAATTACTGGGCACGAGGAAGGCCTAAAACTTATGTGAAGTCCATGTACTTGATCACCTCAAACAAAGAAGACACATCCCTTCCTTCTTTTCCAACCATACTGCAGCTTGACCTTTTTAAAAAAAATATATATTTTATTGATTTTTCACAGAGAGGAGGAGAGAGGGATAGAGAGCTAGAAATGTCGATGAGAGAGAAACATCGACCAGCTGCCTCTTGCACACCCCCTACTGGGGATGTACCCGCAACCAATGTACATGCCCTTGACTGGAATCGAACCTGGGACCTTTCAGTCCGCAGACCGATGCTCTACCACTGAGCCAAACCTGTTTCGGCTGCAGCTTGATCTTTTGTGGCTTCCTTTTCCTTCCAGGTTATTGTTTCCATCTAATATATTTCACAGTGGCCACAGGAAAAGCGCCCGGGAGAAAGGCCACAGGTAGGGCTTGACCTGGGCCAACCTATGCAGAGATCGCTTTGGTTCTCTGCACGCCAGGCTTCTGAAAAAGTGGGCAAAGGGAAACAGCCCGCGGGTTCTAGTCCCCACAGATGTCAGGCAGATGTAGGTACAGCTACTGAGTAGAGAATGCTCTTCATTATCTCATAAGATTGTGCTCACTGGCATACAGGATGGAAAGAGATCCCAAATAAAAATAGGTAGAAAGACGGTCACACTTACATATTAACCACACACTTGCTCTTAGAACCGAGACAGGATTTTGTTAAGAAACTCAAGCAGTCCTGGCTGGTGTGTTCAGTGGTTAGAGTACCCACCCTTCTCCCCACCCAAGATTCTCTGGTTCGATTCCTAGTTAAGGAACTGGATTGCAGGCTCCTGGGTAGCAGGTTCTATCCTCAGCCCTAGTCAGGACACCTGCAGGAGGCAACCAATCAGTGTGTCTCTCTCACATCAATGTTTCTCTCTCTCCCCTTCACTTCCACTCTCTCTGAAAAATCAATGGGAAAAAATAGCCTTGGATGAGAATTAACCAAAACCAAAACCAAAAAACTGTCAAGCAGCCCTGGCAAGGCCCATGTGGAAAGAACAAAGGCCCAGGCTGGCTCCCTGGCTGAAGGGGAGCTGCGGAGCCACACCACCTGTGAGAAAGCCATCTTGAGAGCTGAGCTTCTGATCTCAGATGAGTCACTGCAACTCATGCTGCAGAGCAGAGAGCAGTCCCCGCAGACCCGTGAGCAGAGGGAGTGCTGTCTTCTATTAGTCACCACTCAGGGTCTGCGCTGGACACAGAGTGCTGCTTCTCCTTCGATGAGGGCTTGGACCTCAGCGTCAGCAGACGCTCCCAGAGGCCTCTCCACAGGAACCTGTCTTCTGAGAGGGCTGCGGCCACGGCCACTCGTGACTGACACAGAAATGTACGACGCAGCCATCTGGCTAAAGGAGCACCATGCTGATGGGCCACAGACTCTCCAGAATGCCTAGTGGGCTGGGTGAGGCTGGCCTGCAATGCAGTCTGGCTTGTCCCTCTTTCTTTCTTTTATATATATATTTAAATAATTTTATTGATTTTTTTTTTTTACAGGGAGGGAGGGAGGGAGAGCAGTAGAGAGTTAGAAACATCCATGAGAGAGAAACATTGACCAGCTGCCTCCTGCACACCCCCCACTGGGCATGTGCCCACAACCATGGTACATGCCCTTAACTGTAATCGAACCTAGGACCCTTGAGTCCACAGGCCGACACTCTATCCACTGAGCCAAACCGGTCAGGGATGGCTTGTCCCACTTTCGAATCCTGCTTCTGCCAACACCCTTCCACAGGTGTTAATGCACCTTGCATTACACATTCTATCTCTCTCAGCTTCTAAAAAACATATTATACAGCCACGGATAAACAGAACAACAGGCCAGCAAAATCACTTCTGGAATTCAGAACCACTCACATCTGTGACAACTTGCCAGGAAAGTGGCAGCCAGCCAACCAGATACCAAGTGTCATCAATGAAAGGAGTGGAAAGCCCCAAGCTTGTCTGGCTGTGGGCAGAGTGCTAGCCTGCGGATGGAAGGGTCTCAGGTTCGCTTCCGGGGAAGGCATTTACCTCCACTGCAGGGTCATCCCCAGGGTGCCTGTGGGAGGCAACCAACTGATGTGTCTCTCACTTCAATGTGTTTAAAAAATGTATACTTATTTACCTGATTTTTCTTTGGTAAATCCAATTTCATATTCAAAGTTAACACAACTCTTGAAAACAAACAGTTCAAGCTGCCTCCTCCACATGCAGGCATATTCACACTGAATATGTCCATCATATAAATGCTATACGAAATGTAGATTAGCCAGACAAATATGATTTTTTTTTTTTTAAAGAAAGCCCTCACTAGCTCTAGCTGGTGTGGCTCAGTGGATAGAGCGTCAGCTTGCAGACCGAAGGGACCCACGTTCAATTCCAGTCAAGGGCATGTACCTCGGTGGCAGGCTCCTCCCTGGCCCAAGCTCTGGTCAGGGCATTCAGCAGGCAACCAATTGATGTTTTTCTCTCTCATCGATGTTTCTCTGTCTCCCCCTCTCTCTTCCCCTCTCCCTAAAAATCAATGGGAAAATGTCCTCGGGTGAGGATGAACAACAACAGAAAGCCTCAGTGGAGGCCAATGGGTGTCCTGTATATTGAAAAACTGATCTCACCACAGAGCAGCCTGGCCTTTGCCCTCAGACAACGGGAGGTGTCCCGGAGGCTCCTGGGATGTCACGCCACCAGAGGTATCTTTGTTTGGCTGGGACTTGGCCACCAAGCAGCCTAACATTGTGATTTATGAGCGATGTAATTAACATGGGACATGCGGTATGTTTTATTTCTGAAACTAGAGGTACCATCCCCACCTCTGGGGAGGGCTGGAGACTAATGGTCAGTCATGCAGGCAGCATGCTGAGACTCCCCAGAACTCTGAAAACAAAGCCCAAGTGTGCTTCCAGTTGGCAGCACTCCACGCCACCATCACACATGATGCGCTCGGTGCTTCTCCCGTGCGTTTGTTGCTTCTCCCGGACTCCGCCCTGCATGCTGCTCCTCCTGCCTGGTTCCAGCTGCACCCTTCCCACCAACAGACTCACTAAGAACAGCTTTCAGTGCGTTCTCTGAGACCCTGCAAGTTATGGAAACCGAGGTGGTTTTGGGAACCACCCACATCTGCAGTTGATGTCAGATGTAAGGTGGTCTTTTGAAATTGTTCCTGCTATTTCTGAAGTTGGCCCCAAATCCTCAGTCACTGAAATATCAAATGCACTGTAATCAGTGACTGTCTCTACGTAACATAATTTCACTATGGTGCAAAGCCTGAGTTCACCTATAGCTAACAAATTTTAACTATAATGTTATCTATTCTTTAGTAATTTCAGAGTATAATAAAATTACCTCCTCCACTAGCAGTATGAAAAATTACAATTTTGAAATGGGACTCCAGCCTGGGAGAGACTGAGGGCGGTTTTATATTAGCTTCCTGCCACAAAGCATTTCTCTCTCACGGTAAAGGGTAATGATTTTACATGTACCAAGAGGATAACTGCCAAATCACGCCACAAATCCAACCTGAAAGATGAAATCAGCCCAAAGCCTGGTGGAGGGAGGCCCAGCACATGCCTGTCCTTCATAACATTCTTAGGGGATCAGGGAAACGCTTCAGAACTGAATTCTGTGCGTTTCCCCAGCAAATTCTATTAGAATAGGTTGGATCCATTTCCTATAACGTATCAGTACATTTTACACTAGAGGTAAACATAATATATAAAATGTTAACATTAAGTAGATGAGGTTCATAAAAACTGCCATCACAAACCTTGAATACGGAACAAATTCCACTGGGGGAAAACGGGAGTTATGAAGAAATCCATGAATAAGTGAATTGTTTTTAGTTTTGTGTTTGTTTTATTTTTGAACTAGGGTAAGGAGAGATTACTTCAAAAAGCACATTCCACCCTAAGAATCTGTTCAAGTCAGTGCTTCACTTTAAAACAAACACAGGAGAGCACACACACACCAGGAAGTCCCACGAAACCAGCCTTCCGAGAGAGACCGCTCCGCAAAAAGCCGGCGAGCCTGCGCCCTCGCGGCCCCAGCCTAATCTGAAACGTGGACGTTCTCGCATGAATTGACTATGACGTCAGAAAGAAGTAAGAGTATGCATGAGAAATACGAAAGCGTCACTTGACAATGTCTGTTCTTTAGTTATTTTATCCTATTCTATATTATTTACTTTTAAATATAATTCCAATCTCACAACTCTTTAGTACCCCACATATTTTAGTCCTCCACTTTATCGCACACATTCTTACTTTAAGTTATTTAAATCCATTATGGAATGAAGTGAGAAGGAAAGAAATGACTAGGTAAAGAACTTGACTATGAGAAATTAAAAGCCACTGGACACTATCCAACAGTAACTGATGCAACCAATTTTGAAATTTAAGTATAATTTAGCCTAAACACCAGGTAACAACAACTGTTCCTAAAATATGATTTGACTAGTAGCCCTGTACATGAATCCATGCGCCAGTAGCTCACTGCCCGCCTCCAGTAGCTCTCCCCGCCCCTTATCCCCCCCCTCCCCGACACATAGCTTGCTGCCCTGCTTCCCCCTGTAGCTCTCCGCTGCCAGCTTGTAGCTCACTGCCCCACCCTCCTGCTGATACGTGATCCGGTCGTTATGCAGTCAGTCAGTCGATACAAGGTCAGTCGTTATGCTTCACAGCGCAATAAGCATTTGCATATTACATCTTTATTAAATAAAATGATGAGAGTACTACACTGCAGCAACCTCTAAATCCACACCCAGTAAGGAAACCTTGCAACAACCACAACGCTCAAGGTCTAGTAAAGAAAACCACCAGAGGGGAATAATAAAATACATCCACTGAGCACAACAGAAAAATACCGGTCTGTAACTCCAGAAGCTTAAAATCTAATGGAGAAAATAAGGCAAATATAAAAATAAAAAGGTGATAAGGAATGTTACCCTATATTGAACACAGCATAAATTACCAGTGATCTTACACTAATTGTTCACCTTAGCTCATCTCATTATTGTGTGCCATTTTCAGGGATGTGATGTGCCTTGGAGAGGCAAACAATTAAAACCATCGCAGAATAAAAACTCTGACTGATGAGAAACGTATCTTAGTCCTCAATAAACTGGCATAAACAGACGTCTGCCTCCAGACATCACGAGGCAGTGAGAGAACATCTTACTCACCTGTGTACATAGTGCAGCTGATGAACTGAGTCGATTGCTATCACCATCTCAGCCAAGTAAAATCGAGCCATGTCTTCAGGCAATCTATCTTCAAATTTGCTGAGCAGAGTAAGCAAGTCCCCACCAACATAATAATCCATAACTAGATACTGGAAAGAAACAATAAAATGTTCTCAATAAATGTTTAAAAGGGTGAAAAAGAGTATATTTAATGTAACCCAAGATCAAACATCAATAAGTAAAAGACTTTTGTTGTCAACTAACAAAAAGCTACATAAGATTATCATCAGCAGTCATTACAAAACTTGTAAATGTCATAAAGCAGAAAAATACATTTTTAAAAACTGGGGTAGGGAGCACCATAGAATTACTGTTGTTTTCCCCTAAGTGCTGCTTTGCCTTGTAATTTAGGTTAAAAATATTTTTAAAACATATGAACTCTACAGAAAAAGCTATTTTCTAAAGTGATTTGGTATTTCACAATAATGGTTGAGGATGGGTTTTTTGGTTCAAAAATATTTCAACCTTGGTCCTTTGTTCAAAATATTGCAACAATATGTTACCACTACAAAACCACTGAATAGCTGTACTGTATAGCAGGTCAGGACATTCAGCTTTGATTTCTGACAAAAATTTGTGAAAATGATAACACTTGTGTCCAAGAGACTTAATGAAGTTCAATGTTGATACTACTGGTTCAATAACAAATAGCAGGTTAAAATATTTGCTGCAAACAACCTGTTGATTAACAATGATTTGTGTATATGTCCAACTAAGCCTCTTTCTGCTTCACACACGTCATCACTCTCCATTGTAACACATCTTAGCAGATTCCAAGTCAGTTTGTGCCGGGTGAGTGTTTTCTAAACGTCTTTGAAAATGCTATTGACTATAATGGTACCACAAACTATTCATACAGGCTAATTTCTCAGTTACTTCTAATTCAGCATTGACTCTTCAAATAATAAGAACTGAGCAGAATCAGTAACATCTTTCAACTCCAAGAGCCAAAGAAAACCACTAAAAAATCCTTTCCCTGGTTTTATAATCAGCCATTGATGTTGTTCCCAATTTCCTCAATTCTTGAGCAACTGTTCTCACCAAAGGCTAAGAGTCGTAGACAAGTTAATTTTCTGTGGACACATTTCTTTGGCTGCTGCAGTCAGACATGATTTAATTATCTCAGCATTGGTGGATGGCTTTCCTGTTTGGCTAACAAATGAGCCACTCAAGGAACTTCCTACAGTTGCAGCCTCATTTCATTTTTTAGTTTTGGAAAGTAATTCTGCTGTGATAAGATGTTCTGTTTTAAATTTTCTAACTTTACTGACTGCTGTTCTGTGTTAGGAATGATGGAATGAGTGCTCAATGTGCAAACATTTTTATTTGCTTCTATTAGTATAGTTGCAGTGTAGTTGCATAATGAACAACATGCTGTCATTTAACTTGTTAACAAAACGATCCACACTCTACTGTGCTTTAAATGAATGGTATTTGAAGTCTATATTTTCTTCTCCTTAATTTTCCATAACCCATATGCACTAGTAACAAAAACAATGACACATATATATAGCACTTCCAAAGCTATCACGTTATTACTGTCACTGCAATTTGTAATCTGCTGAGCAGCAGTGCAAAGCAATGGCAGTAACACACACAGTATGTTTCCCTGTCGTAGCGTCAGTCTCTGTCACACTACTCAACTTGGCCATTGTAGTCCAAAAGCAGCCGTAGATAACACATAAACCAACAGCATGGCTGTTTTCCAACAAAACTTCATGGCCACTAAAATTCAAATTTTATAGAATAGTCACAAGCCATAAATTACTCCTCTCTTGATTTTTTTCCAACTATTTAAAAATATAAAAACAATTGTTAGCTTGCAGGCTATACAAAAATGGATGGTGGGCCAGATTTGAGCTCATGCCACAGTTTGCCGAAATCTGATTTATAAGAACTCCCAGATGTGTAGTGCCATTCGCCCTCAGAAGCACCAGACTCACTAAATGAATCACATGACAATTCAAAGAACACGTTCTCATCCCCCTGCTTCTCCAACTTAATTCATCAAGTACTGACTGAATCCCACAAACCAGACATGGCAAACCGGGAGTCATTCTGACTCCTCTCCTCCACTGACTTCCACTCCAACATACGGATGAGAGAGGAAACATCGAAAGCTGTCTCCTGTGCACACCCAGGCTGGGGATGGAAACTGCAACCCGAGTATGTGCCCTGACTGGAACCGAACCCACAACCTTTTGGTGTATGTGATGGTGCCCAGCCAACGGAGCCGCCTGGCCAGAGCTCCTTCTCTAGTTTTGCTCCTGAAAATCCATCTCCCACACCGCTGCCAGGATGGTCTGTGTAAAATATAAAACTGTATCACACTCCCCTTAAAGCCCAATTTGAAATGAGAATAAAATCTGAATTCCTCAGCATGACCCATACTCTGGAAGCCTCATTTCATATCTTTCCTCTTCACTGCTGTCCTCTGATCACACTAGCCTTCCTCTCATCTTTCAAACCCTCGTCCTTTCAGACACCAATCACACAGAAACAGAAATCAGACTCACAGCTAGCAGAGGTAGGAAGCCGGAGAGAGGGGACTGCAGGAAGGTACAAACTCGTTATAAGATAAATAACTCCTAGGATATAATGCTAACTCTGCTCTAGGATACATAAGGAAGTTGTTAGGAGAGGAAGTCCTGAGAACTGTCAACACAGGAGAATGTTCCCCCTTTTTCTTTTCTGTTTATTGTATCTACATGAGAAGACAGGCACTAGCTGAACCTAAGGTGGTAATCAGTTCACAATGTATGTAAGTCAAATCAGCATGCGGTGGGCTGTAGACCGAGTCGGTGATATGTGTCAATTGTGTCCCAATAAAACTGAAAAATGATTCTTACTAGGTTGTTGTCATCCTGGAAGGCATAATGCAAAGTTGTAATCCATTTATTGTCTCCATTCACTAACACGTCCCTCTCTTCGCGGAAACATGCCGTCTGGAAAGGAGAAAAGGTATTAGATAGAGAACACGTTATGTAAATCTAGGAATGTTAGACTACGCAAACATTCATTCAACGTATTTATTATACTTGCTATTTTGGGAAAAGAGTACATCCAGTATTACATGACTTTCAACAAGTCAACCAGAAATAGGCACCTGGAGGAGTACACTACAAATACCGTTAAGAGTTCAGAGAATCAGGAAGCACACAGAATCATTTAACACTCACTGTCCAACCTACCATCTAGATAACATACAAAACATTTTGCAACATTTACTTCTGACCTTTTTATTTTTAAGGAGATAAGACACAAGTTGTAGCCTTCTTACTTCTATCGGATTCTCCCCGTTTCCTCCCCTGACATAATAAATAATCTGAAGCTAGCATATACTACTAGCATTCCCATCATATGCTTTGACACGTCTGTGACTAAAAATAATAGAAGTGTTTTGTATTTTGAAAATTTCCATGAATGATATAATTTTTATCTACTCTTTTGCAACTTGATCACTTTTTATTCAATCATGACTAATTTTTTTAATTGCTATGATATTCCTGTTTGAATACTCCAAAATTTATGCAACCCTCCTCATCATTAAAACATAGGTTATTTCCTATTTTATATTATTACAATGTTGCAATGAATATATTTGTACAAGTGTACAAGTTTATCTCGGTTATACATTTAAAAATAGAAGCATTTTCAACTGTAACCACATAAAACCAATTTTCTTTTCTAAGTGGTGTACCAATTACCACCCTCACCCCACTATATGAAATCTACCCTTTTCCCCACATCCCCAACTATACTTGGCATTATTAGACTTTTAAGTGTATGTCAAAATAATAGGTGTGAAATAATATCTCATTGTTCTTTTAATGAATTTATTCCCACTTATAAGTATAGATAAATAACTTTACATATGCTTACTGAACACCTGAGCTTTCTCTGAACTGTTTACTCCCTTTGCCCATTTTCTCTAATGAACTGTCTTTTTCTTATTGATTTATACAAGTTTTAATTTTTCTGAGAATATCCCCATATTATAAAGGTAAAGTGGAAACTGAAAATCTCCATGAGTCAAGCCCCCTTACTTTCAATATCCACTTGTGTCCAGAGGTTACATTTCTGTTGAATATCTTCTCAGAAAATTTCTGGGTATACATAAGCTTACACACATACCATACACAATTCATATGGAATCCCATATTCCCTATCTTTTCTTTACAAATGAGATTACATTACTCTGTAAGCTGTTTTGTTAAGTAACAATATATTTAAATACCTTTCATTAGAGACCTAATATTTCTTAATGGTTGTACCATATTCCATACACATTGAAAAATCATCATGTAGTACTCTACATATAGGTGCTTCATAATTTATTTAGCACAAGGTAAATTCAACAGCAATGACATACAAAACAATTAACATTACCTATTTTACCCTAATTAGGCACCCTGACTTTTAATATTTATATAAATTTTATTTGATCAAGTAGAATTTCCAAAGGCATGTATTAATTAATATCACCAGAGAAAATATTAAAGCAATCTGTATATATAAAAGCCTAATAAGCAGTGTCGCACTTGGGAGTTTGGCCAAGAGTTCAATTGCTCGCTATGATATAGACTGACCACTAGAGGGAGGCGTGGAATGAAAGCAGCTGGGGAGGGAGATTCCAACTGGCAGCTGGAAGGGAGGCCCTGATCGGCCCTGATCGCCAACCAGGCCTAAGGACCCTACCTGTGCACAAATTTCATGCACCGGGCCTCCAGTTAAAGATTGAACCCAATACATGGGAGTTTTACCCTTTCATTGGATTATTAAAATCTACATTATACTTTGATTCATTTTAGGGAGAAAATGGAATCACTTGGCATGCTCACCACTAAGTTCTGGTTCAGAATTTAACTGCGATGAAGTTGTGGTTTGCTGCTAACCTTTTAGAGATGGTAAAGGTTGCCAGGAGCTAGGAGACACCTTTCTCCTGACTTTATTTTATTATGACTGCTATCTGGAATTTTGAGACATTCCAGCTAGAATCTAAGAAACGTTTGATTGATGACTCCAAACTAAATAAAGCTCCAAAGACTTTACAAAACAAATTAAACTTCAGTAGATTCTAATCTATTCTAAACTGTTTCAAGGAAAAAAAAAAATAGCCGAAACCAGTTTGGTTTAGTGGATAAAGCATCGGTCTGTGGACTGAAAGGTCCCAGGTTCGATTCTGATCAAGGGCATGTACATTGGTTGTGGGAACATCCCCAGTAGGGGGTATGCAGGAGGCAGCTGTGGATGTTTCTCTCTCATCGATGTTTCTAGCTCTTTATCCTCCTCTCCCTCCCTCTCTGTAAAAAAATCAATAAAATATATATTTAAAAACAAACAAACAATTATTTTATTCCTCAATCTTGTTTCATCTTACTACCAACTTCCCTCCATGCACATATATGCACAACCATGTGTACAAATTTTTAAGCAAATCCCAGACATCAGTTGACTTTATCCATAAACATTCAGGATGAAACTAATCCTATTAGTGCCTCAGACACTGAGTTTAGATGTGAAATGCAGTCTTTTTTTGCTTTGATAGGCCACATTGTCCTTCGTTGTCACCACTGGGGCGAAGGGTGTTAATGCTACTGGCATCCAGTGGGATGGGGCCAGGATGCTGCCACACATCCTACAATGCACAGGCAGTCCCTCAAGGAATTATCTGGCACCAAATATCACAAGTACCCTTGTTGAGAAATATTAACCAAACCATGATGCATGCCATGAGTTCATAAAGTGTCCCAAGGATTCAACATGGTTAAAGGCTGTAAAAATCTCTACTTCAATCACCCTTAAAAACAAAACAAAACAGCTAAAACTGGTTTGGCTCAGTGGATAGAGCGTCGGCCTGTGGACTGAAAGGTCCCGGGTTCGATTCCGGTCAAGAGCACATACCTTGGTTGCGGGCACATCCCCAGTACGGGGTGTGCAAGAGGCAGTTGGTCGATGTTTCTCTCTCATCGACGTTTCTAACTCTCTATCCCTCTCAGTTCCTCTCTGGGTAAAATCAATAATACAATAATAATAATAATAATAAAATATCTGGATTAAAAAATATATATCCCCCTTTAAAAACAGAACATGCCATGAGCAGTAGAAGGGGTTACTGGAGATCACATGACTTCTTCAGATCCTATCACTCAGTTTCTATTTAACCAAACATTCTGCTGGGAACACTGATGGGTTTGACAGATTTGCAGTTTTATATTTTTAAAATTCAGTTATATACTGTCCAAATTTTATCCTTAATGGGCTATTGGTTAAAGAGAAAGAGCAATAGGAATACCTATGATAAAACAGAAGTTAATGTTGACAAGATAAAAAGAATAATAATTTGGCAAAATTGTCACATGATTCTCTTCCCCACATCCATAGGTACACATTCATCGAGCAACATTCTTCTACATTCCTATATAGTACATCCAATTACCTGAATACTTGGAAATCATGTGTTAAAACAAGAAAATCCACTTGTGATTATATGTACTTTGGCTTCTCATTTATTAATAAAGACTTGTATCTCCTATACAATATTAATACGGAGAAATTCTTTAAAATAATAATTGAATTATTCTAATATTCGAGAGGAGAAAAGCCAAAATTTTCATTTTCTTAAAGAAGATACACAAGGGGAATTTTAAATTGCAAAATGCAAGAATTCCAGTATCAGGTCCTTTTTTAATGTTTTTATTGATTTTTTAGAGAGTGAGAGAGAAACTGATTGACTGTCTCCTACACAACTCCCCCCTTCCCCAATGGGAATTGAGCTGGCAACCCAAGCATGTGCCCTGACTAGGAATTAAATTGGTGACCTCCTGGTTCTTGGGTCAGCGCTCATCCACTGAGCCACACCAGCCAGGCATCCAATATCAGGTCTTTTACACCAAGTCAGCAATTTACTTTTAAATCTCCAATATATATTTGATGGTTGAATCAAACATGAGATGTCACTTTTTAAGTTATTTGTCAGAAAAAAAATGTTTTTTCAAGAAAGACAAATCAGCCGAAACCGGTTTGGCTCAGTGGATAGAGCGTTAGCCTGCAGACTGAAGGGTCCCAGGTTCGATTTTGGTTAAGGGCATGTATCTTGATTGCAGGCACATCCTCAGTAGGAGGTGTGCAGGAGGCAGCTGATTGATGTTTCAAACCCTCCCCCTTCCTCTATGTAAAATATCAATAACATATATTTTTTTTTAAAAGAAAGAAATCATTTGATAACATCTAAAATTGGCAAATGAGGGAGACAACAGACACGTTTTCATGCTGAGTGCAAAGATATGCTGATACTACCGTGTTTCCCCGAAAATAAGACATCCTCCGAAAATAAGACCTAGCGCATGGAAAGATAAGACATCCCCTGAAAATAAGACCTAGCACAACTTTGGGAGAAAAAATTAATATAAGACACTGTCTTATTTTCGGGGAAACAGGGTATGTTTCTAGAAGACAATTTAGCAATAGCTACTCGAGATTATGTGTACCTGACCCCAAACCAGAGAGGCTTCACTACTGAGGAGTTTGATCCAGGGAGTGGATAAATTCCAGGGTGGGTCAGCACAACATGAAAATCCTTTAGTGTAAAACTATTTTTAAATTGCTTCAACCTCAGCCTACACAAACTGGAGTGCCCCAGGACAGTCCACAGCAACATCTCTGATGGACATCCTTCCCTTGACTTTCATTTCACACTGCGCATGCTCTGAGAGGGCACGGTGCACTCCTCACGTCACAGTGAGGGCTGCTCCACAGGTCCCCAGCTGGTCCACCTTCTTCTCTCTGCCTCTCAGAGCCTTGTCATGTTCGTTTTATAATTAATGCGCAGAGTCTTTAGCTACTTAATGGAAAGGACAGGGAGAAGAATTTCCATTCCATCTTGCCTCAGACACAGGATATATTAGTGCTTTACAATTCAAGAAAATAACATTTAATTTTCAACTATCCCTTGTTTTATCTACAACTTTGCCACTTCTCCCAGTCAGCAATGGAAGCTAACAGTCACCCTCCCCTTTCACAGTTCTTCCCCAGCACATCCAACTTCATCAAAATAAGCACTGCCCGGGCCGGCGGGCTCAGCTGGCTGAATGCCGTCCTGCACACGGAAAGGTTCAGGTTCGATCCCCAGCTGGAGTGTCCAGAAGGCGGCTGACAGACATTTCTCTCACATCAACCTCTTTCTCTCTCTCCTTCTCCTTTCTCTCTAAAAAATCATTAAGCATATTAAACATATCTTCGGATAAGGATTAAAAAATAAAGTACAAACTATAACTCAATTTTTTAGTTCTAACTCTGAAACACTAAATTGACTACAATGATGATTTCTGTGAAATGATTTCAACATAATTATTTACTACTAGAGGCCTGGTGCATGAAATTCGTGCGCGGGGGGGGGGGGGGGGAGAGGGAGGGGATTGTCCCTTAGCCCAGCCTGCACCCTCTCTAATCTGAGTCCCCTCAAGGGATGTTCCACTGCCCGTTTATAGAGATCGGGGCATGGGGGTTTGGCCAGCCTGGGTGAGGGGCTGATGGCTGTTTGCAGGCTGGTCACAGCCCCTTCAGGGTGGGGGTCCCTACTGGGGTGCCTGGCTAGCCTGGGTGAGGGGTGAGGGCTGTCCGACTACCCTCGAGGGGTCCCAGATTGGAGAGAACGCAGGCTGGGCTGAGGTACGTGTACACACACACACACACACACACAAACACACACGCATTAAAGTTTCTTAATAATAAGACTTGTTGCTCCACTTGCTGGCCATGCTGTCAGCTCCTGCAGTTTGCCTCACCTGCACTGTATTTCACTTGTGCAGTTTTTTGAAGTAGATGCACAGGACAAAAAACTGAAAGCAGAAACTTGCCAAAAAACTTAATTCTAGGTGATGGGATGCTAGTGATTATTTTCTTTGTGTTTGTCATGTTTTTCAAATTTTCCATAAGAAATAATGAAGTATTTTCTTTCACTACCACCATGTCTAACATCGGAATGTTTTTTGCTTTTTCCTAAGTCTGTTCTTTTTCAGATTGCTTCATGTACTCGTAGATAAAGACTTCTAAGGGCTAATTTCTCATTATCCTCTTATAAGCTGTACTTTGCCTGCTCAGTATATGACCCTTCCACAAGTTAAATACTGAGACACTCCCATACCAGTAAGCTCTGCCCCTGCCCCATCCAGAACCTGACTCCAAAATCATGTGTGATGTCAGCTCTGACCATTCATGCCAACTACTGGACAGTTTAACATCGCTCTCATCAGTCTTTCCCTGCAATCCTGCACCAACGTAAGAACAGTAACAATTCTTGCAAGAGCAGATTTTAAAGAAAAAGAATTCAATTGCATAACCAGCAATAAACAGAATTCTTAGAGGGCGTGTTCAAAGCTTCTGCTGACTTTTCTTGGCGCAGAATACAGATAATACAGAATGTAGAAACAAGGTCTGACAAGCTTCAAATCCATCATTACCGAATTTCCTATAAGAGAAACTCCACATCATTTCTTCCTACACAGACATTCTTTTACACGTTTCCTTGGAACATAAATGTGTAAGCACCACATCAAGGGTTTCCACTGGTTTTTAGACAATATTAAATTAGCACAAATTATAACTTTTATCATAACTGTATCACAATTGTGAACTATTGAATTGTGATACATCATAGATAAAATGTTATTAAGTGATACTTAAGGATCTCTATAATTATATATCTCCTCTTAAATATTTCTAAGATTTTATTTAAATATTCCAATAATTAGAACCTTACCTCTGCTCTTTTCAGCATTTCCCATTTATTCAGTATTTTCATGGCAAATACTTTATCTGCATTTTTTAGTTTCACTACAGCAACCTAGAAAAGAAAATACAACTTTTAAAATACAACAAGTAATACTTTTTTAGTCATCCATTTTCCTTTTTCCTCTCTGTAAAAAAAATAAATACCAAAATTATCAATGATTTCCATGCAGTTCAAATTTTAAGATCCTAAATCAAATAACATTGTCAGTTGAAAAAGTTACATTAATGAAAAGTGCCAAACAAATAACTGTATTGTGAACACTGTGTCAGTTGGTGATTTTACATTACATCCTCCTTTTTGAGTTTTCTGTCCTGGAATTTAAATTTAACTGTACTATCACTAAGAAATTGACCAAACTATACAAGATGAAATACTAAAGCTTATTAAATATTATATGCCACATTCCAACACAATTCTCAAATGCCTACTGTCAAAACAAATCTATTTTGTGGGGAATCAAGCAACATGAAATAAATTGCAAATGACATTAATTTTCACACGACATATTTTTATACCCTACTAGAGGCCCAGTGCAAAAATTTCATGCAAGGGGTGAGGGAAGGAAAGGGCACAGCCTGGCCTGCACCCTCTCCAATTCGGGACCCCTTGGGGGATGTGTGATCGGGCCTAAACGAGCAGTTGGACATCCTTCTCACAATCTGGGACCACTGGCTCCTAACCGCTCATCTGCCTGCCGGCCTGATACTCCTAACTGCTCTCCCCTGCCGCCCTGATTCCTAACTGCTCTCCCCTGCTGACCTGATCCCCCTAACTGCTCTCCCCTGCCAGCCTCATCCCCCTAACTGCTCTTCCCTGTTGGCCTAATTGCCCCAACCTCCTCTGCCTTGGCCCCACCACCATGGCTTTGTCCAGAAGGACATCTGAAAGACATCGGGTCTAATTAGCATATTACCCTTTTATTAGTATAGATATCACAACCTCCAACTCTCTCTCTCTCTCTCTCTCTCTCTCTCTCTCTCTCTCTCTCTCTCTCTCTCTCTCTCTCTCTCTCTCTCTCTCACACACACACACACACACACACACACACACACACCAAAGATCAATTAAGCCTAACATCTCTACAAACTGTAGACTCTATACATTCCTTTTCAACAAACAATAGAACAGCTATTTAACTATTTTGTATTTTAGTGATGATTAAAAAAACAACAACTGTCACATTGGTGCTCTACCTCCAGGGAGAAGCCCATGCCTTACCCCTCCCTGCCCAGGCATGTGACCATCAGCTTCCTCACTCCCAAGCAACACGGGCCCTTCCTTCACTTCTGTCCCTTGTTTCCAAAGCCCATTTCTTCTAGGAGTTACTTTGTCTACCTCTGTAATCTACCTAGAAAATGTTCTCTTACAAAACAAAAACAAACAACCACACACAAAACAACAAAAAACTGTCAAATACAAATAAATCAATCCACATTTTCACCCTCAACAGACTGATTACATTTCTGTCGCTGCTCCTCTGCTTCATTTGACTAGACACTCCAGAGCCCTTCCAGAGGAGCTAACCGAACGGGCTGAGAATGAACTGCAGAGACACAAAGGCTGCTTCCAGTGAGCGGGGCCGAGGAAGGGGGAGGCACGTAGGACGTGATATGCTGAAGGAGAGAACAAATGTTATACTGCGTATCTTCAAAGGGTCATTTCTAAGGTTAGAGAATGGGTTTAAACTCCAGGTGCCAAATTTGTAAAAATCTTAATAGCAAAGGTAAATATCAGGGGCATTTAATACATTTATATCTATATCAGATGGCAAAAGTACTATGACCATATAATTAAAGTCAGAGTAGTATATTATATGATATACACTAGAACATTTCTTGGTAATTGTCATAAATGGTTATAATACTGTGATGATAGCTTTTCATCAATTAAAATGATGGGAAGAAAGAGGAAATATCGCAATTTCAAATAAAATAACTTCAGATTTAGGCATATCTGGTCATAGCTACAGACATAAGGGTTTTAGATAAATTAGTCTCCTAGTGGGTTCATGCTTTTTTAAATGGGGCTGTACAAGACATAGAAGCAACCTGAATGTCCATCAATGGGTGGCTGGGTAAAGAAAACATAGTATACATATATACAATGAAAGATTATTCAGCCGTAAAAAAGGCAGGAAATCTTGCTTTTGTGACAGCGTGGATGAACCGAAAGAATATTATGCTAATTGAAATAAGCCAGACACAGAAAGACAAATACAGTAAGATCTCACTTACTTGTGGCATCTACAAAAGCTGGACTCCCAGAAAGAGAAAGACTAGTGGCTCCCAGGGGCTGAGTGCTGGGGCAACGAGGAAGTAAATGTCGGCCTGTGGGGATCTGGCTGAAACCGGCCAGTGCACACAGTGGGGTCCCTCGGCCTGGCCTGCGGGGATCGGGCTGGATCCGTGCACCGGGCCTCCAACATCCCTGGAGGGGTCCCAGATTACGAGAGGGCGCAGTTAGGGGGGTAAGGCTGCCAGGCCGAGAGACCCCATCAGTGCAGAAATCTGTGCACCGAGCCTCTAGTTGTTATTATACATTTGAAAGTTGCTAAGAGAGAAAATCTTAAATGCCCTCACCACACACACACACACACACACACAAAGATAATTACGTGAGGGGATGGAAGTGTTAACTTTGTTATGATCAGCATTTCACAGTGTATACAAGTATCAAATCATCACTTTGTACACCTTAGTACTGCACAACATTACATGTCAATCATTTCTCAATAAAAATGGAAAAAATAAAGGGGGTTGGAATAAAGAGCAAGGAAAATTTGAGAAACACCATTTCCCAAGGTCTCCGAGAGGCTGACAACACCAGTTTGGCTATTCTGGAGTCCAATGTGGCACAGCAGGGAGTGCAAATGGTCAGAAGGACGGAGCCCTGAGCGAGACCAGCCTGCGCTCCGACAGGGAAGAGACCAGTGCCATCCCTCATGGTGACGAGGGAACCCTGACCTCGGCTGTGAGAAGAGCACGCCCAGAACTATGTGACTCCCAACTCCCCATGCCTGTGAGCATGCCTGCACCTGATGGCAACTACGGCGAGAGGCGGAGCCTTCACCCGCACGTGCATGTGTGTGAAGTGCCAGGATCTTCTGACGTTTCATGCAGGTCTGCAATCCCTTACCTGCTATCCTAACAGTCAGAGGTTCCCACAGTCCGTGTGGCAGCACGCACTGCCACTGGGCTACCACGGTATCGTGTTCTGCTTTTGTCTCGCTTACTGGAGGAGAAGCACGCTTCACGCAGAAACTGATGCTTTTGCTTACGGGGTGCTGTCCAGCCTCATAGGAGTGGTATATAAAACAGAGCATATGGACTCCATTGTCTTTCTAAAGCCCAGAAGGTACTGGAACCACCCCCTCTGGATTACAGAGCTGTGCAGCCTTACTGAACACTCAGACACTGAGCGAGCACGGATCGTAGCCGTCGGGAGTGGCGATCGCTCGGACTCTGCAGTCAGACACGGGGGTCTGCGTCCTGGCTCTGTGATGAGCTATGTAACTCTGGGCAAATAACACTCCAGAACTTCAGCGCGCTCAACCACATAACAGAGTTAGTAACAGTATTACTGACATAGTTGTGGTGAAGGGTGAAATAAGACAAGTGTGAAGTGCTCACACAGGGTCTGGCGTTCAGTAAGCGCTCAGTAAGTATTAGCTGTTATTATGGTCAGGCCTTGCACTAAGCACATTTTGCCCAGTCTCTTAACTGTCGCTTGCTCTATCACTAACGGGTGGCAGACATTTACATCCCCATTACTTCAACCTCTTAACTATGAAATAAGAAACTCTGATTTCAACTTCTAATTGTCCATAATTTTATAGCCATGACAGATCCACATACATAGAAAGATAGCTTGAAATATTCTCAATGGAAAATATATACAAATAAAATGTAAGCTACAATATTTACCATCGTGTAGGTTTCAACAGTAAAAAATGGAAATAATTTAAATATCCTGAAAGATGAAATTTACTAAATATATCACAAAATTATATAAAAGTAATCATATTCTTGAAAATACTGTTAAAATACTATTTAATAGGGAAACGTTCATAATGTCTACTTAAAATGAGGTTAGCAAAGTTTTTACACTAGATTTTTTGTATATATACCAATAAAGTTCTATGCCACATGTATGTATAGGTATTTCTAGGTGATAGGATTTCTATTCACATTTCTACATTTTCTGTAGGGAACATGCAAAATTTGAAACATGGGATGCAATAGTTTGGAATACCACACCTCATCTTGGAGTGAAATCAGCACTAATTATAGAGGTATTGTAGTGTGGCCAATAAGGGCCAAATGAGACCCATTCTCTACATTTATGAAGTAATCAGGAATGTCAGGCTGCTGTGAGGATGAAAACATTCTCAGTGCTATCTTGTACAGTTTCACGAGTTGCCTAAAAACTTTAAAGAGATGTGATGTGATGAAATTAAAATGTCAGTTCAGGAAATATTCTTGAATTATCAAATTGATGACATGATCAGACAAGAATATGAAGCTCATAAAATAACAAAATAAAAATTGATCTTGCTTTTCTCCTTTAAACCTACAGATCATTTTAACGTTCATTTCAGTAGAAGAAAAATTAAAAAAGGATTTCCCTAGAACTATAACTTCAGGTTCTAGATTTTAAGAACCATTGCTGAGATATGAGGGTAGTATGTAAAAATGTCCTTTCTTATTTATTTTGACTAAAATGAAAAGCACATTTAGTATTATGGACTGAAAGATTATAAATTTAACAAAAAACAAAGGTATCTTTTTGAAACAAATATAAAGGTGTCTTTAAAGAATTCATATTAAAAGCACTATGATGTTAGAAAAATTGAAAAAAATCAGTATATGTAAAGGAATGAGTTCTTAAACAAAATGTATCATCACATAGCTATAATAAGTAATTTAGGAATTCTTACACTATATTACATAGAATTTTAACATTCAAGAAATAGTTGCCATGCAGTTCTGCAATTCTCTGTTTAATGTGCCCAGAATTCACCATCCCTCCTCTGTCCCTCCGCCTCCAACCTA